CCACTTAAATTATTAGTACGTATAATAATATAAATTAAACCAAATATAAAGGGCTATAGAGGAGCAATAACTTAACACAAATATAAAACACAATGTTTTTATTTTGAAAACTTTAAATTTACTGCCATTTACATTTCCATATATAAATTTGACCTATACACAATCTGTACGACTTTGCAACTGTACATCTTACCGTCGTCGTCAAATCCTAGCGCATACTATTCGTTTGCTTCACCATTAAATTACGGTTATCAGTTCTTCATAGTGTTATTTTTCTTTAAGAAATATAAACCGGACACACGGCGTGATATTACTGCTGGCCATTTTAAACCATTTCTTTAACAAACAAAAAAATCATACTTTATTAGATTTACGCGAATTTTGACATTTTAAATAAAACTATCTGTTCAGATTTTTTTGCAGGTTTATTTTGAATTTTTGGTTGCAGACGTTTTGAATGCTTTACAGCAATCATGGTTACGGGAGAGACTAAGGTTTTGGACTGTTATTACTTATTATAGTATCTCCCGTGACCATGATTGCTATAGCATTCGAAACGTCGAAAATTCGGTTAAAGATATGTTTTATTTAAAAACAAAAGAATTTCTTGAAGAATTAAAAAAGTTCTGCTTGCGACATGTGTTATGAAAAGCGATCTTTTAAAAAAAAATCATAAAATTATAGTCGTCGCAGATTGTCGTACAAAAAACTGAAAAATGTAACAAATTGAGAAAAAAAATCCAAATAATCACCACATATGGCAACACTAACAACTTAATTCGTGCACTTAATAAATACTTCATTAAAATAATTTCATCTTGCGCATTTAAAAATATATATATCTTAACCGTGTGCCCTTATATAGAAAGCTTGACATATACTTTGATATTATTATTGCTATATATGATTATCTGGGCACTAAGATCTCACTTATTTACATTACAAACTAAAAGGCGCCATATTTTGCACATGTAACATACCAAGGTATGAAGAAAAAATATGTTCTGAAAGAATTATTAATAATGTTACGTTTCGCAATCATTTTAACTTAATCAAAATCGTAATAGCAACAGAAATATTAAATATGCAAGATATGGCGCCCCTATAAAATTTAGATATAAGGTAAGTTTTCCCAATAAGTCTTTACAAACTTCTCGCGCCAAACAATAATAATAATCTACTCAAAATATTAGTTTTGCACAACGCTTTCAATTCGGATTAGTACAATTTACATCCTCAATACGTTTTATAAATGAAAACACTTTCCAATAAATCAATTTATAAGCATTTGTAAAACATGGATACCTTATTTGGGGAAACTTACCTCACTTCACTTCTACGGGAATGTCACTAAATATATCTAACCGTTCCCAAACAGGTACAATCGAGTGTTCTAATAAAATACAATTTCAAATTTTACCTCTATATTAAAGCACTAAGACATCAGTCTTTGGTGTCGCCTGTTCTTAGATTTAAAATTTGAAATGCATAATTACAAATGCCCTACCAGTTAACGTTTTTAGTTAATTTAATATAACAGAAAAAATAATTCTGTGCTATTATAAATAATTATTACCAATCGTGGTATTATTTGCAAGAAACACGCCTTTATGAAGCTACATATATTATAGCACAAGTTTATCAAAATCGATAAATTTTTCCGTTATGCAGTCTCAGGTTCCACCAAATTACTGACTATACTGAATTTTTATTAGAGATGAAAGGGATATCCGGTAACTATGCGGTATCAGCCTATCCGGCCATATTATGCTATCCGGCCGGATACTAGATATTTAAAAACTACTATATTTTTCTTTATTAAACTGCAAGAAAAAAATATCCGTGAGGTACATAATTCAAGATATCAAGATTGTCTTGTAAACGCACACTTCGACAAGTGTAGGTCCGATCCATACTTATCAAAGTATTGTGTATGTGTGTGTAGTTAACGAGCAAGTAAAAAATTGACTTTCACTAATCACTAAGTCATAATGACAACCGAATACGCCTAAATTTTCACAATATAAATGCATTCGTCGCAAAATACAACGTGACAAGTGACAAGGCCTAATATCCGGCTATCCGTTCATACAGCTCGCCGGATATCTGGTATCCAGTATCCGGCCAAAAGAACTATCCGTTTCATCACTAATTATTATTCATAAAAAATCCAATAAAAATGACAAAATAACTAAATTGAATTTATTCCAATTAGCAAAAACCAAACGTTTGAAACATTTCACTGGTAGCACATTTCGTGAACAAAGTACATTAACATTAGTATAGGAACTATCATTACAGCTATTTATTTAGCAACGTGTTTGAACAAAATTGTTTGGTTAAATCTCTACCGCATTCCAATATATGGATAAAATAGTTATAAAATAACTTTTGATTCTATGAAATAGGGTTATTTTTTATGTATATTATTATATTATATACATAAAGCATATATAATAAGTAGTTTCGATATTTTTTAGAATTATGACGCGGTTGGAAAACCGATATTTCTCGTATATTTTATTAAAATTATAATACTAAAAATGAAGTGTTTGATAAGCAGTATGTCACTAGGTTTTTTTTAGAATATTATCGAAATAGCGATTTTGTGCGATGCATTAATACGTTTATTTTGTCAAAAATAATGGATTCGATTTCTGCTAAAAAAATATTGCCTTTTAAAAAATCTAAGTTTTAGTTCCGGTCAAAATCAACCTTTACAGAATCAGAACATGACAATCAGTTTATAATATTATTTAATATTCTTTCAGTGTCAGCAATAAACTAAAATACTTATTACACTTTTTACAAGTTTAATTAAACTTTTTTTATTAACCTTTTTAGATTCACGCGAATATTTGACATTTTAATTAAAATGAACCTATCTTTTCAAATTTTGTGACGGTTATATTTTAAATTTTGATTCCCGACATTTCGAATGCCACCCGCGACCATGTTTGCTGTAAAACATTCGTAAAAGTCGTGAACTACAATATAAAATAAAACCGCGACGAAATCCGAAAAGACTGTTAAAATCTTAATTACAAAAATTAACTAAAATTTAGACTCCACAGAACGTACTATAAAATCGCTTTTCGTGCAACATTAAGAGTTCATTTGAAGGCAACTTAGTAAATTACACTAAATGTTCAAATAATATATTCATAAAATATTTCTATTTCACAAGTCACTATTAAATGTATGAAAAAATATAACATCTGAATTGTGAAGCATTTAACGCCTACACAAAAACGCATACAAGTGAACAAACTTCATATCACTAAAGTACATGTCAATATGAGTATTTTTTTTTAGTGTACATTTCTCTTGAAGTAAAACTTCTTTAGACATGACTGAGGGGTAAGTAAATACATTGAAGATAATAGTGTTGCGGAAGTGAGTCATAATTAATAATAATTTAAAAATGAATATTATATTAATATTTTTATAATAATTATAAATTTATTATTAGTAATTTTATAATAATTATTACTCATAAAAATGAATATTTATTACCAAAAAAAAAAAAATTTAATTGCTGTATCTGTCACAGCGCCAAAGAAGTTATACTCCAACCGCGCGTAAACGTTACACGCACTCATTTTTTAAGGTGTTAGATTGATTTCAATGAATTTAATTTAAATATTGAAGATAACATGCAGTGATCGACTGAAAAGATATTTTTATATGGAATAATGCAATGTTTTTTTTAATCTATAGAACAAATAAACAAATAGTATCAGCTAGATATGACAGTGCCACAATAATATGTAAATTTAAAATTAACTTTTCCAAAACTGTGTATATACAACATGTAAAAGCAAACAATAAAGCTCATTTAACATATAAATATTGTTGTTTTTTATTACAACACTGTCATAACTCCTGTATAAATTTCACTATACTAAGTAGATGAAAAAAGTGAGGAATCAATTTAGAATATTTGCATTATATGCAAAAATTTAGTTATATTTAAATCAAAAGTTCTCAAGAATCATCTAAAATTTTAATACATCCACTAAAGCTGATACTTACAATATTTACATAATTTACACAACGTAAGCATAGAAGCTAGGGACAACTTGTTATATTTAAACTAGCCACTGCCCGCCATTTCAACAGAGAATTTCCATATATGCCATATATCGGCCTACTATCAATGATTAAATTATATTAATTGCTACTTGATTAACCAAATCTATGTAAAACAAAAACTGACAAAGTTTTAAAACAAATCGTTTCTACTATGGGAATTCCAAATGAGGTGATAAAAATAAAACTTGCATGATATTTTAATGTAAATTTGAGTAACTATTGTATTTGTTTTAATATTATATATACATCAATATACCTAAGTAGACTATACGGACAGACAGTCCTAAATCATAAATCTATTTCATTAAAATGAAAAAAAAAACATTAAATAATGACCATCAAAACTGTTTGCTGCAAAAATGAGTGAATGACTATACATGTTATAGTAGAGGCGATTACTACATAATATAATTTACAGTGTTGCAATATAAATAAAAGGCACACAACTCTCAGCTATGTAGTAGTCAAATATCAGTCGTTTGATTAATAATTTAAATGGCAACATTAAAAAAAACACTTTGTTATATAGTAAGCTTTCAACTATTTGTGGTAGAGGTACGTTTCTATTGAGCAGTAATGTTCTGTAAATTTCAGTACATTGATTCACAACCAAACAACTGAGACGGACACACATTACGATTTCAGTCAATTAAATTAACCAAACTACTGATAATAGACCTGTGGAATACTATGACTAACAATGACCTCTTTTGTGTTACCTTAATAGTGTTGCCAGAATCCATTCCACTAAACATATTACAAATAATTAAATAAATTGTCTGCCTTTTATTGGATCGTATGAAAAAACAAATCAGTATAAATATAACAAATCATCCGTCATCACTGATTCGTCCACCTGGCAACACTAGCCCGTTCACTTCACAAGTCATATCACTGAACACTTAATCGCAGTCCATATCTGTATTGTACTGTCGGTCCCTATCGTTATTTAGCGAAGAGTTGGATCCCGTGGAACTGCTCGATCTGTTCTGCGGTGCCCAGACCCCTCCACTGGTGATGGAGGAAGCTGGTGATGATGATGTACTGGTATCGTTGATTGAGTCCCACTGAGACTGGAACCGTCTGAATACACTTGGATGACGACCAGTCGCTCGACGTATGACCACTCGTGGTGCTGAAGATATAAAAATTAATTAATCAAATGTAAAAATAATTAATAATTCATTTTCTTGTATTACATATTTATTTCTATTAGTTTCAAAGTAATGGGTGTTCATATATCCTACAGAATCCATCCTATACATACCTTTCAAAATAACATTCCTTTCCTTGCAAAATAACAGTTAACCAAATATCAAACAGTTTGAATCACAGTCAATAGACTTCAATTGACATAAGAAGTTCTATACTTGAATTACAACATCACATCATAACCATATTCATATAAAACCATATCTTCTAATAATATAAAAATTATACTATACTAATATAAAAAAGGATGATATAGGTGTTTTGTTTGTAATAAACTTTGAAACACACAACTGAATCAATTTAATAATTATTTTTAATTTGAATAAATAATTAAATATTAAGTAAAATATACATAATTTGTATAAAACCCACAAAATTTTTTTAACCACAAGGCTTGGAGTGTCAAAATATGTGTGTAGGTAAGAGAAATAATGGGAAGTATTAAAAAAAAAACATACATATCCGCCGTATCTGCCCTTCACCGATAGTATTAGTGGGGCCTATCCCTATCTGACCCTCTGCTATGGTGGTTGCAGGAGTTGGAGCTGTGGTGGTATTGGCCGTGGCGGTGGTGGTGGTGGTAGTGGTGGTGGCTGATGCAGTGGTGGTGGAAGCCTCTTCGGGGGGCAGCAAGGAGCGACGGCAGATGGGACACGTCGCGTGCAACTGGAGCCAGGGCGTGATGCAGCTTTGGTGGAACACATGCTCGCACTCCAGACGGGATGTTGTTTCACCTGTAGAGATATAATGGTATTAAATTAGATTAGTTAGTAAATAAAAAAATATTTTAATTAACAAATCCATAGAAGACCTATAAGATCTAAGCATCAATAACCCAATTGGGATTTTGAAAAAAAAATTGTTTTTTTTTTATGTATTTTAAAACTTTATTATTAATAATATTGATATTTAATGCAAAAACCTTAAAATTTGTTTTCCATTATTTATAAACAATTAAAAATTAATAAAATAAAAAAAAATCAAGTGACTATAAACGCGCCATGATTGGTCACCATAGTTGTGACGTCATAATGCTATATCTATTTAATAAAAGTACAGCGTTTACGGCTATTACACGTGATTAGACATTAATATTGAAAATTTATTGCTAAAAAACGAGTTGTTAGTTGGTTACGATTAGCTATGTGTGATAAAGAATTTATTAAATCAAAGTCTGATAATATTCCTGATGTTGATATTTATGATATCCAATTTTTAAAACAATGACATGCAGTTTAATTCTGCTGAAGTTCGAGGTGCCAAGGCATCAAGGTAAGTCTGTTAAAAAATAATATAATAAATGAAAATATTTAAGTATTTATTCTTAATTATATTAAATATAATTATTTATTTCATAAATTGTAGAGCATCTTCACAACAAAACAAAGCGATTTTGTTTTGGGTTTATCACGGTGCACTACTTGAAACCATTTATTTCGACGTTTGTCATCTTAGGGAACATTTACAAACATTTTGTCAGGAGTACTTTTCGTAGTATGCGTATATAATGGTACAAAATAAGAACGATAACTTTTGAGGTTCGCCACTTTCAATATAAATTTGAATATTTAATAATGACAACAAAACTAAATAGGATCAAAACACTACTTATTATTACTATCTCAACTGCAATGAGTGAAAACTAACATTTTGACGTCACACGCGCTCGGGTTTGTTCGGGAGCTGTCGGCGTGTCTTCGATACTGGATTCAAAAATGATTTTTTGAATTATTGCGAAAAAAAAAATAGTTTTGTAATAAAACTTATATAGTATCTTTCCATTTATCACAATTTTTTTTTTCAAAAACCCAATTGAAAGTCCTCCCAGCACACAGAACACATTGTGTTGGCGCTAGCCTGCTAGATTAAACTAGACCTGCTAGACCTGAAGTTCCTTGACAACACTAACCCAGCTGCTAGCTAGACCTGGAAGACCTATAAGATACTAACCCAATTGAAAGTTCTCCCAGCACACCGAGCACGCGGCGTTGGCGTTAGCCTGTTCCTCCGTGACCTGCTCGGTGGGCAGCGTGGCGAGGCGCTCGCGCGGCAGCGGCGGCGGGCCCGAGTGCTCCAGCTGCCCGAGCAGCTGTGTCACCACCGCGTCTAGACCTGGAACCATTCATGTCCACATCATAGGACCATCCATATCTATACTAATATTATAAAGAGGTAAAGTTTGTGAGTTTGTGACGTTGTAGGGAGTAATCTCTGAATCTACTGAACCGATTTAGATGAAATTTGGTAAGGAGATACTTTGACACCCTGGGAAGGACATAGGATACTTTTTATCCCGGAAATCATCCCTTAAAGAGGTGAAAATGGGGAAGAAAGATTGTATTGGGAATCAAGCTAGGGACGAACCCGAAAGAAGCGAGGGTGAGTCGCACCGCACCTCATTAAAGTTTTTCTTGGAATATAACCCTCGAACGTAAGAGATAAACTCTCTTAGAGATAAGTCATCCTATGCACACACAGTACCTCATGTGTATTTTTATGTGTATATTTTTTGTGGTACATAAATAAATATATATTTTTAGATGTTAAAGGTTTCTTTGTATTTAATTGGTCAGAACATGTATATTTTCTTTTCATTTACTTGCATGTATTCAACCCTTTTAAAATCCCACTGCTGGGCACGGACCAAAACAATATGAATGAGATGAATCAGGCCAATGTCCACAATGCTGGTCAAGTGCGGGTTGGCGGACTTCACATTTTTTGAAAACTTTCTAGATTTTCTTAGACACGCAGATTCCCTCACGATATTTTCTTTTACCATTAGCGAGGTAATAATAATTTACTTATAGATCTAATGTTATAAATGCCAAAGTTTGTGTATATGTGTTATTTCTTCACATTGAACTGCGTGGACAGATTTTGGTCTTTATTACCCAGGTAATGTAATGTTCTCCCGACAGATTTCGGCCACGGTGGCCAATCTCACTGAGACTAGCCTGATACACAGATATTATAGTGCACAAGTGTCCGCGTAGACACAAATGCACTCTCTATTCCTGCCACTCTCATACTCTGGTGAGACACCGCCAACTTTCCAACTCCGGACAGTTACTGAGGCTTACTAAACAGAGAGACTCAATAACTAAACTTTGCCCGACCCGAGTCTTGAACCCATGGCCCCTGGATGTGCAGCCGTACATGCTAACCGGTACATCACCGAAGCAGTTAGTAGAGATAGAATATAATTCCAAGATCTCACCATCTCCACCAAACACATAGTCCCCAGGTGTTCCAACCAACACAAAGGGTGCCCCAGCAGTCATGGCTCCGGCTGGTGGCCTCCCTCCCCCGATCATCCAGACTAGTTCCTCCATGAGGGTAGGCCTCCGCGCTGTGCCTGTGTTGCCTGAAGCTCCTGACGCGCCGTTCGCTGCGTTAGAACTTGCACCTCTGGAAGGCAACATGGTAAGGGGCATCCATTAATTACTTAAACTCAAAATAGAGGGTTTGGTCCAGCAAAATCTCATCAAATCTCATTTAAATTGAAAATCTCACGTCATCTTTAAAAGAATATCCATATACATTGTTATTCAGATAATAAAAAAATATTTGAAGTGTCTCATTTTGAATTAAGAAAACAAATGTAGTCATTTAAAAATTTGATGACATATTTGGGTCAGTTTGTAGTGACCCACCCTACTTGCTGTACCAGCGGTTGCGGGTTCGAGTCCCGCTGGGGATATTCATTTGTGTGATGATCATGAATGTTTGTACTCCAGTCATGGGCATTTATCTTCGATCAACAATACCACTAGATATCGGGTCGGCGTAAGAAATCCGTCTCGGTAAATATAAGCTCACTTGCAAAGTAAGCGTATATTTCGATTAGTTCTATTCAAACACTGCCAACGTAAACACGTTCAGAATGCCGCAATGTGTATTTAAAAGTTGCAAAAATAATGCGCAAAGAAGAAATTTTTCAGCCAGAATTAATCTACATAAAGTGCCCGCTCGCTTACTTTTGATTTTTTTTGACATGTTGGACCTCTTGGATTTTAATGAAACTTCGCATGCTATTAGACAATATATAGACAATTATTATGTATTTTTTTCAAAGTGGTAATTTAATGATATCTGATAGAAATCGATTGACAAAATTTTTATTTGCATTTTTTTAATACTTTTATTTAAGCTTGGCCCATAGGAAACAGCGATAAACTATAAAGCTTATTATAACACTTACATTTTCTTTTATTATGCTAGCTTTGAAATTAACTAAGATATATCGCTTTGAAAAAAAGTCGTCCCCGGACACTTTTTTTCAAATAGCTCCTCAATTAACTAAAATAGAGATCTAATATTTACTGGATCAATTACTATTAGTGTCCTCTACAATATAACATTGGTTACGATATAGGTTCCTATGGAGGGCACTTTCGCCATGGAAGTACGGCTAGACCCTTTCATGCTTACTCAATCATAATAAAAAACCAAACCTACCAAAAACCATGTAACATAGATTTGATTGGTACAAGACATTGTATGAAAGATTGTAAAATAATGTTTATCAATGTTAAATGTTGTTATTTACATATAAATAATTATTGTATTGTTATGAAAACTTACCGTATTCGACTGCCGGACATTAAAAACGCTAAGTCATTCAATGGTGTACTCTGTAAAGTAAAGAACAATTTTTTCAATATTGCAATATTAATGTTATTAAACTTATTTTTATAATTAAAATTAGCTCCTGCCCTTAGTTTTTTAGACTACCTAGACTAGACTATGGCCAATCATATTACTTGGTTTGATTTTACTAAGCAATAATAAACCAAAGGGTTCAATTCAATTCTCTTGTTAATAGCTTCAAAGTGTGCCAGTTAAGTACAGATTACTTCGCCAACGTCACGTAGAATGGAAAAGACACGAAGAAGATTGATAAATAAAAATTAAAAAACCAAAAGTTTATATGAACATTTTAAGTTTGACTGGCAGTAGAGTGAATTTAGTTTAATTAAATTCGATAGTGGTATAAGGACGCTATTATATTACTAATGTAATAATAATTTACTAGTAAACGATATCGGCCATGGCGTAACTAGCCAACAGCCATATGTTGAATGGAGGTGTTATAGTGCACAAGTGTGTGTGCCAACAGAAGTAAATTTTATTTCTTTAATTCTCAACCAGTAAGAGATCAGGTACAGTACCGATGGCAACAAGCTCAAAAAGTTAATGGCAACTTCTTACTCTTGGCAGTCATTGAAAATCTCTGACCAAAAAACCTAATAACTTTACCGATCCGGGACCAAAACCCAGGACCTCAGGCTCTGCAGCTAACTAGTACTAATATAGCCACTTGGTCTAGTCACTAGAGTATTAAGCTAGACCAATGAGGTAGTTGTAATAACCAAATGGAATCTAAACCTGAAACTACTTATACAGTAACAAAACAACACACTACTTCAATAGAAATGTGTAACACTAAAAGGATCATCTTAAACATGTTAAATAGGATGTAGCGATAATATAATATTATTCCTGTATATACACAGAACACAAATAGATTTAGTTCATACTGAAGCACTATAGTGATAATATACATAGAAAACTTAGGCCAAGTTCAGATGACTAAATTTTGACGCGCGTTTAAATCGCGCGTCTAGATATCTTGATATTTCTCATAGCTTCCATTGGATAAGTTGAAGTAAATTGTCGAATGATTTTATAGACATTCAGAAGTAATTAAAGAATTTAGAATCATTGTCTCTCAAATTCGGATATAATGTTGCAAACAAACTGGGTATATGTTTTAATATTGAGTGATCATAATGTATCCGTTTTCTTTTTCCATAATTTTTTGTGTAACATAACCACAAAATAGTAGCCTCTTCCACGTCTATTTTCTGGACGCTACCGAAACAGACTGACAAGCACTCCCAACGCTGAACGCGCCTTAATGCTTGTCATCCGAACTCCGAATACCGAACTGATCGCGCATTGACGTGCGTTAACGCGTATTACATGTGAACTTAGCTTTAATTCTTTTATCTTTCTATTAATAGTCAACCTCATAATTATAATAATAATAAAATGATAATAAACATTCATAAAATCAAATTTACTTGAGGCACTGTTTTTTTTAACACCTTCCTACCCTAAATGTACTCATAATACAAATATCTATCCCACTAATATTATAAATGTGAAAGTTTGTCAGGATGGATGGATGTTTATTACTTTCTCACACCAGAACGGCTGAACAGATCTGGATAAAATTTGCACAGAGATAGATTATAGTCTGGAATAGCACATAGGTTACTTTTATTCGGAAATAGTGTACAGTTCCAGTGGGATAGATTTGTTTTTGTCTAGGGACGAACCCAAAGCGAAGCAAGGGTGAGTCGCTAGTCACATATAAACAAGATGTAGTATTACGAATAATGAACATAGATTATGTTCCAATACATTAAATTGACTAATAAAAAAGAATCTAATGGTTTCAATTTTTTTTTTTTGGAAACTGGACTATCACTACCTCTTTGTTATTGTTTAAACACACATTGTTTTTGATTAAACAATATTTTCTTGCTTTTAATTTCTATATAATGTATGGTATAGACTTATTAAAATACATCTACATTTACATATAAAATTTTAGTATGAAAAATTGATAATAACTCTCACTCTGTGGACCTCATCTGAATCGTCCAAGCTCCCCATATCCTCAATGTTGCTCATATCTTCTATATTACTCATATCAGCATCACTGTAATCATCTCCGGATAATGTCAAGGCTTCTGTATCTTCTAACTGTTCTATGAAACCACCTTCACAATAGGGGCATATATAGTCCTGAAATGTTTAAATTAGTGAATAAAAAATCATTTACGTAAGTAACATCTATAGTAAAAAGTTGTCAATTTTCCCATAAGTTTTAATTGTGATAATAAGTCAAATTACAAAATTTTAAGTTATTTAATTATATTTGTTGTAGAATGTCTTTTAATAAAAAAATACAAATTTATAAACTTGTTGATGGTATTTAAAATTGTTATATAGCACATAAGTACATGTGATTAAAAATTCAACACAAATTATAGCTTTGAAATTCCCTTTAATCATAAATCTTTGCCTATCATCATATTTATTGTTTTATATTATTAATTATATAATTATATTTAGAAAAAAGTTTCCAAATAATACAAATGTTTTAAAACGCATTTATAAATATTATATTGTGATGATGTAACTTTGTGTAAAATCTATGTATTTCCAAGTTAGTAAACATTTTTTTTTAATTTCAATGAATGTCACGAACTAAGTGCGTATCGCAATTTCACACCGGTTGCACCAATAGAAATTGATAAATATTACTCATATTGTATGTACTACTAGGATAAGCAAATTTCTACGATATGACCTTGAAACTTCACATCAGGTCATGAATTTACGTGGAAATTTCAGTGCAATTATGACGATAATACAAGTATAAAATACTATTGATTTTTACCTGCAGAACATCTTCAAATTCAACAAGACACCTGTGGCAGAAGAAGCGAACAGTTGGCCTACGCTCTACAATTGCATCAGCCATTCTTACTATTTAATCACAGTTATACCAATAAATATAAAATAAAATAAATTACACTAGAGGACTATGCTTTCAATCAATGAACAAAAATTTATCGTTCGCCATTTTTTAAGACATGCACACATTCTTTACTTTTTTAAAATACAGATCCTACTAAAACTATGTAGAATATAAGACAATACAGACTATTATATAATTTTTATTTTCCACATCAACAGATCACTATATTTTTTTAATTGAGCCATTTATCTCCAAATTTTGGGTACATTTTTACCAACTAAAAACGACATTAAAATTATATTTTAAAAATAAAAAATTTGACTGCATAGAAGTGAATTAAAAAGATGAAAACAAGTTGACAAAGGAATCCATCCTGGCGGAGACACATTTGCCGCGATATGTACATATTAAGTAGTATTTTAGCATTTTTCGAAATTCAATTCCTAAAGGAATAAAATAGGGGATGAAAATTTGTATGAAACGTTGTAAATTTTAATGCACAGAAAGTGGTATTTATCCTTAAAATGAAAAATAAAACAATACAAATATTTTGTATTAATTTATGTATTCTTGTGGGCAAAGCTCCTTTTTCAGATTACTATTCAGTAGTCTTTCTTCCCTAGCAGCTGCTTAAGGTAGTTAAAACTTGGACCAATGGAAAACTGACGGCATCACATTCCCCTTTAATTTTCGTCGTTGATTAAAACCTGCAATTTAAACAATTATGATAGTTTTTATATTATTTTCATTTTCAATAGTAGTAAAAAATAAAAAAAAAACCACCTCTAAACGATTTAATAGTTTTATATCACTTTCTGTAAAGTTATGTTCACATAGCCTTAAATATAAAGATTGCGATTTTGTCAATTTTGGTAGCCATATTGCTTTAGCCTACAATTTCTTCAGTTTTAGTCATTTGGGAATAAATAATATCTATTTTCTTTGCATCCTGGCACTGCACATTTTAATTAAATTTTAAATAAAATGAAAAAAAAGAACTCGATAGATATGTACATACCTAAGGGCCCGGCTCTATGCATCATGTGGCAACACTATTTATTACTATTTCATTAATTTAATAGCAACACTAGCGTATCTGTCGTTGCGTCGGAACTCGGGATAAATATGTACATATTCCTAAATATTTAATTCTGTACAATAATTCATTGTAATCTATAACTTTGTTGACATGCTGTTTTTCGTACGTGTTATAGCTCATTCAATAAATTATAGTATTTAATATACAATTTAAAAATGAATTTGTATGAAAAATGATTTCATTAGTTCGTAATCTGTGCGTGTAATGTTTGTAAGGATGATTGTTATCAAATCTGAGTGAAATAAATCCTAATCATGTGGATATCTCTTAAATTTATTACTTTTCATTATCTTCATTACCACATGTAAATTATAATAATTTTATTCAAACGAAAAGTATACCTTTTGAAAGGTAAAGTGGGTCAACATTGGATATCATAATCAAACCATATTGATTACAATGAATGAGAAAAAGCTGGTGGAGAATTTCACGAGTTACATAAATGTATCCCCTAAGGTAGGTATATTATCTATTATAAGTATGTAGACACTAAAATATAAAGTTAAAGTAAGTATATTCATAATAAAAGAAAAATGAAATCATGTAGAAATTGCTTGATTACAGAATAATGGAGAGAAAAATGGCTCTGTCCAGGAATTAAAACCAAAACTCTTAAATGGTAAGTCAATAACGTTAATATATATATATATATATATATATATATATATATATATATATATATATATATATATATATATATATATTTATATAAAAAATATTGCTTTTTAATTTTATATTTATAATTATTTGTATTTTGATAGGTATTATCCTATAAATATATTAGTATAAGTATATAATAATATCCCAAAGGAGCATTCATTTTTTTTGATTTCTGTCTAATTATAAAATATATTTTAACGCATACATATATAAGAATTTTAATAATGTTGCATATACTATAAATATGACTACAGCCAAATATGAAGCCATATATCAATACATGGAGTTTGGTTAATTCTAATTAATTCTATTATCTACAGATGATTGAATTTCACTGTTTACCACCTGTCATAGTTACACTTCACATATAATATCACTTGGTGTACATTACAGATATTTGATAATCTCTATTAGTTTTATAAATGTGAAAGAGTCTTGGGTTTTTTATTCAGCAATGGAGATATGGATTGATGGTAGATTTGGAATTTGCCTACTACACAAAGTTACTAAATAAGGGATACTATTATTATTATAACAATAAAATAATATGTTTGATAACTTTCTTATTATTATAATGTAAGATAATATATTTGACTTTTTTTCTTTTTTTTTGTGGGTGTAGTCTCTCTACCATTAAATATGACTCCTCCTTAATATATGAAGCCATAGAGTGAAGTGTAGTTTTATATTTCAAAAAAGACAGTCATAGAAAAAATTGACAAATTTCATCTTTACTATATGTAAGCATATAGTTTTTGCTTCAATTTTGATCTCAAAATAGTGATTGTATGCTTAAATGCAATGTGTGCTATATATAATTAGAGAAATTGGAATAAATAAAAGTAATATCAGCTGTCTTGCTCTTAATAATAATAAGTTAATACATTTAAAATTGTTAATAATGTTAGAGGAAGATTTAAAACAATGAAAATATTTAGTAGCATCAACATAGCCCACCCACATATTGAGGTATTAAAGGCTTGAAAAATAATTATATATATGTATTGATATTGATGAATGTAAGGTCACTACATGCATTTACATGTGTCCATCGGTCATCCTAATAGTTTGCCGCCTTGAAAATAATGTCTTAATTGCTAGAGACACTAATAGAAATCTTTTGCGACTTATCCTACAGGAATTTGATATATGTATGAGGATAACAATTGCCTCTGTCCATGTGCAACGGCAGAATTATTTCCAGGGGGGGTGCATCTACTTCTTCACATTAAAATACTAAATAATCTTTAAATGAATAACTAATTTTTATTCATATTTTCTTATTTCTCATTTCTTTGAAGACAACTACATTTAAACAGGGATTTTACTCATATAATTTTATTTCTTTATCTTTTTCTATATACAGTTTACTTCATGGCAGGTGCAAGTGCAACCCTTTGCACCCCCCTCCCGTGCCCATGGCTCTCTCTCTTTTAGACTCATAACTTATCTCTTTGCAAAAAGGAATCTTCGATGAATACTACAAGCACTTCTATATTTATTATATTATATATAAGACAAAATTGACCCCTGGGTTTTCAAAAACAAGTCCAGCAATTATCTGATAATTGTAAATTTGGTTCATTTTTAAGTGTGGTATCAACAAGTTAGCACACTACATTGATGATGTAAATGACAATAATAACTCAATTACGTATGCGTTACGTGCGCCTAACTGTATCGCTGTTTATGTACGAACCTGTACATAACAAATTGATAAAATGCGATTTTAAGCTTTAAAGTTTTGTATATAGAATCTAAATTGCTAGACATCTATTTCCACCTCGTTAGTTATGGTGCTAGAAAACTATACCAAGGGTCCCATCCGTTTCAGTTGACAGTGTTATGTGGAGTGCTTTGTGATATGAGGACTTTAAGGCCAGGTACCCTTTTTCTTTATAGTTATATATTTTTTATAGGTAACAATACTAAAATATTGTAACCTAATATTATTACGATTTAGCCAAAAAGCCTAATAAGTAATTTAACATAGTAAAATTATGTTTAATCAAATAACAAATACGGCATTTCTTGATAAATAATTTATCTGTAATTGCATGATATTTTTAATTTTTTAGCTTACGCGTTTAATGAACAATTTGTGATGAAACTATTACTATTTTCGTACATATAATTTAGAGTAAAATTTACGTATATAGCGGACGGACCACCTCTCATGTATAACCTAATTTATATTTGTTACAAAAGTTTAATCACAATCTATTCACAATTGTCAAATCGCAAAGATATAAAAAACAACAATCGAATAATTGCGTAAATCTTCCTGTTTGAAGTCGGTCAAAAACATGCGCAAAAAATATTATTTTATTGTGCAAATGTAACAGTAAATGTACAGTCTAATAATGTCACACACGATGTAAATGATCTAAAAATAGTCCAAATAATAATTCCCCGAATCTTTGTTAACGTATCCTTGTGTTGATTCTTATTACGGATATATGTACATTGTATACGCGGGGACGGGGAATAACATTAGTCATCGCTAAACTATTTCGGTGTATTAAGTTTTCATCTTTGCATACTTAATAAAGCAAACATGTGGTTCAGCTTTGGTCTTTCTAAAAAATATATAAGGAAAAAATATAAGTATACTAGGGACGAACCCGAGCGGAGTGAGGGTTCGTCCCTAGTGACGTTTTAACATTTAGTTTAAATTTCTCAGAGGTGAGATGTTTTCCCGCAGTAAAAAGGTATCTTATATGTTGACCCGGATAAGCAGCTATCATCATACTTACCTCATCAAAATCCCTTCAGTGGGTTTTCCATGATGCGGTCACAGACAGACAGACAAAAATTCTAAAAACTATAGATTCGGCCTCTGTATCGATAATAATGTCTTTCTTATTTATTTCAATAAGATTTTCCAAAAAATATTAAATGTACAGATTAGGCTTAGTTACAATTTTATTATATGTCTAGATATAATACACATATTTAGATCTTCTGTTAGGAATTAAACGGTAGGTATACCGAATAACACGGAAGAATAAAGTAGGTATGCGATATAATTCTATCCGTGTAAAAATATGATAGGTTTTCTCATTTTTTGGCTAATTTATATTTACATACAAATGTTTACTTTTATCATATTTAGTTTAATGCTCATTAAAATACATCATGAAGTTTAAGTACCTACTTAAAAAATATAAATATAAATATGTGTTGCTCGATAAGAGAACAGTGACCTATAATTAATTATACGAGATGTCTAATGCGAGGATAAGCTGCATCATCACCTGGCACCTACAGCCCCACTCGCACGTCTTTATAGTGACGTCGGTCTTACTTCACACGGCACCCAAATCCTGTACCTGTGGTTTTTATTAGATACTAGCATTGCCTGCGGCTCCGCCCGCGTTCAGATGACCAAAAACCAAATTCTTAGGTTTTACATATTAGTATACTCTTACATTGTAGTTATTGTATGTTTTCTCAGAAATGAGACATTTTCCCGCGGTAAAAAGTATCCTATTACCTATATGTTGACCCGGATAACCAGCTATCATCATACCAAATTTCATCAATATCCCTCCAGTGGTTTTCCCGTGATGCGGTAACAGACAGACAGACAAAAATTCTAAAAACTATAGATTCGGCCTCTGCGTGGATAATAATGTCTATTTCAATAAGATTTTCCAAAAAATATTTAATGTACAGATTCGGCTTAGTTACAATTTTATTATATGTATATTTAGCGACTTATCCTCGCTTCGCTGGAGTGCGTCCCTAGTTTTTTTTTTACGGAACCCTAATTTTTTTTTCTAAAATAAAAGCAGCCTAAGACACTCCTTATAACATCAGCTATCTGCGAGAGAAAATCAGTCCAGCAGTTTCGAAGATAAGCCGGAACAAATAGAAAGACAGACGGACAATTTTTTTTTTAATTGTGTTTTTCTTGTAACGGTTCTTATAATATATATGCCTATATAACTTCATATTATGCATTTAGTGAAAAGCTGTTATTTTGACATTACAAACAGACACATGAATTTTATTTATCTGTATAGATAGCAATTTGACATAATTATAGTATATCAAATGTCTCACGCTAGTATGGGAAACCACAGATAGATAGGTTATTGGAATACATAATTGATAATTTTTCTTTTAACCTCTTTTTTTAGACTATTTTTTTTTCCTTTGATACAAAATAAGTAATAATTATATATTAAAATAAAAAAAAACGCAAATTGTCACTTAACGATTACACTGGCACGCCTGAAGAAGTGCTTCATCATCATCAAGAATCGAGTAATCATACGCTAAAATGCCTTAAATCTTTTTTAAAAAGAGCTGATACTCTTACACTGCTAGGCCGATATTAACCTAACATAGCTAAGAACCACCGCAAAGAAACTGGCTTTCAAATGAAAAAAAACCGCACCGAAATCGGTCCATCCGTTTGAGAGCTACGATGCCGCAGACAGACAGACAGACATCGACGTCAAACTTATAACACCCCTGTTTTTGCGTCGGAGGTTAAAAAGTAGCTTAGCTATGTAACTTATCCTAATTCTCTTTCACAACTGGATAGAGCCGTCAGTTTTACGGGCGAAAGGTGCTTTTTAAAAAACTGAGGTTAGCCAGAACAAACCGAATAAAATATTACAATGGTTGTGTGGTCAATATCAACCACATTATTTTTATATAGGGTTGAAATGTATATAAATATTACTGATACTATAGCAAAATATACATACTGCAATAAAGGTTAGCTATCTATACGGTATTCTAAATATATTGTGTTATCGTCTGTACTTGACATTTTTATTTATCGTTCACAATAATAACTATAAAATAAATATAACCTTTACCTACTGTTGTTTAAATTAATGTTTTTAAAACATTTTAATAATTAAATATGGGTAATGTTTGTAATTCGTATAGTGTTCGTCTCAGGATTGGAGAAAATATTGGGAGGAAAACTGCATATCTGAGATAAGTTTTCCAATGACATGACAATCCGGACTTGGCTAGTGTGGTAGATTATGATAGAATGATGATAGACCTCGCTATCTTCAATTCAAGGAAGGCCCATGCCCAGCAGTGGGAAGTTGAAAAGGGCAGAATGAGAATGTTCGTATAATCTTACCAATAGAACATGCTACAGCTAACAAGTAAAAATAAATACGAATAATACGACTTATATTTTGATTAATACAACTTACGCAGTGCATATGTTAGAGTAGGTAGTGTTCAGGCTGATTAAAGTAATTGAAATATCTTCTATATATATAATAAAATAGTAACTTAGCGAAATCGATGTGCGTGTTTCGCGCAAAAAGTACTGAACCGATTTTAACTAAATTTTGTGTAGTGATAACTTATTTACTCGGATCAACATGTAGAATACGTTTTACTACAGAAAAATCTTTCATTCCCATGGGAAAACACAATAATTGGTTCTATCGAGTCTGGTTCTTAGAAATTTACATGTTTAACGCTGGCTGAACCTTAAGAGATACATCAAAACAATATACTAGAAAATTGTAGGTCTAAATAAGGCCTACAGAAAAATCTGCAATGTCATAAGTCTTTCTCCTAAGGTACACTCGCAGTAACTATTCATATCTATTTAAATCGTATCTATGTATATTTACGTAAGTCTCTAGTCTAAAAATAAAAAATTGTGAAAAAGTATCTAATCAAAATCCTACAAGTCTTTGTAAGAATATATCATAACACTAAATTAGCTTTAAATTATAAAATATATTTATAAAAAGTCTGCTGACTCAAATGCTTACTTCACGGTCAATGCAGTTTACGCCAATTTTGCTGCTTGTTGTTTAAAAACTATATCTAGTTCAATGTTGACCGTCAAGGTTAATGAAAAAGTTTGCTATATGGTTCCGTACATTCAATGTGAAACACTTCGTTACGGATTAAATCTCAAACTACATTAAATTTTATTTTAGTCTGAGACTTAAATATTATTTCTTGCAAAAATATCTTTGAACTTAAAATAAAAATCCCGAATCCGATTCGTATTTTTCTATTATCCTCTATTATTCTTGAAAGCGTGACTTAGAAATTTATAAAATATTTCTAAAAGCCTCGTTTTTTGATCTACGGATACGGAATAAATCTACAAATACATAGGTACTAAGAGGAGTTTTATCAAGACAAGGAGTTTTTATCATGATAATAAATCAGGGCTATCTTTTTTCGCGTGTTTTGTTTGAGAATTGAGTCATACTTGTAAATCGTTGTAATGCACGATCATTTTTCCTTGCATAATATGAATATTATGCTTTCATGTTGACGTAATATTTTATTGAGTATTGTAAACTAGTAGATACACACGTCACGTGTTAAAATTTGCTGTAAACTATATAATTTTTAATTTCCATTACAATTATGTTAAGGACCGCTTCTTATCAAATTTTTTTCTCACACTTCTGAGTCCGGCCTGATCTCACACTACAATAAATTTTAGTCTGAGGGCCTGATAGTGGCTTTACCCGTTTTCGAACGTAACTTATTGAAATAATTCAATATGTGCTTAAAATCAGGTATATGTTTAATAAACATATGCCTATAATGAACCATTTTTAAAGACAATTCTCATAAAAACTAAAAAAGAAAGTAAAAAAGGACTTTCAGACATTCAAAAAAAAAAGAAATAAAAACCGGCTTCTAGACACTAAAAAGTAAAAAATTGCTGAAAGGGGGTTTTCATTTACTATAAATAGCTAATCAGATATTTTCAAAATCGGTGCCAGTTTTCGTAAAAACACAGACGCACATCGATCCCTTTCCATTTTGGAAGTCGGTTAAACATAGGTTAAGTAGGTAGGTGCGAAAGCATTTTATTTTATTTTAATTAGGATCTCCAACAAAAGATACACACAATATACAACATCATATAAAAACAAAAAGCAAATAAGACTTACAACACGTGTGCTCTTTCACTTATAGGCGACCACAGCTTGCTCATTTATGTATTTTATCTTATACTTTAGTTTAAACTAAGAAAAAATTAACGTCTAGAAACAAATCTGAAACTATTTATAGAGATACAAAACAAATTTAGTTGCATAACTAAGTAACTTTTTCCAGGCGAGCTCATCGTGGGCGCCGCGCACAGCGTGGTGATGCTGGCGCCCCTGAGCGAACGCGAGCGCGGCAGATTCGGCTCTCTCTTCGTTACAAACTACAAGCTGTCGTTTGTACCATTAGACATCTCTAGCAACGATGTGAGTTTTCAATATGTACCTACCCACTACTTAATACTTTATTAGATTTACGCGAATATTTGACATTTTAAATAAAACATATCTTTTCGGATTATTTCGCGAATGTTTAAAATTAAAATTAACAAATCTTGTACGGTACTTTGGTGCCATTTTTGAATTTGTGAAATCATTTTGCAAAATTGTGGGTAGGCACTGTCTGTAACAAGTATATAATGCCTTTGAGACGTCTAAAACCTTAGTCTCTCCCGTGATCATGATTGCTGTAAATCATTCGAAACGTCGGAAACCAAAAATTAAAATAAATCCGCCAAACAATCCGAAAAGACAGTTTTATTTATAATACCCACTACTTATTGTTCTTCTTGAAAAATAGTATTGATATTATAATTGCGCTGTTCTTAAATAAGTCGCGATGACAGCACACTAATCAGGTTTACTACCAAAATCGCAAGTAGCATTAGCGAATAGCCCACTTGGTTTCTACATACATATATGGCAAGCGTAGTTATAATACAAGTATTGTTTCTACTATCAGGCTATAAAATAAACAGGTGGCATGAATGATTTTTTCTTATCTTTTATTTACAATTTAGAAACATTATATGTATGGTCTATAATTAACATGTCTTTCAATAAATGTTATAGCTTTGAAAGAGCGATTCTTGTATATAATATAAAATTTCTCGTGTCCTAGAAACGGCTTTAACGATTTGAATAAAATTTAGTGTATATAGCACAAAAAAATATTTCTTTCTTTATCTACCTGCTCTCATGCTAACAATGTCATATAGCGCCATCTCGTATATATTTGTGGTACATGCATTGTCCGAATGGGGTAATAAGAAAAACCTACTGAACGAGCCTACGCTGAGAGAAGCTCGGTCGCCCAGTTACGAGGAGTTTATGCGTCACCATTATAATGTAAAAATTATATAGCAAATAAAAGACTATAAAAACCTACTTCTGTATAATCAGTGAACACAAATATTACAGGAGTATGGTCAAAAAAATCAGCTAGTAGGCGTATTCGATGTTCCGTTGACGGGCGTCGGGGCGCTGTGGCAAACTGACGGGGGGCCCACCCGGCGGCGGCGGCTCCTGCCGCGCTCTGACGTGCCCGTCAAGTTGAAGGGATTACAGATTGTTTGTAAGGTAAATTACCTATTATAATTGTTTTGAATATAATGTTATCAATATCAGTGTTTGTAGTATTTGTGGAATAATATTAATGAAATGAGAAATAATAACAAACTGAATAAATATTTCACCGACTAATTAATTATTTATAACACGTGATTGATCTCCTTAGATTTAAGAGTAATATGTATTAATGTTACTGTTTTTTAAAGTCACCGATTTATTATTTTTAATTTACATAAATTATTTATTGATTATCTTTATATTTCAGAACATGAAAGTATTAACGTTCAATTTTGCTAACTCAGCAATCGGCAACGCAAGGAAAGTGGCGATGGCGTTATTACACCATGCTTTCCCCAAACGACACGACTTACTGTTCGCCTTCGAGTACCGAGAGCCATATTACCCCACACTCCCCTCAGATTTGAACATGTTCCAAAGACCAAGCGATTGGAAACGTGAACTAGAGAGATGTGATTGTCCTCATTGGAGGATAACTTGCATAAATGGCACATCCGATGCTTTTATGCTCACAGCTGGTGAAACTCTAATAGTGCCAAGTTCTGTTTTGGATTACAATTTAATAGAAACGGCAAGGCATTTTAGGTCAGGTCGAGTGCCAATATGGGTGTGGGGAAGGAGCGAGGGGGCTGCCTTGTTGAGGAGTGGTGAGCTCCTGCCCACTGAGCAGTCGGCGACAGCTGAAAGTGTTTTGTTGGAACAGGTATGTGAAGATTTTTATTTATAATGTATTAGTATCTAGCGACTCACCCTTCGCTTCGCTCGGGTTCGTCCCTGGGTTGATTATTCCCCATACAGAATTTCATACCCATTTTCACAAGCTTAAGCGATGATTTTCGAGATAAAAAGTATTCTATGTCCTTCCCAGGGTCTCAAACTATCTTCTTACCAAATTTCATCTAAATTGGTTCAGTAGATCCAGAGATTACCCTACTACCCTACAACGTCACAAACTCACAAACTTTTCCTCTTTATAATATTATTATAGATTAGTAATGTATGTGTATTTAGTTTTTATATTGTTGTGTAAATTCTTTTATGTATACATTTTTTATATTTAAAAAGGGTACACCGAATTTATACAGATTTTGAATTAGATTTTTCTTGTTTTATAACCACTGAGAAAATATATATATACCTCTTCATTTTTCAAAGTGGGTTAAAATATTTTATAATAGTAAAAACTTTTTTTATCGTATCCTGAAAACTACCAACATTTTAATCCTAATCTATTTTTTTTAATGTGGTAAGAAAATTTATCTTACTTTCCGGCTTCTCCATTATAATTACATTTTAAGCAGGCGTAACAGTGAATTCAAATATCATTCAATGCTATTAAAATATAATTTATATGTATTTCAATTTTAAACTTTTTTAGAAAACATTTTTTTTAATAAGGAACTTTCGTGTTGTTGTGTGTTCGTGTTCAATTGAGGCGAACATGAGATTATATGAGATTGAGCCTATATATAAAACGGTAAACCAAAGGTTATAGCTTATTATATTACTTGACTGGACCATTTTTTAACTCTAAAACGATAGAGTTGATTTTTGTGCAATATTGTTTTATAACTGTATTAACGGTATCGGAAGTAAAAACAGACGTGTATTAAATTTTAATCGATTGATTACATTCAAATATAGTTTTACTATGCTCGGTTCCAAGTTAGTAAAAGATACGATTAATATGATTCTGTTCTCCAAATTCGAAACGAAAGAGGTCCATTTTTGAACGTAGTTAGCTTAAAGCTAAAATTCTAGGCTAATTTAGACTTATAGCTAAAATTCCACATCTTGCCCCGTGTCATGTAGTGTCCTGATTCCTGATAAAATAAAAACTCTTTCCTTATACTTTTTATACATGTATACCGAAGGATGGATAGCAATTTCCTCTGAGCGTACAATTAGAAAACTATGATTGCTAATAGGTCTTTTAAGGTAAATCCCCCCAAATTTGCCAACAATACAAGCCTCTAGTAATTGGCAACCTCTCTATTCCACGTGGCAGTTATGATAAATCTTCCCGACTTCTTCAACACAAAAGGCCCATATATACGCCGCTATTCATTATCATGGTAACGATTTAAGTTACAGAAGCGGCAAATGATAAAAATCCCCGAATACGGAGATGCGATTATATGAATTGAAAATTGTAATTAAAAATTGTTTTTTCCAGGTTCGTCGATCGCATCCAAAATTAACACCTCCCCATGTGATATATTTGTGTGGAAACAGTTTTAATAATAGTGGATCGCCGGCGACTTTACCGCCTTTGAATACATTGAATATGGCGTTCAAGAAATTGGCTGATTTATGTACACCCACCACTCTGTCGGGATTTTGGGTTAGTATACTTTGTTTGATGTGTAACGTAGTTTAATTATTGAAGAAATTTCTAGAACGTGAAAACTGAAAGGTCTTACTATTTTGTGTATATTAAAGATTTTATAAATTAATATTTCTAGAATAGTTTCAATTTTAAATAAAAGAGAAAGATATTATAAAACTTTTAGTATGCGTGAGCGAGATGTATTTTATTGGGACTTAAAAGCCGCGCTTTACCATGGTAACATCAAATAAAAAAATCACGAAAACGTGAAATATTTACTTCCTGTGTTGTTTAACACCTCTAGGTAAATTTCTAAGAAATTAATTAAATTTCTAAGAAATCTATTGTTAACTGTAACGCCGGCGTGTCTGCGGTCGTGGAGGGATTAATAACTCCCATGTATGGCTATAGATTCGTAGATCCTAGATTCGAGTGCCGAATCGGGTTAAATATAGTTATTAGGTTACTTGTCAAGCAATTTCAGTAACTGTCCAGAGTTAAGAAGTTGGCGGTGTTCATCCGCCATACCTCAAAGAGCACGGTAAGCTGTCGGTCCCGGACATAATCTCTCACCATTCATATAGTATTGATGTCGAACGAGAGTGCACTATAATACCTTCTGCGCAGTTCACTAATCTCAGTGAGATTGACCGCTGTGATCGAAATTGGTCAGGAGGACATCATTAATATTATAAGCGTTTGATATCCCATTTATCCCATTATTTATTATTATAAATTCGAAATTTATAAATAAAACTATCTTTTCGGATTATTTCGCGGATTTATTTAGATTTTTGCTTCCCGACGTTTCATGTCAAACATTCGCGTAAATCTAAGAAAGTATTATATAAATTCGAAAGTTTGGATGGATGTTTGTTACTCAATCGCGCCAGAAAGGCTGAACGGATCTGGATGAAATTTGGCACAGAGATAGATTTTAGTCTAAAATAGCACATAGGTTACTTTTTATCATGGGCAGTGGTAGTCCAGTGGTAACGCGCTCGCTTGGGAAAACGAGTGAAGCGGGTTAAAATCCCGGGCCTCGCACCTCCGGTATTTTCATATGCGAATAATTTCCAACATGATTACCACTTGTCTTAACGGTGAAGGAAAACATCTTAAGGAAACTTGCATGACTGAGATAACCTAGCGAGTTTTCAAAAGGCATGTGAAGTCCGCTAACCCGCACTTGGCCAGCGCGGTGGACTCGGAGGGCGGCTCGTACCCAGCAGTGGGGCGTTAAAAAGGCCTGAATACATACTTTTTATGAGAAAGATTCGTTTTATTTATGATATAATTTAATATTAACAATTCCAGATGCAAGACTCGCAGTACTACTCCATCCTGGAGTCGAGCCGCTGGCTGCGCCACGTGGCGGCGTGCCTGGCGGGCGCGGACGACGCGGCCGCGCACCTCGCCGCCAACGTCACCGTCGTGCTGCAGGAGGGTACTTATACGTTCTTTACTAATTGTCTGTCTACCAGCGGCTCGGGTTCGTCCCTGGGTACATTTTTTTTGAGCGGTACCCTAATTCTTTTACTGAAATAAAAGTAGCTTAAGTTAAGGCTGGGCCGATTTTGACGGGATTTTCACTTTCAGATGAGAGTGAAAAACCCGTCAAAATCGGCCAAAAAAAAAAAATATATATATATATATATACATATATATATTAGATATAGTCAGGTCTAAGTCAAGTGCGAGGCGGACTCGAACACGAATTGCACGGCGGCCATTTTGAAATTTACCATCTTGTTTTTTTTATTATTTATAGAAAGATAGACGGACGGAGGATGCTTATTAATAGAGATGGAATCTTTGGCTACGGAACTCTAAAAAGATATAATTTACATTTTATTGTTTCCAGGTGACGGCGTAGATTACTGCGCGGTGGTCTCGTGCCTCACACAGCTTTTGTTAGATGAACATTATAGAACAATTACTGGCTTTCAATCGCTCATACAAAAAGAGTGGGTTGCACTTGGACATCCCTTCTGTGATAGGTATATTTTATTCATTTTTATTCATCACTAGCAATGCCCGCGGCTTCACTCGCGTTAAAACTACCAAAAAAAAAAGACTATATGGTACCTAATATTTTGGTAGCCTGACTAAGGGCAGTCACGCCTTTCGAAGTTTTACTTTAAAACCTTCGAAATTGGGCTTATTTAATTTATTGTCATAGCAAGAGAGGCATTTTCTACAATTATTTTTACTTTCGATTGATACTAAGTTGTAACAGCAAAAGAGTTCTTGTACTTTAGAAAAAATAACAATTAATAGCCTGGAGCATAGTTTTGGTGATAACCACCCTAGGTCGTGTCAGTTTATATGCTTTATGGTTTAAAAATGTCGGCTGGATAAAGAGTGAGGCGTCCACCACATATATACTACAGACCAAGATGACTCTTATATATTACAGTTGATTAAAATACGTGTATTTATTTTAAAACTATAAATATTTTTATTTTTCTAGATTCGGCCTTCCTCGTCCTGGATCGTCGAAGGAAGAAGCAGAAAGGGAACCGACAGCACAAATAGCGCCGGTCTTTCTGTTGTTTTTGGACTGTACGTGGCAATTACAGAGGCAGTTTCCAGCGGCCTTCCAGTTCACGGAGACCTACCTGACCACATTATGGGACTGTGCTCACAACCATCTGTTTGACACGTTCCTATTTAATTGTCCGAGGGACAGAGAATTGGCTGTTTCTAAGGTAATATATGTTAATGATAATAATACTTTCTTAGATTTACGCGAATATTTGACATTTTAATAATTAATAAAATAAATATGTTTTGTTATTAGAATTTCGTGCAAAGACCAATTTGGGACTGGGAGGAACAGTTTTCGGAGCAAGACATTGCTCTCTTCTACAACCCGCTGTTCTCCGGACCGATCAGGACTCCAACCACGCACAGACATTGTAAGTACTTTTATCTGTCAGAAGTTTACTGCCTTAGTTTATAGCTATTTTGCTATTTAACATATAGATATTTTTGGGCGTAGAGTAAATATTTATATTTTTGTGTGCTGGAATAAGAGATTTTATATATACATATATATATTTAAATAACAAAGAAGAGAGACACGTGCTCAGAAGTGGTAAGTTCAAAAAAAGCTCAATCGGGCATATGTACTTGGCGTACTTTTTTAAATCTAAACGAAATTCGACATCTATCTATATAAATAAAAATAATCACCGAAATGTACGCACGCGCATAACTTGCGATCGGCTGCACCAAATTGGATAATTCTTTTTTGTGTGTTGTTATTGTCAGGACAATTTTTGTATAGAAAAAGATTAGAAGAATTTTTTAATACTAAAATAAGGTTTTTTAAAATCTCATGATATGAAAATTGAGTGAGTGAAATAGTTTTTATCCTGGAAATCATCCCTTAAGGGGGTGGGAATGGGGATGAAAGTTTGTATGTTTTTAATAAAAATATAGTTTTTAATAAAAATATCTTTTTGTATTTTTTCGCGGATTTATTTAGATTTTTTCCTGATGTTTCGAATGCTTCACTCTAAAAATCACGGGTACAGTCATACCTGAACTATTTTCTCTTTCATAACCATGATTGCCGTAAAGCATTCAAAAATATAATTTTATTTAATATGTACATCTCGTTTTGTCTATACAGCGCAGTCGCCGGGGGCGGGGGCGGGGGCGGGCGCGCGGCTGTCGCCGTGCACGTCGGTGGCGGGCGCGGAGGTGTGGGCGCAGTGCTACGAGCGCTGGCTGGCGCCGCTGGACGCGCCGCGCGCCGGACACGTGCAGCACTACGTGTTCCACTGCGCCGTGCGCGCGCAGGTCCGCCACACGGCCCGATTACTTGTTCACCTATACATATACACAGTCTATACAGATAAATAAAATTGAAATGTCTGTTTGGAATGTCCAAATAACATCTTTTTACTAAATGCATATGATATTATATATGGTACTTATAAGAAAAACACAAATTTTTAAATGTTTGTCTGTCTGTTTGTTCCGGATAATCTCCGAAACGGCTGGACTGATTTTGACGGAAATTTCACTATAAGATAGCTGATGTTATAGGAAGAAACATAGGCTACTTTTATTTTAGAAAAAGAATTAGGATTCTGCTCAAAAAAATTAAAACATACCTAGGGACGAACCCGAGCGAAGCGAGGGTGAGTCGCTAGTAAATCAATATAGACATATCGTAGGCTAGTGCTTATTTGTTCAAACCACGAGAGATGTACCAGGAGTAACCTCCTGAGAACGAAGTGGCAGTACCATGGATATTATCGTAGTTAAGTGCTAAGTGGTCCTACGGCCTCCCATTAAGAAAAAACGGAAAGATCTATTGGGTTTGAAAGCATGGTAATACCTTTTTCAGCTGGTGAGTCTCGACATAGCCACTTGTATGCGGATGTATACAAAAATGCATTCAGCATTTACGTCCCACGCGACGTAAAATACCGGTTAATTCCAATTAACCACTATTTCACATTAGGAAATGTTTTTTTTACGTAACATTAAATTATGTTAATTTTTCAATAATAAATTTAATTACAGATACAAAAACTCAACAATAAGTTAACATCGCTGTCGATAATGAACCGTCATTCCAACGGCGACACGGAAGTCGATGTCGCCGCGACGCCCGTCGTCACCCGCTTCTACCCTTTCAGCCTGAAAAGCAACGACGAAGTAGGAAGAAACCTCGATGCCATGCAGGTCAGCCTCATAGATGCCAGCCAGCTATTAGACTCTCAATCCTTACTTAATGCACCAGATTAAAAAAATATATTTGGAGTTGCCAGTAAAAAGAAATTGTGAAAATTTGGTATATTTTAAATTGGATCAACTGGCAACCCTGATTAAATGTCAAATGACAAGTTAATGTTTGACATGCGAGGGACAGTAATGCTGCACATTATTGGGGCAGTTTAGAATATTTTTTCTTATTGCCGTTATATTTAAATTCGTTGTTGTACCCTTGCAACTGTCAATACATTATAATGCTATCATTTTAGTGGTATATATGGTCTAGTAGGAAAGTTATATCCAAAACTGTAAGTGCCCCATCGAAAAGATACGGAAAATGGTCGGTTAATATCTTTATTTAATAGTATTTTGTATAGAACATTAGTCATTTCATTTATTTCATTTCATTGTATTTATGCAACGCGACGCGATATTTTAATATAATTAAAGTTACAACTACCTTTTAAAATTATAAAACATTTGTAAATTCGTCCACTATTATACGTAAAACTGCTTTTAGTTTTTAATTTTTTAATACTTTAACCGTAGATTTTAAATGTATAGAGGTGCATATTATGTAGTACTTATGTTAACGACATTAAGTTGCGGTTTGTTATTGGTTTATTTCAAATAAATAAACCGAATGGAATATGCAGATAAGATATAACCGTAGCCATTGTATCGATGAGTATTAAATAGACTAATATATTTTAATGTACATCTGTATGTATAGCCTTATGTATGTACATAGCCTTAACGCTTAGCTGTAAAGTTTATACGTAGAATTATAAGGAATTGAATTGTATTGAGTAAATGTAGAGTGTAGAGTGATTGATTAAATCTGAACTGAAATAAAAAGTGTATTGTTAGAAGTAGACTCGTTTCACTATATATCTGGGAGTAATGAAAGTGACCTATTCTTAAAATATCACATAAATGTTTTTTTATGTTATTTTAACTTGACGTTTCCATTTGTATTTTTATGATATATTTAATTTATAATGTTTTTCTGTTACCATACTTTTAATTAGTGCGTATTCACTGTGTATTTATAGCATTCGTGTTTCGTATGGCAGCACTGACGTAACTGTCAGTTTGTATGTGGAAATGGATTGTTCATGATAATGAACAAATAACAGAACGCTTGTCATCGAAAGAGTACTGTCAGCATAAAAACTTATTTACATTTTGACAACATATTTTTATCGCTACAAAAAAATGGATTTCAATTTCAAAGCCTTTATTCATGGTGATTAACTGTTTACGAAATTTTAAAGTTCACGAAGGTACCAGACCAGGGAAATGTAATCACTAATAGGTTATTATTACAATTTGTCTGGCGCTGCTCTTTCCGTGACAAACTAAAACAAATTAAAACACATGAGACTTGTTTATTCGTTAATTTTATACAATGATTTCGAAAAACGATAGTTTAAAATACGCACATTGAAAAGGTTTGATGCACGAATATTTATTATTAATATATAATTATTGATAATTTTATTCTGTATGTTGCCGCGACGAAACTTTATATTGGGATTGTTTGTTTGTTTGTTGTAAACATGGCAGCTATACCGAGTGTTCGTCTTGTTAGTTTGTTATTAATTTTAATGCAAGTTTATATATTTGTAACATTCTTATTGGACTTTAACAAGATAATACAATTCACATAAGATAATGAAGACACGTTTGACTCAGTGTGTAGTGACCCTACTGCTGTGCCAGCGGTCGCAAGTTCAATTCACGCTGGAGGCATTTATTTATGTGATGACCATGAATGTTTGTACTCCAGTCATGGGTGTTTATATTTATAATATGTATGTATTTAATGTTATATATGTGTAGTGTATCAGCTATCTGGTATCCATTATACAAACTGCGTGGCTTATAATGGAACTAGATAGTGCTGTGTGTTAATGTCTCAACATATTATATTATTATATATTTACTTGGCATCTTGTAAGTAACAGTAGTAAATTTTACACTAGTCTATAATATGAAAGACTAAATTTAACAATTATGTAAATATTAACATTAGTATTGTTTTTTTTTTTCAATTTTGTGCATATAAATTATAGGTGTGGCAACACTTAGGAGACTAAAAAGTAAAAACTTCAATTTGTAATTTTCATAGTAAAATTTGAATTTAATGAACATTATTTTAAATATATGATTAAAATTGCTTAAAAATATATTTTTGGAAATTCTAAAATGTTGTAAAATTCTTGAGACATATTTAAAATACAAAGGATTTGATACAATCCTTGATTTTATTGTTGAATATTGTCTAATCTAGATAATGATTAACGATTGTATTTTTTATAATAATAAGCGGATGTATAAATGTTTCTACGAACTGTTATAATATTTAGAGAGCTAAAGCGTGGTGCGCTGCTGTTTTCATATTTGGTGTAAATTGTGCCATTTCATTATATTTGGTTCCGCCAAAACGATTCTTGTAACTTTCCAGTTGTTATGTATGTAGCCGGGTTGTTGCGTGTAGGTACCTGACATCGCTGAATGCAGAATGTTCAAATACGATAAATAAAACAATTATCCTCGATCTTGTGTTTTCTTTATTAAATATTAGCAACTTTGAGCATCCCTTCGTCTGGGTTTGTCCCTACATACTTATAAACGGTTGGTATGGAATAGATAGACTATATAAATAAACATATACTTAAATTCTGAGTCGAATCTGTACATTAAATATTTTTTTGGAAAATCTTATTGAAATAGTCATTATTATCGATACAGAGGCCGAATCTATAGTTTTTAGATTTTTTATGTCTGTCTGTCTGAGAAGTCACGAGAAAACCACTGGACAGATTTTGATGATAGTTGGTTATCCAGGTCACCATATTGGATACTTTTTACGACGGAAAAATATCTCATTTCTGAGAAAAAACTGCAATGTAAGAGTACCTATACGAATGCCGCTGTAAATAATAGCTTGTATCACTCTTTAATTATTTCCACATAATCACGCCGTCACTCTATTTCAACGCAACTTCTTTTACGTTGAAATAGAGTGACAAACAAACAAGCACAGTTACATCTATAATATTAGTATGGATAGATACATATAATAAAATTGCCATTTTTATACGGTTTTAATTTAATATTTTATCGTTTTACATTTCCATTAGTGCTTGACGATTTTACACACTATAAGTAATAACTTGATATTATTGAGCAGATCTAATGATGGCGTGGCGTCAGAAAATGCATTGTTGAATTTTTTGGGCTTATCTTATTGACGACTTCTATACTTTACAGACAGTTTGATAAAAACGTGTTTTTTAACTATAAGATATAACATTTAAATATATCAGATACTTTTTCTACTACATTTTATCTAATACAATTGAGATGAAAAGGAGATGTACTTATCTCTTTAAATAATTTCTATATTTAGCTATAGAAAGTAACAAATATTTCTTTAACTGTCTTTGATATCGCCATTTAAAATAAAACTACTTATAATTAAATATGATAATTACCTAAATATATTTCATTTATTAATTAATATTAACCCTTAGGTACATCTAATACTTAAAGCTAATTATTATAACTATATCTTTTTCTTTTTATTCATGTGGTTACAACTTAAGTAGAGTGGCGTAGCTTTAAGCCAATGCAATCAACGCGGTCGCATGGGACGCAGCAGGCCATAAACGATTTTTTTATTTCAAAACATTTCTTCGAAGACTGCCCTCGTAGAAGTTTAAAAAACACCTTAAGAAAAAAACTTAAATTTGCGCATATTATTTTTACGAGAACCACGAGGAATGTGATTGAACCTATGTTATATAAAACGATGAATGGTGCTCTAAGCTCAGCTTTTTTACTAAATTTTAAACGTTCTTCCATGAGAGTGGTTTGAAAAACGTGAGAAGTTCCAAAACTTGAGATTTTAACCCTCAGCCTAGTCCATATTTGTTTTCATAATAGGCGGCGGGAGGAGGGTAGGGGGGAGGTGTCCATTACTTTGCATTGGGGCCCAAAAAAGCTAGTTACGCCACTGCTTAAGTACGTATTTTTCAACAAAATAATTACCTAACATTTATTACAACATTTATACACTCTTTTCATTATACTTTTTATATTTTCTTCTTCAAATTAATAAGTGCCTCAGTTCATGTCGTAGCTTTTTCTTCATTCTTCAATGCTCGTAATCGCTTAATTTTCTCAAAATGTTTCTTGGCGATGCGGAACTTGTTCAGGATTAGCGTCCGTTCCCAACTCCATAGAGATAGACGCTGTCAAAATGTTCTTAGATCGTTAAAACTTCTTTAAAGTGAAATTTAATTTGGATCTTTTGACGACACGTTTGGCTCAGTTTGTAGTGACCCTACTTGCTGTGCCAGCGGTCGCGGGTCCGAGTCCCGCTGGGGGAATTCATTTGTGTGCTGAGCACGAATGTTTATACTCCAGTCATGGGTGTTTATATTTATAATATGTATTTAATTTTATATATGTGTAGTGTATCAACTATCTGGTATCCATAACACAAGCCTCGTAGCTTACCACGGAACTAGATGGCGTTGTGTGTTAAAGTCCCAACATATTTATCTTTAAATGTTATTTTATTTTGAGTATGCACCTACATTTCTCTTACTTTTGTGTATTTACATACAAGACACGTATAATGTTAATTTTATCATATTCTATCGAGACACATAATTCGTTCTACGTCATAATGTTTAGTTTAAACATGAAGTCGCACATGTTTAACGAGAAACCATATACCTATTTGAGTTTACCTCTTGGTCCTCCAAACGCTGTTTTTATAATAAAAGGCCAATTAGGCCAAAAGAAACAGAGTTTATATCGGCCCAAACCTCAAATATTACACAAATCAACACAGTGAGTTAAAACTGTTGATCCGATTTATTCCAAATAAAGTTTTTTTAAAACAACAGGTAAGTGAAAAGCAAATATCAACAAACAACGTTTATTCATGCTCCACTAATAAGTTCAACAAATAAATCAGTCATTTGAAACAATTCTATAAAGCACTAACTAGGAACCAGTTACACTAACTATGTACAGAGCACGCTAAGTGTATGAACACCACAATTTTCATACTACATCCGAAATGCATATGTATCACAATTTATATAAAGGTCTAATTTATATAAAGGTTCACATTAGCAAAACTTATCGCAGCGTTACATTTCGCTTGTTTAATTGTAGTTAAAATATAAATATATTGTGTACATGTGTTGAAATTTAAAAATATAAGCTGCAGCATAACCCTTATGCTATGTTAATAAGTTACGTTCATAAAATTTTACCAATTTTTCAATTTTTTTTTTATTTTGCTTTAATGAATCAAGGATTTTTCAAATGATCCGAAATATATAATAAAGCCATTGTAACGGAGGTATATACGTAGAAATATTTATATATTTACAAACATGAAACGAATGACTTTCTATGGAAAAAAAATGAAGCGAACTCCCCCTCTCCACCATAAGTGCGAACGTATTTTATGAACGGCCTCTAATAGGTAAATATAATTTTATAATGAAGTAAAATTGTGCAAATGTAAAATATCTATTTTATAACATACCCTCTATTAGATTATGTGAATGATTAAAAATTGAAATTAATTAGTTATCCATAAAACTTTCGTTAAAAGAATACTACGGTTACCGATATCTATTTAAATGTAATAAAAAATGCATAAGTCTGAAAAATTGTTAAAAATATCAACAATAAGTGCATGAATATTTGAGCAAGTTTCAAAACGGCGACAATAAAATTTACATATTTAATATGTTATGGTACAAGTATAGAATTAATTTGAAATCTAAAATGCTAAATATAGTGTACAATGTACTATATAGTCAAATAAAATTGAAGTGTCTGTTTGTAATGTCAAACTGCTTTTTACAAAAACTTTACTAAATGCATGTAAATGCATGCATTTTTGTCTATCTGTTTGTTCCAGCTAATATCCGAAATAACTGATTTTGACGGGAATTTCATTGGGAGATAGCTGATGTTATAATATCCCTACACACCCGAGCAAAGCGAGGATAAATCGCTAGTTATTAATAAAAAAATAATAAAATTAATAAAAATATACAATGAAAATTTTGATCTTTGATATACTACAATTTGTAATACAATTTTTCAATGAACACATTTCTTTTAGGCTTTTAGTGTTAGCAGTACACGAGGATGGAGTGAAATAGGCAGTGAGAGTCAAGTAAATAGTTCTAGTGATTTGCACTACTCAAGCTACTAATTTGCTATGGACAGCTTTAAGCTTAAAAAATTGTTGGTGTGTTTTTTTAATAGATAAAATATTTTAAAGAACATAAAATTCCAATCCATTTCATTTTATGGGACAATTAAATTCTGTTTAAATTAGATATTTGTTTACAAATCATGTGGAAGCCTCACTAAACTAGATTGGTACTCGAACAAAAAATATACATTGGCACTACGTTCAAACTAACATGCCAAATGTTTTGTTTGATGAATAAAAAATATATAATACAAGACACATTGCATCACCATGTAATTATATAATAAAATTTCAATTACTAAACATCTCCATGAACAAAACCGTATTCTTTAAAAATTAGCAAATAAAATTTTAAAATCTTAATAACATTATTAATTTACAAAATGGGGTTCAATTAAAAACGCAATTTATCCAACAAATATGCACAAAGCCGCACCGCTGCGTCCGTCACTGTCAGTGTGAAACGCCATAACTTCAGTGTCAGTTGTCGTCTTCTTCATTCTCAAACATCTCGCCATATTCTTGCGAGTGCTCGAAATCTCTCATGTCCTGAACAAACAACGTGAGAATGAATAAGAATACAACTGTATATTGAATTGCATATAGAAAATAGAAGCAATAGATTTAGTTCGGCCAATTTAATCTTTGATACTCCATGTTAATATTAATATTAACAATATAATAGAAACTTTACAAGTGTTCCATTTTAGGGAACTTTTCATAAAAGGGGCTCAATTTTGGTATACTTTGGTGTATAAATTGCACATTAACAATGCGATAAAAGCTAGCTAGGATAAAAATTTAAAAAAATAACACATACATAAGCATACCATGCATGCGAGTATCAATCTGACTTTAAAATAAAGTATAGTTTAGAACTATAATAAAATGTGAATATAATATTTACCTGAAACATGCCAGTGGCAGCCGCATATCCCGTCATAGCAAGCAATGCAAACAAGCCTGCCAAAACTTTATTGCGTGTAGCGTTAGGAAACTGGACCTCACGCTCAGCTTGAGTACCTTGAGACTTCTTTGCGTTTTGTTTATTGTATTCTATATAAAAAATATTGGTAACATTAAAATAAAATCAGTGGATAATTAAATAGTGTATAGTAACATACCTCAAAACAGTAATGTAATTATTCCTATTAAAAATAATATATATTGTATAATAAAATTAACTAAATATGCTTTTACTTAGATGGTTTAATTTAAATTTAATTTAATTATAACAAATAAGTTTTAATTTTAAATAAATAAATCAAAAAACATAAAAATAAAAATACTTTTATTGACTTAAACATTACATTCCAAGCTAGTCGCAAGGGCCCCTGTACTAGGTAACCCGTATTACTGGGTGCCCCGCTCATCCACCAAGAGTAGAAAGTCAACAAACAGAGTGAAAGCAAAATAAAAATTACTATTTTATTTGCTATATTTAATTTTTTAAAGTAAATAATAAGTTCATCACATATTTTACCATCTGTAACGTTCCTAAAGTTCTTCTGGCTGATCCTTGCAACAAATCTACTTAAATTGGCTATTCCTTTGACATGGTTTGTAAGAGTTGAATTAGGGAAAGGCGCTTTCACGAGTGGTGCGAGGTATGCAAACACTATGGCATCAAATGAAGATGGACGGTTTCCAAAAAAATATTCACTTTCCCCTAACCTGTCTGAGAGGGTCTTAAGGCACTTTTCGGCTTCACTATAGACCTAGAAGAGACAATTTTTTTTAATGGCATAAAATAGAAATGTATTTCCATCACTATGCATAGAACAATTTAAATATTAAAAATTGCAATATACTTGTCCTCATTTAATAGAAAAAAAAATATATTTTTAAATGTTATTTCTTATTCATAATTTTTAAGATTAAACATAATAATCAAAATTCATTCTTTAAAATAAGTTTTTGGCTGTTCTTGAAGCATAGGTACTTTAATAATCTATACTAATATTATAAAGTTTGTTTTTTTGTTTGAACGTTGCTAATCTCAGGAACTAATAATCCGATATTGGAAAAATTCTTTTTGCATTAGATAGTCCATTTATTGAGAAAGGCTATAGGCTAAATATCATATAATATAGTCTATCTATCCCATATTAACCGTTAAAACATACCTAGGGAACCTGAGCACAGCGAGAGAGAAATAATACATAATAAATAAGCGAGAGTATATGATAGATGGTTATTAATTTATAAAGAATTAACAATTTTAAATAAAACTATCTTTTCGGATTTTGTCGCGGATTTATTTGGATTTTTGTTTCCCGACGTTTCGAATGCTTTACAGCATCCATGGTCACGGGAGAGACTGAGGTGTTACATGTCTTGAATGTATAGTTGTTACAGACAGCCTACCCACAATTAACAAAATGAAAATTGCACCAATTACATTACAATATTTTTTAACTTTAAACATTTTTATAATTTTAATTATAATTGAATATGGAAAATTATTTATTTAATTTTGCTATTATTTTTATAATTATTACAATTTTAAATATTAATTAGTAATCTATATTTAGTGTTGCCATTATTATATTTATAACCATAAAGAAAAATATAAAATGTAGTATTAATTATTAAAGCCATATAATTGTTCTATGTGTAATTTAAAAAGTTAAAATTAATTAAGGATAATAATTTTAATTTAGTTTGCTATTTTTTAAAAACAACTTACTAAGCAACACTATTAATATATACTTTTACAAATGAAAAATGAAAAATATTAGTCTGATAAGCTGTCATTTTGATCTACACAGTATGAACTTACTACATCTGCCTGTCTGTTATGTTTATATTTATTATTTGATTTTATTATATTAATAACAGGATCCCATGACGATGGTTGTACCCATCCATCTTCCCTATTGAAATTTGGATGTTTTTTTAATTTCTATGGCTTCTCGAATCATTCTAGGGCGATATCGGTTTTCCTTCGGGAGAATTTGAGGTCTATCGAAGCGAATATAATGGCTTGGGCGGTCCTAACTATGTTTGCAGACAGCAGATGTTGTATTGCGGAACATCTGCTGTCTGCAAACATAGTCAGGACCGCCCAAGCCATTATATTCGCTTCGATAGACCTCAAATCCTGGCGAAAGAAAACCGATATCGCCCTAGAATGATTCGAGAAGCCATAGAAATTAAAAAACATCCTAATTTCAATAGGGAAGATGGCTGGGTACTACCATCGTCATGGGATCCTGTTATTAATATAATAAAATCAAATAATAAATATAAACATAACAGACAGGCAGATGTAGTAAGTTCATACTGTGTAGATCAAAATGACAGCTTATCAGACTAATATTTTTCATTTTTCATTTGTAAAAGTATATATTAATAGTGTTGCTTAGTAAGTTGTTTTTAAAAAATAGCAAACTAAATTAAAATTATTATCCTTAATTAATTTTAACTTTTTAAATTACACATAGAACAATTATATGGCTTTAATAATTAATACTACATTTTATATTTTTCTTTATGGTTATAAATATAATAATGGCAACACTAAATATAGATTACTAATTAATATTTAAAATTGTAATAATTATAAAAATAATAGCAAAATTAAATAAATAATTTTCCATATTCAATTATAATTAAAATTATAAAAATGTTTAAAGTTAAAAAATATTGTAATGTAATTGGTGCAATTTTCATTTTGTTAATTGTGGGTAGGCTGTCTGTAACAACTATACATTCAAGACATGTAACACCTCAGTCTCTCCCGTGACCATGGATGCTGTAAAGCATTCGAAACGTCGGGAAACAAAAATCCAAATAAATCCGCGACAAAATCCGAAAAGATAGTTTTATTTAAAATGTCAAATATTCGCGTAAATCTAAGAAAGTATTAAGAATTAACAACTACATTAAAAATATTACTTACAGTTTTCTCGATTTCTTTTAAGTCAGTATTTTCTCCATATAACGCATCTATCATTTCCTTAGCAGCACTTTGATATCTAGATGGATAATAAAAATTAAATGGGATTTGAAGGGCTTTCGCATATGTGGGCCGTGTCACATCTCCATAATTTTTCTCATCGACCCACCAGGCATACTGATATGCAGGATAGAGTTTTTCCCGAAGGTATTGTGTAAAAGCGCTGGCTTCAGCTGCTTGTTTTTGGTTTAAATGTACATCTGTGCTGTAATGCTAAAAAATATTGTATACATTTTAAAATTTGATAGAATGATTATAATTTTTTCGAAATTAAAACGATAATAACTTAAAATATTTCTTACCAATGATTTCAAATAATCTACAACCTCCTCGAAATTTGTAAGAACAGTTCTCCCATCTCTCATAACAGGCAAGGCGCCTTTTGGTGTAAAAAAAGGGTTACTTGATTCTCGAACTTTGACCGCTACACCAATAAATTTCATATAAGTCTGAAATTTTATGTGAAAATATAAACTATGAACACCGGTTTAGAACATAAAAGGTTATGAATAAAATACTCACTAAGACTTTGAGGCATTCTAAGTCAATAGACGCTAATCCCCATTCTCCTCGCCATATATCTAATTCTATGCTAGACATTATTTATGAAACAAATTCGCAATTTTAAATTAATTTTAAAATTTATTTTTCTGACATTGCACAAGAGCTATAAATTGTCAAATGTTATATTTGTCATTCATGAACCATGAATGTTATTCACACCGACAGACTAAAAATTACCGATTATCTCAACCATAGATGAGTAATAAAGTACTAGGTTAAATTTTCAATCTTTGATCTACCATACAATGAATGAGCGAATGTGCGTAAGTGAACGATCATTATATATATAATAATTTATATTCTTTCTTATAATCTATATTTCAAAGACGAAGACCAAACTAATTTATTTAACTTGATCGACTGTATTGATTTAAGATATTAATCATTAAGTAATATGGTTCTTCCTTTTAAATATGTTGGGACATTAACACACAGCATCATCTAGTTCCATGGTAAGCTACGAGGCTTGTGTAACGCGTTATGGATACCAGATAGTTGATACACTGCACATATATAACTATAAATAAATACATATTATAAATATAAACACCCATGAATGGAGTACAAACATTCGTGCTCATCACACAAATGAATGCCCCCAACGGGTCTAGAACCCGCGACCGCTGGCATAGCAAGTAGGTAGTACAAACTGAGCCAAATGTGTCGTCTCCATTTAATATTATATAAAATAATAATTTCCTCCTAATTGATTAATATCATGGATTGATTAGCCAATCTTGATATAATTAGCCATTTACTCAAGGTGAAATCATTTCACATTTCAATCATTTATGTGAACATGTGTTTCAGCGTGTGCGCAGGCATAGTTGCATTCTGTACTTACTAACTCTAGGTTGGTAGGAGAATTTCTTCAACGTATAAATCAACTCCCTTGGCCAGATTAGGATTCGAACCTAAGACGATATAACTCACTGTCTCTGGTTAAGATATAGAAGGCTAACACGGCAGTGTAAATATTATTGTTAAATCGTAAATAATTAATCATTCTATAGTGACTGCTTAAAATGAAGTTAATTGATTATATTATATTGTGATAGGCCAGTCATTATATGAAAATAGAACATTCGCATTTCAAGTTTATAGTTTGACAACTTATTTCAATTTTAAAATGCTCACATAAAATTTACAATTTAATCGACGATTTTGTCATTTGTGTTTTTGTAGGCATATATATATTTTATTTTGTACTTTTAAATTAAATATATTTTTGCACTTTTAATAAATCTATGTATTAACAGTCATGTTGATTGATCGAGTGACAGAAAAAAGCGATTCAAATGAAAAACAAGTTTTGGATATAGAAAACAATTCTCAAGAGCATAAAATACGTAATGAGCTAATCGAACTAAGAAAAACAAAATACCGCAGCACAGACAAAGGTATTGTAAGTAGTCTTATTGTACTAAATATTTAAACTAGTAAGTTTGATAATAACCTACTATTAATTCTTCTTTTTCGTTTTAGCAAATAATCTAACCACTCGTGATTTAGTAATTCTATATGAAAATATGGAACTCCATGACGCAAGCGAGATAAATAATAAAGCACCTAATCAGCACGTAGAAACTGTTGTATACAATGACGATTCGGATTCTGATGTATCCGATGTGAGTGAAATTTATAGTAATGAAGATATAGGTAACGTTTTCATGGTTAATAATGAAAGGATAGACCTTTTAAATAGCATACCTTCATTTGAAACAACACTATGCCATAAGTATGGAAATATGGACATGGAGACAGCTAATTTAGCTGGTGAATTTGATAAAAATCTTCTTTTTAATGATCCATATCTCAATGAACAGTTGAACATTCACGCATTGTCTCACTGTAAATACTCTGATAGTACAGTCATTCCTGCATCATTATTAGATTACATCTGTTGTAAACGCTTAGAAGATAATTATAATTTTTACATGGATAATATAATCAAATATGTTCAGCACACTATAGAGCAGTTGAAACGTATAAGCAACGGGGACTATTTAACAGACAGAGCTAAAGAAAAATGGCGAGGGGTAAATAATAATCAGAAGACAGATGACTATAAAAACACGGCCCTAATGAGTTGCGCCAATATTCCAGTACTAGTTGAAGGCAAAGTAAGTGGACAAAAGAGTACGTGGGATGATATAGTACATTCTGAAATGGACGTTAGGTGTTTAACAAAAATACTAGAGAAGAAGATTATTGTTGAAGTGCCAAAATTACTCTGTGGCACCTATAAACTATTCAGCAGATGTTGTAACGATAATCTTATTATAAGTTGTAAAAAAGATAAACAACTTACTAAGTTTAAAAATAAGGATGACTCGCGTGTGAATGTCTTGTTAAAATTAAAGCGCTCAAATTCTGGTAAAGTAACTACAAATATAAATTCAGTAATGGTTCTGAAAACAATGCCTTGCGATAAACTGAAATCAGGTATATATTACTATATAAGTTATGAGATCGTTTATTTGATGTCCTTTACATAGGACTTCATTAACTGAATTTTGTTTCCAGATTCATGTTCAAATAATATGGCAGTACATATAATGGAAATAACACCGGGAAAAGAACACAAGGTTATAGAAATAGAGAACGACCTAAATGATATTCATGTAAAACAATCTACATCTAAAAATAGCTTAAGAAGTTTTCAACAGCCTTTTAAAGAAAATTATGAATCTCAAAACAAATATGATCCTGACGACAATAATGAATCTCATCTTACTACGTTAGCAGATTCGAGCTTGAATCTAATAACTCCTGATGAACTCAGATATACTATTCGGCGGTTAAATGTTCAGTCTCCTGTATTAGAGGAAAGTGAGGACACGTCTACAAAAAAGAAAAGGTCTCCTACTCGTGTAAGAATTAAATCACCATACGAAAATAGATCCCACGTTATTGAGGAAAAGAAGCGAAAGAAACTTTTAGAAATCAGGGAGAGACGTGAAAGAAGAAAAATTGCGATGAATGAGAGCCATAAAATTACTAAAGCTAAATATGGCAGAGGTGCAATCATGGCTCAGTCGTCCAATTCCGTGACAAAATTATCCATTACAAATAAATCTTTTTATAACTCTATATATGGCCAAACATTAAATATAGACAATAAAAATTTCAAGAAAAACCTTAAGAGGCAGAAAAGAGATAATGTTCCTTCAATTGACTTCGATTATGATGAAGAATATAAGAAAGACACTATACTAACACCGGACAAAAATAGCCAAAAATATATTAATAGAAGTTACTACTTGGATGATGCAGATACTGAGGTTATGTATTTGCAAAAAAAATCGGACGGTATTCAAGACGAAACAAAGGAGGCTGCTACTCCATCTACGTCAACTTTATCTAACGACTTTAACAATTTAAATATTTTAAAACGATTAATTACTAATACATCTACAACGGACATGAGCTACACAGATACAACATCAAGCTTACATCAAAACATCACGTAAGTCAAGACCTTAATTTAAAAGTTTAGATATTTTTTCAGTTTAATTTAGTTTTCTTTAAAACTTTATAATTTTTTATTTATAGTTATTAATTATAGTAATATAATTTGACACAAGATTTGTTAGAATATTATTTTTTTATGATTTTATTTAGGCTAGAAGTAAATGAAGAAAATACAAATGAAATTCTGAATTCAACGCAAAGTACTACAGTAGTGGTTCCGACTAATACGCCTAAACAAGATGAATACAAGGTAAAAAACTATAAGAAAATCGTTACTATTGAATGTCGAAAAAGCATTGACAAGATATATGATTTGATGACGAAAAAGTGCGACACAGAAACAAATAATGATATATATAATGAAAGCCAAATTGAAGATAATTTTACAGATGTTGCAATTGGAAAAGAGAGTTTTATAACGCAAGGCAGTGATAGTGGAACTAGCATTAAACATGAACTGACATCCTCAAGTCCCAGTTTTTTCAGTTTTGACAAAACGAATACTATGAATCATATTCCAAACAAAACATCAAAAAGAAACTCTGCTAAGATCACCAGGGTTACTCCTAAAGTTATAATAAATTCAAAAACACAGGCAAATGAATCGGATATCATAATGAAAAAAGATGCTAAAAAAAATGATACCAACAAAATTATTGATAATCCTTTAAAAGCAATTTCTCAATTACTACATGATATCGATAATGTTCAGAAGACAAGACATAAAAATGATAAAGAATTAAAGTCGTCTCAAAAACATGAAAGCTTAAACTCAGAAAAGAAAAACAACTCTCGACCACTTACTTATAAAAAACAATGCAGAAATGATAATGAATTAAATACACCACGACACCTAGTACAAAAAGAAAAAAGACTTCAAAATTTAACTAACGAGACTATTAAGTTGTCTCCGCGATTATCTACAGAAAAACCTGCTAATAGATTTAATAGAAAAAAGGTGAAAGATATCATAGACGAGGTGAAAGAATTAAAAGGTGAAGCAGTACGAGGACCTTCAAAAAGATCAAGACTAGATAGCTTAGCCCAACCCAAAAAATTATATGTTAAAGCTCACCACGAGGAATATCAGAATAGACATGGGAAGCATTATCTTACTGAAAGACAGAAATTAACAACAAATCAACTATCGAATAGAGAAAAACTTTCACCAACTATTGTAAACCGACAAAAAACAGCTACGGAAGTATCGACAGTATCAACCAAGCAAACAATTCCCGGTCCTTCATTAGGTGTGTAAAGGTGAATTTATTTAAAAAAATATTTAATACTGGTGAGTAGATTTTCCACAGACAAATCGCAGAAATAACATACAACGAGAATTATAGTACTAATTACTCTATCGTGTATGGGTACTTTAATCTATAATATTATAGTGCTTTCAAGTAAATAGTACCGTTTAATTATTATTTTTTTACTTCGTAAACAACTCTTAGGGATATCGAATTTCTATTAAACGGTTAAATCTCATTAGTAATTTTAATAGGTTCTGTTCTATTACCTAAATTCTAATTCATCTTCATGCGTCAATTATGTTTTGGTTCCAAAGGATCCATGACATATTAAAATTGAAGTAACAAGTAAATTCATTCAAAAGTGTCGCAAATTAAAATATAAGTACATTATAATTAATGTAAAACACAAAACATTTACAGAAAAATCATTCAAACCAAGAGTAGTTCATAGAAGTAATATCGAGGATTATGAAAAAAAATTACCTATATATACGAAAAAATCGCCAATTTTAAACAAAACAATATCAACTCCTGAACCATTGTAAGATTTTATTTGTTTACTTATATTTATTAGAGATACATTTAAACGTATTACAATTTTTAACAGACAGTTATTCCTGCAATATTATCATCCTCTTTTGTTAAATTGTTTACGTCTGTCTTTTTTAGAAATAAAAAAATGGTAGCCGTGGAAACTTATGTAAATAATCATTTTGGTAAAATTCTACCTACACTGATATTAGGCGACAACCAAAAATCTCGAGTCCCTCTTATACCTACCAATATTGATCTAGGTAAGTTTTATTTTCTTCTCATATCATATTTGTTTTCTCTTCCTTATACCTGTTTTTTTTAAAATGAGTTCTATTTTTATTTATTTAATATCACGAATTGACAACATTGCAGAGTCTATAACATCATCCCCACCTGCGGAAGAATCAATTGCTTTGGGCAATAAACTACATTACATGATCAATTCGATGATTAATACAAATACTAAATTAACTGCTCTTACTGAGTGTAGGGAGTCTATGACAAAATCCCATAAAAATGATACAGAAAATGAATTGGACGAAGATATAGTAAAGAAAGATGAAATATCAGCATCTGAATACCCTATTGACGTATTTAAAGACAAGAACATTGTAACTGCTGTGGCGTGTATTTCAAAAGATAATGAAAGAAGTGAAATAAATAAAGATACAATAAAAAATCTGTTTAAATATGAAGCGAATGATTCGGAGAATGAGGTTCAAAATTTACAAAACGCGTTATGTAATCAAATATCAAATGGTACATTTCAAAAACGATTGAAAATAAAAAAACTAACCTTAACACCCAAACATTCCATACAACAAGTGATTGTTCTAAATTCTGGAGACGCTAATTCATTGCTTATTAAATCAACAATGTCACAAAAATTTACCTTTTCTAAAACAGATAAAACGGAACTCAAACTTCTACCAATTTTGTCGAAAAAATCTATAAATAGATCATTCCCTCTTCAAGTATCTACTGTGGGGTATGCTTTTCCAAAATATAATAAAATGATAAATCTTACTAGAAACGAAGCAGTACTATTGAAAGAGAAAACCTTAGATATAAAATCTGTACAAAAATTAATACCTAAGGAAAAGCTGTGTGATAAAAATTTTCAGTGTAATATGTGCATGAAGGATGACGCAGAACTAAGAAAATGTTATATTTCTGAATTGGTAAAGAATAAATGTATAAGCACTCGGTCTGAGAGCTTCTATCGCTTAAGCGACTCTATTGAGGAAGATGTTGGAAAATTGGGGAAAGTGACAGAAAATACAGAGGAGTGTAAAGATGATGTTTCAGTTAACATAACTGATAATCATGAAAATATTAGCAACTCAACATCGTTAGATATTCTTGTTAGTCTTTTAAATGAGATCAAAAAGATTACATCGTGTCAGGCTAATATTGTGAATTATAGCAACGAAATGAGTACTGTTCCTAAAAACAAAGAATTTGAGGTTTTACATAACAATGTTTCTGTTCCAGAAAATACTCCAGATATAAGTATTAATAGTTCCATGTCTTTGTCTTCTCTAATCAGTCTGAAACACGAAAATTGTTCCTTACTTCAAAATGTTGTTGAGGATGCTTATCTTAATTTTGATACAACTGTAACTAAAAAAGTAGAGCTACGGAATATACAACCTTTATTCTTAGATAAGGAAGTGACTGTCAAAACGTCAGAAAAACACGTTGTACACACTTTTACAGATGTACCATCTCGTTTTTTTTCGACTACAGCCAATAAAAGTACAGAGTTCATAAATTCTTTAAAAATAATTGAAATGAGTTCAAGTCGCTCGTTGAGCTCATTTTATGACCGTAGTATTTTACACTACAATTCATCATTCCACAACATTACGAAGTCACCAAAATTTAACCAAGAAGTATTATTGGTCAGGGAAACAACCAATAAGAATAAAAGAAACGAGATCATGCTCTCAAATGCTTTAACAAAAAATATGATGGAACATAAGAATAATGCACTCTCTGAATTTGATCCATTAATGAAAATGAAAAGAGATATTTTAGTGACTGTTTATTCTGTCCTAGTTTTAACTGTTTTTGCCGCTTTAACATTTCCGGATTTTTTACATCTTGTGTAGGCTCTTATCAAATGTGAAACGGTTAAAATTTGAAAAGTGATTATGAGTCACAAACACAAAAATTTTGCTAAATTTATTTATTTAATTACTTATATACAAATATTAACGACTATTAAAGTGTTTGCTTTATTCCCTAAATTATCTTTATTTTCATTAGCAAAGAAATTTTTTACCTACCTTTTTATAATTAGTATTTTAAATCCCTGTGTGAGTGAAACGACAATGGACTGGTAAGAGGATCAATTGCTAAGAGGTCAGGTGCAAGACCGACGACTTTATGTGCCCACCCAGGCACGGGAGAGAATGCAATAGCGCCAACTTTTCATAAGCTGCTGATTCTGAGAGTTTCCTTAAAGACCCCGGTTATCACTTAGAACCTCCAGATCTGCAGCCGTACAATCTATTCATTATTGAGTCTTTCTGTTTGAAAAGTATCAGTAACAGCCAAGTATTGGTAAATTAGCGTTGTTTCATCCCTATGCCTCGGCTTAAGTCCGTCGGGAATCGGGACTCCGCCTGATCACTCACTGGTTGTGTCGAACGGTCATCCTAATGAAGTACATATGCGAGTAATAAGAATAGACAGTGAATTTGTCCTTGCGCATTCATTTGTGTAGTATAATATCTCCTGCGCAGTTGACTAGTTTTAATTAGATGGGCCGCTGTAGTCGAAATCGATTAGAAGGCCGTCATATTTTATATACTACAGTAATATAATAATAAAAGTATAGATTCGGTATCTGTATTGATAATAATCACTATTTTAATAAGATTTTCCAAAAAAAATTACTGTACAGATGTGACTCAAAATTTTATTATATGTATAGATTTTATTATATAACAAATACGTTGAATCTAAAATATACTTCATCGCAACGACTTAAGGTTGATTTTAAATTGATATGCTAATAAATAATTCAAATTATGAAATTAAAAAAGTTTCTTTGAAAAAAAATCATACATATCGATGGTACGAAACACCTCGACACAGATCTATGTATAGACATATGTACGTACCATGGATGACAAATAAAAGCATGTACATGTTTTATAGTACCAGCTGCGAGTTTTGCCACGTCACGTATGTATGTCTCCTATTGCATAATACTATGTTCCTTCGTCATCTTGTTCTCATCTTTTTAATTCGCTTTTTATGCAGTCAGGATTTTTATTTTTTATCTTTCGTGGTTGGAGAAAGGAAGTCTTACGCTACATTTACACGCTTGGCAAGTCTCGACAAGCGTCCACAAACACAAGCGTGTGAACGGGGTGTTTGGCTTGACTTGCATAAGCTTGTCACGATCCGTGCTAGTGTCGGTCTTTGAACACAGAACAAAAGAAGCTTGCGGAAAGCGCTTGTGGCGTATTTACACGTTGGTGCGTATTTAGTGTCGCTCTCGCTCTCGAGCTCATAATGTCTATTTCAATAAGATTTTCCAAAAAATATTTGATGTCAAGATTCAGTTTCGTTACAATTTTTAAACGAGTTCAAAAAGGAGGAGGTTCTCAATTCGACTGTATGTTTTTTTTTCTTTTTTTTTGTTATGTTTGTTACCTCAGAACTCCGTCATTTATTAACCGATTTGAACAATTTTTGTGTTGTTTGAAAGTGTATACTTCCAGATTGGTCCCATTTAAATTTCAAAAAAAAATACCACCCCTAAGGGTGTAAAAATAGCTAATGATGAACTTAACCTACTTCTAATTGTCATATTGACTTGAAACTTTGCAAGTGTTTCTATTTCCGTTGATAGTACGGTGGTTCGGTATTGTTGACCTTATCTGACGGTAAGGCCAGAAGGTGGATAGGTGGAACTCTTCAACGGCTAATAGTAGATACTTTGAGTTTGGGCTTGTTTTGTTTGATTTGACAAGCCTAATACGTTAGAATTCTTACTTTGCTACTACTGTCTACACTAAAAAGGGAAAAATAACAACTTTTTAACAAAAAAATAAAAACCGACTTCAAACAAAAGCACTAAAAAGTAAAAAATAACTGATTGGTAGTTTTCATTTACTATACATACCTAATCAAATATATTCGAAGTTGGTGTGCGCTTGTAAAGGCCTGGAGCTTGTAGATGTCAGCCAATAGTTAAGCCTCGACAAGTGTGTAAATGTAGCGTTACACTTTTTATTATTTGTCTATGAGATTATATGACATCGTCGTCAACGTCAAAATCACATGTTGATCAACTGACAATTGACAGCTGATTGCTGTAAAGTGTAACCCCAAGGGACGAGGGTTATTGTAAACAAAATTAATAACGTTGAAGGTTCTGTATTTATGACTTAAAAAAATGTCCGACATAAAAAATAAATCTAACAAGGTAAGAGTATATTGTTCTTCAATCAACTTTATTTAATTGCAATAATATTTAATAGTATGTCGTAGTACTAGTGGTGCATATTGTAGTGAGTAATAAATTACGGTTTTTCTAGCGCAAAAAAGAAAAAGTCGAATTTACTGCTGAAAATATCGATAATACAGCTCCAGTTAAAAAAATCTTAGATGAATTGCAACACAAAAACACTCAAGCATATATGTTTTATAGCCGAAATATAAAACAGAGACATACAACACAACAAACTTTGCAGAACTATCATTGCGTAGTCCCAGGCTTTCCTCTTAACAGTTTTGATGATGATTGGGATGGAGAACTTAACATAGACTACTTTGAGCCGTTCTGTTATAAAAGTTTGTGTCCAAAAATGATATCAACTTTGAGAAATATTGAAAAAACAGATCCAGTTACAAGTTATATAAAGCATAAAATAGAATGGCAAAGGACCTGTCGCAATTTAAAATTAACTGCTAGTGAGTTTTATAATTTTATCACATCAATTATTTCTATCCATTATTAGAATTAAATTGACTTATATTATTGTTTGAGTTGTAGATCTACATTACCACATTTAAAATATTTTTTCCTATATTTATATATCTTGATTTTTATATTAATATATGTAATTAATTATAATTAGCTAGTTCTAAAACCACTTTCAAAATATTATTTTACTTTTAGCCTTTGCTAAGATGGTGCAGAAGTGTGAGAGTTTAAATGATGAGGTAGTACAATGTCCTAAGCATATAGTAGACATGGCGGCCCACCTGGACAGTGATCCTGATCCCTATTTTGACAGTCCATATAACTGGTACTACGCTGGTAATGGAAATTTGCAACTTGTCTGTATTGATTGGATTGATTATTTGCTATATAGTGAATTTTCCACTGTATGTAAGTATTATTTTAACACATGTTTTTCTACTGAACTAAAACATGCTAGGCTATCTTAAAGGTAATATATTTAGGGGAAAATGATCTGGGTATGTAATCTAAATGGGATGATTGCTCTCTTGAATACAACCATAAAGATGGTATCCGTAAAAGTATATTTCAAGATCATTAATTGTCCTAGTTTAAGAGAAATGTATTAACTATTTTTGGGATTTGAGCACAAACCATTTTTGAACAGATTCCTAATTTTTCAATGGATTATTCACATTATATTTCTAGCTAGAGTAAATCAAGTGAATATTTTCACAGTAAAATCTTTATATTTCAGGCCATGTATTTAAAAAAATTGTTTATTTTATATTTTATTACTGTACTTAGATAAAAAAGGCAAATAAACAATAAAAAATTAATCCCGTTACTGAGTAACTAGAACTTATTAAACCGGAGAATTGATAGTTTATTAATTATTATGGTTTTATTAGTAGTAATGTAACTTTACTACTAACGCAATATAGGCGCATAGTCGTTGAGTTGCGGGAAATAGCCCGAACATACCATACTATACCATAGTAGTAATGTTCTCATTTAAGTGCAAATAAAATGGAAATTCTATATCATTATATACTCTATATCAAGTCTTAAAGAATAAAGATATGATACTTAATATTATTTCTTTATTTTTCAGATTTATCAGAATTCAGTAAAAATAATTTATTAATAAATAGCGAACATGCGGCATCATTTGATTGTGGAAAAGATTATAACATTCTTGAAACTATTTGTTCAGCGCATAATATTATTGTGCTACGAACAAAATATAAGATTTTTATATTAAAAATAATAACTGAAAACTGCAAGGTGAGATTTGAAACTGTAAAATGTGTAGATTCAGAAACCCCTTATACAAGCGTATCTTTCGATGATTACCATAAAAATATTTTATATATAACAACTTTAGATTGTAAGCTAAGTATTGTTAATTTAGACAGAATAAAAGCCAGAAGTGTAAAATTAAAAGGCAAATTCACAATGATGGATAATTGGAGTACTGTTATAGGTAGTGGAAGGGGCTTCTATACCCATGTTGGAAGGAAATCCATCTCCATATATGACAAACGTTCCAACAATACTGTGTTTGTTTGGAAAGAGTTAAGAAATATGACGGACGAAATTGCCTGTAATGATATTAGTGTAGCTAAATTAATTGGAGAAAATTCATTGTATTTTGGCACAAATCACCATCTTTTTTTAATGGATATGAGAAATATAAATCAAAACGACAGACATAAAATCGTACGGCGATGGACACACGGCATGGAAAGTGTTCCCACATATATTTCGCATGCTAGTTTTGAAATGAACAAAGAACTTCTAGTTCTAAGTAGCCAGTGGTGTGAAGATATGTGTGTATTACCAAATTGTAGTGAAATTTTGAAAGATACTAGTTCAGGTGGAGTTGTGATACCTTACCGACCGCCAAACATATTGAATACTTTTGATGAAGCGAAGCAAAAAATGCTATGTAATGACTTGTACAATCCTATAGATACGAGGCTATGTACAGCGATCACTGGCGCTCTCATAATGGAAAGGGGTGAGAAGTACGACATCCTCATGCAGAATGCTTTAGGAGATATCACTTGTCATACACTCTTCCCAGAATACATGGATACATTTATGGATAACGAAGGTCCACACAATTTACATGAATGGAGTACTTCATTTAAATTGCCGACTAAAGAGTTTGAAGTAACATCAATAGAAAATATAGCCAGCATTTGGAAACAGCTAAAAAAAGTTCCAGAAGACTTTCGAGTTGGTGATCTGCTCAAAGGCAAAAGTCCATTTAACGAAGCCGAGATATTTGAGGCGTTCGAAAATGAAGAAATAGACAGCGGGCTTCAGGAGGTTTGGATGAAGGGGCACAATGAAATTGTTGGGGATCAATCTTCGCTTGCTTTAAATTTATACCTTTCAGATGACGAAAAATAATAATTAACTATAAGAAAAATCCTATTTCATGTATTTATTTATCAGTTTTTAAAGCTTCACCAAAGGAAAATTAGCAGCATTTACATCAACTTATCACGATAGTTATAAATATTCCTTATGAATTGTTTCAGTTTTGGAAGATAAACATACTCATAGAAGAAATAACATGTTGTCGATTATTTTAGTTTGGTGCGAATATTGAAACATAAGCTATTGAAGGTAAAAAATTACCATGATTCTTGATATTATCTAAATATTAGGCTGTGTTATACTAAATAATTTATTTTATTCATTATTAAACTTAAGACTGTAATATGGAAGGTTGTAAATAAAAGAAGTATCAATCATTTAACAAGTCTATAATTACTATCTACAAGTGAGATATCAACCACATCATGACATCACACGCTGACTCGCACAATAACACAAAGTGAAATAGAATAGTGTCCATATGAGTACACACAAAGAAACATTCTGAGTAAACACTTAGGAAATATATTAAAATGCCATAGGATTCGAAACCATTATATTAATTAAAACCACATTCAAACATTGGTTCGATCGACTAACTTTCGTGTCTAAAAAGGCGTGTTACACCGAAATTCGTTATCAATAGGTACAATAACTGAAAACTATCTTTGGTTTTTTTTTTGAGGAGACTCAGTCTCTCCCGCGACCATGATTGCTGTGATGCATTCGAAACGTCGGGAACCAAAAATCAATATAAATCTCGGGAAAAATCCGAAAAGATAGTTTTATTCTGTCTTAAAACTGTCACAAATTGTGTTTAAGTAATTAATAGTCTGGTTGAAATATGTATATAATGCAACTTTCTAGATTAGTTAATAAAGTTAAACGACTGCAATGTGACAGGTCATAGTTGTGTTAATTTATTTTAATACATTTAACTAAATACTGATTACTGGCACGCTTTAAAGCCATTAACAAGAAAAGTTAATTGAATTACATGAAATATTAACTCTAAATCCTTTAATTTGACCTGATTTATTGCAAACAATGAATAAATGTGGAAGTGTTATTTTAAACTGGAAGTGTTGGTTTACACTTGAAAAACAATTGTAATCCTTTTAGTTACAACTATTAAACACTGTTAAATAAATTAATTGGCATCCCGAAAGTGTAAAGTAACAATTCCAGTTTCACATATATAATTAAAATTAGACGGAGAAAACCATTAAATTTACAATACATACAAAACAAGGAAGTGAAAATTCAACATGTCCAATTGATCTTTATAAAATTAAACTCTGAAGATTTAAATTTCATTTGTATATAATAATTACAGTGTTTCGAAGCTGCAACATCTATACAGTTGCTACTACTTGCCTTGGCATAGTTAAAAACTGGAAAGAAAAAAATATGTATTAAGACTCATGATAGACATTTATAAATAAACATAAACAATTTATTAAACGGAAAGTGAGTTTTGTAATGTTTAAACATAAAAGCACCTGGATGACCGAGCTTTGCTCGGTTTTTTTTGGTAAATTTTGTTTTTTAAAAATTATATTTAAATACAAATAACATACTGTACCCCTAGCACGAACATTTTTGCTCTATAGTATAGTTAACGTGATAGTATAGTTATAGTAAAATTTTGTATGGAAATTTGAACAGCGCTCCGTGAGCGTATTTGGAACTAAAATTCGGCAACACGAACATCTAGCGTTAGCTTTCGTATAGTTATCGAGTAGTTAACGTGTAGTAAACTAGACAAATGTATGGGAATCGGCAGCACGAATCTTTTTTTGACGTATAGTATCGCCACTTTACTTTAGCTGGCTATCGAGAAATACTTAAACGTAGTCACCGACATTTTTAAAGTGAGTAAGTGATCGAGAGAGGTCGGTTGAGCATTTCTAAGTGTTTTCTATTTAAATAACTTTAAAATGTTAAATTTAATACCGTATAGAGCCCCATCCACGGCTTTTTATTATTTTGCGTGGCGTTTGGCTGAAGAAGCAAGAAGGGAAAGACGTGAATTAAGGTTTGTGGTGAAACATTATTTCGTATTACTTATAGTTTAATTCTTAAGTTAACTTCCAGTGTACTTAATGCACTTAAATCATGTCACAGCGGTATTTCTCAACGAGTATTTTTTCGAAGAACCGAAGATCCCATGGATATATCGGAATCTGAATTTAAAAAAAGGTATAGATTGAGCAAAGAGGCATTTAAATTTTTATGCCAAGAACTTCGCTCGAAAACTAACTTGAGGGCGAGTAAAAGAATAAGTTTAGAGCTTAAGGTACAACGAATTTAATTTAATTACTCTCAAAATAAAATAAAATAAATATTGTATGTAAGCTGAATTAAACTGTTATTTATATTTTAGGTTCTTTGTGTCTTGTCGTTCTATGCAACAGGCTCTTACCAACGCTTAGTCGGTATGGGTAAGCACTTGGGGCAAACAAGTGTAAGCAAATGTGTGACCCAAGTTACGGAGGCACTTAACGACCCAAGCATAACGGATACATTTATCAAGTTTCCCACTTCAAGGACTGAAAGGGACGCGATAAAACAAAAGTAGTCAAAGTTTTATTTATTGGTATAGATTATTTTCATGTTTGTTATTTTCTCTTTAATAATTTATTTGTAATTATTAACAGATTTTTTAGAAAATACAATATACCCGGTGTTTGTGGGTGTATAGATGCATCACATTTTCATATATACAAACCAAGAAAAGAAATAGAGCATTTATTTTATTGTAGAAAACATTTTCATTCAATTAATGTGCAAATGGTGAGTAACGAAAATAATTTCGTCGCCTCGTAATTTTAGAATTATCATGGAACAACAAAATATAGTTTTGCTATTTTTTGCAGGTTGTTGATAGTGAATGTCGCATTTTAAATATTAATGCCAAATATGGAGGAGCTACGCATGACGCTTTTATTTGGGAAAATAGCCAAGTGAATAGCTATATGCAAGAACTACATCGTAACCATGAACAAGTTTGGTTATTAGGTAATAAATATAAAAAATATATATTTTTACGCGATTTCTACTTAATTAATAATTACCGAAGAGATTTTTTTACTTCAGAAACTTTTTATAATAATATTCTTTACTTTTTTTTGTAGGTGATTCCGGATATCCACAAAGGCCGTGGTTGATGACACCCATTACCGATGCCGTTGAGGGTAGCCCCGAAGCGAATTATACGTCGCTTCACGGTAAAGCGAGGGTGGTCATCGAAAACACCTTTGGCAGATTGAAGAACAGATGGAGGTGTGTCAACAAGGATCGCACTCTTCACTATTCACCGGAAAAGTGCGCCAAAATAATAATAGCTTGTTGTGTATTACATAATATAGCCCTTAAATTTGGCGTACCTGATCCAGAGGAGAACGATCCTACTATTGAAGAGGACCCCGTATCTCAACCAACCGAATCAATTGCAGGGAATACGAGTTCGAGCGGCGATTTAATAAGAGGCCGTGCTCTAAGAAGACTTCTTGTAGATAGATTAAATTTAATGTAACTTAAAATTTTCCTAAATTTAATTACTGCTTATATATATAATTTTTTTGTTGTAGATAGTTATATTTAGGTATAGATTAGGTTTTATATAATTTATGTAGTAATCATTATTATAGTTTAAAGTTGTTTAAGTAAATTTATTTTTATAGATTTTCGTTATTATTTCCATCACTATTATTATTAGGTACAAATAACAGAACCACATAAATTTTCAAGAACTCTTTAATTACAGACACTTATAATAATTAAAACTAATTCTAATTTTAATAAATCCTATTATAAATTATTCACATAAAAATAATACTACACACTACACTACATAATATTCAATGCTTATTACTAAAATATTTGTCTAAAACATTCAGTGCTACTTTCATAAACTCTAGCCATTGAGCTTGCAACTGTAGCTCAGTATCTCGTTGACGAAGCTCAATGTCTCTCTGTCGAATCCTCTCTCTTTCTAATTCTAAGGCCATCCTTTCTCTCTCCTTATTATACTTTCTTGCATTCTCCTCACACATGATAAAATATTCTGGTAGGGTTATGGTGTTTTTCCTCTTGTGAGGTGGAGGTTGTGAGGTGGTTTGCCTGTGGGGGACTGTGGGAGATTTTGGTGGAGTGGTGGGTTTAAGGGGTGTAGACGGTCTAGGCGGTGTGAAGGATCCTAGGATAGGAGGTACTGGCACTGCATCCTTGCTGCACCCAGGAGTGTTCCAGTCTTCATTGTCTGTTGAAATATATATAAAATTAGTTATACATATACTGCAAAATTACCTACATATAAACTAACTGGATTTTATAGTTCATCAATTTATTTAACATAATTATTAATTATTTCAAATATTGTTTAAGTATAAGACTAATTTAAATATTAATTTTATTTATATATTTTCGTGCAATGAGAAAATTACAAAATACTTTAAATGTAAACATGAGTAGTCTAAAACTTACCAACAATAGGTGTTGGTGTAGTAACAGGCTCTCTGGGTTCATCATAGGACACTATTTGAATAACTTCCACAGTGTCTTCTGCCTGGAAAAAAATTGAATAGTTTTACATTTAGGTTTTGTATATTATTATTATATAGATAATATTTTGTCATAAGAAAAGCTTCAAGTTTTATTTATATGTATATCCTATTGAAGTATTTATTTTCAGTACTGTGAGAATGGAAGTATGCATGTAATGTATGTAAATAGTATTTGAATTAATGAACGTGGCAAACAACAAAGCAACAGTCACCACCTGAATACAAAACCAAATTTAGTTCATTATTAGCTGTCATAAAAAATCACAAACCATTCCAAAACCAATTTCAGCGATGGGCATTCCAGTTGCTGCCTGGACACCCATAATAGTAAGAACCCGGTTCTCTAAATCGGTTAGGCACATTTTAAGAGCAGGCCCACCACCTGTACCACGCACCGATCTATTAATTTTTGCCCACTTCCTTTTCGTATTATTTTTTAAATCACTCCATACCTTAGGCAATGCAAATAAAATGTTTATGAACAAAAAAATGTGAATAACCATGCAGTGAAACTTTATAATTAAAGTGCTTTTGACATGCATTAAAATCTTTAGAAAAGTAGAACTAACTTTTCGCCACTTTTCTTCACTGCGATATTCTCCGATTCCCTGGCTGTTAAGAAGTTCCGCTAATTCTTTCCACATTCTTAAACAATACTGACGCCCCTGCGGCAAACACTGAGGTTTCGATAAATCTCCATTTCTTAAAGAAATAAATATACTCATTAGAATATATATTTAAACATAAATAAAATTATAAAAAGCTCTTGTTTTTAATTTAGTGAGTACTTACTTTTCCATGAATTCCACCATCATTAAAAACTGTATGTGGCTAGTTCTTGACGACATTATTAATAAAATTATAGTCGAATAAAATCGAAAACAAAATATAAATACAAACTTTTAAACAACGAGCTAAGCAACAAGTGAAACGACGCGACCCTTACTCCAAAGAGTATAGTTATAAACTGGGATTGGGAACCTTACTCTTAAGTGGTAGAACTTAAATGACGCGTTCCGAAATATAAAAAACATGGAACATTTTTATGTACCAAATATTTAATTATAATGTTGGAGTTTTCGTTCACATAATATTTTAAATTGCCTAGGACACAAATTTAAGTTATTCTTATTGCGGTGTCTATTTTTTTATCACCATAATTGACTTAAAAAACACAATTACAGCAATTTTTAAACGTATCATTTAATTACTATCGAGTACACGTGAGTAAGATTTAGGCGTTCGTGCTGCCGACAACTATAGTAATAGTTAAGTATACGTTTTCGTGTAGTTAACTCGATACGATTACATGACGTAATTGTTTAATGTTCGTGCTAAGGGTACTGATGAAATGATGAAATATGAATAATATTTTTCGATCTTACCGACACTGGTTATTTAAATAAAAAATGACGAGTGCAATTAGTTTAATATTATATTAGAAACAAATACTTAATATTTTACAGTTTATCAACCGACTACGTAAGTATAATATATATTAGGGTGTGGCAAAATTGAATTTCCGTGGAGGACCTTTCAAAATTGGAATTTTGAGTTCTGCTTTTGACAGGAGCTGAGTTTGGGCATTTCCTAAGATATTTTAGGGTGAGACGATTTATTTGATTTTTACAGAGTTTTAATTGGGCACTTCCGGCCAAATTATTAAATCCTAGCTAGATCGATTTATCGCCCCTGAAACCCCCTGTATACTAAATTTCATGAAAATCGTTGGTGCCGTTTTCGAAATTCAGATTATATATTATTTTCTACATATAAGATATCTATCTGTACGAACTTGAGTAGTTTTAGGATTTTATAATGTGGTTATTTATTGTACTAGTATCTTTTATAGAAAAGCAAGTAAATAAATATCAAGTGGCCGTACCGGTGCCCGCCGCGGGCGCGGGTGCGGGTGCGGGGCGCGGCCTACCGCTTGGTGAAGGCGGCGAGCCAGGAGGAGGCGGGCGGCGGCGCGGCCTGCATGCGCTCCAGCAGGCGGCGCTGGTTGTCGCGGAAGGCGGCGATGGGGTCCTCGAACTGCGCGTAGTAGCGCAGCACCTCGCGCACGTCCGCCACGTTCGACATCGCTATCGCTGTATATATACATACATAGTACATCAATAATATTGACTATTATTATTATTCTGTTGGGTGTAAAGAAATCGTCAGTACAGCGACCATAATGTTATTTGGAGTATCACTTTTGGCCCAAAAATTACAGTTCTATTTAAAATTTTAATATTACGACAGATTTTTTTTTTAAATAGAAACGTATTAAAATTTAGTTTAGATTACTTCGAGATAAGACATTTTCCCGCAGTAAAAAATATCCTATATGTTGACCTAGATGGATAGCTGGATAGCTATCGTCATAACAAAATTCATCAAAATCTATCCAATGGTTTTCTCGTGATGCGTTCCCAGACAGTCAGACAAAAATTCTAAAAACGATAGATTCGGCCTCTGTATGGATAATGACTAATTCAATGAGATTTTTCAAAAAATATTTAATGTACAGATTTAACTCGTTAGAATTTTATTATATATTTAAACGGACTCACTCTGCAGTAAGTTGGCCAAGTCGAGCAGCGCTGTGTCATCATCTGCGCCTTTCCACTTCTTAAGTATGAGTGCATTATCCGGCTGGAACTTTGTGGCTTGTTTGTTCCAATCTACCACTATCACCTGTGTGTGATACTTAGATGTGATTGTGATTCAGAATTGAAAATTTTATAACTGTAGGTACATTTAACAAAGTTTTTGATGTGAAACATCTATAGGCGCGCCTTGGCAGTAAAACCGACACGTGTTATTACGGCAGACGGCGTGGTGACGGACATATAAGACTGATCATGCCTGTTCTACGTCACCGCCCTCGACTCCCTTGTAAAACAGTGTCTATTAAAAATATTTACACATTTTCTATTCTATTTATGAATAGTGTAATGTATTCTGTAATTATTAAATTATTTTTTATGTAATATATTCTGTAATTATTATTATAATTAAAATAATTAGAAAAATAAATTGATTTTATTAACAAAACCCTATATTTTCTTTATTTTACTCCATATTTCGTTATAGGTGTTTATTTTAATTATGAATTCGAATATTAACATAGATGTTTCCCCTCTGCCGAGCATCTCAAGACGCCCAACTTTTTTTTTAAAAGTTTGTGCACTAAATACACTTCAAGTTTTCCATAGATGATAGATCATACCTCAATAAGCAAAACCAGAACCCTCATTGGTTCACTTTATTGTCAGTGTGTTTGTCCCTTGAGAATAAGAATATACTTCTAAGAAATTAATAAAACTAAAGAAATATGAACAGGCCATTAATGTGACATATTGTCATACTTGTAAACTCATTAAAATGACATAGGGTCTCTTTCATAGACTACCACCATATATTTTCCAACTCACTATGTTCTCATTTTTCTTCTGGAAAAGAGAATAAAAAAAGATAAGAATGGCATATTACTCACCTTAGACAAGTCCCGGTTAACACCTTCAAGATTTTTAACATGAACCCCATCTATAAAATGAGTTGAATCTCTGAACAATCTGTATGATATCATTTTGTTCTCGGGATCCAGTTTGTCCAACACAGGCCAAATCATAAACGCGTTTTCTGAAGTAAATATAACAACTTCATAATCTGAGTTTGCGACTGTCTGTAAAAACTGATCGACTCCAGGACGTTTTTTGAACCTGCAAATATGATTAATTGCATTTAGTGTCATGTATTCAGCCCTTTTAACGTCCCACTGCTGGGCACGGGCCTCCCTTCAATACGAGGGAGGATCAGATCAAAATCCACCACGCTGGCCAAGTGCGGGCGGACTTAACATGTCTTTCGATAACTTGCTAGGTTCTCTCAGACATGCAGGTTTCCTCACGATGCTTTTCTTTACCGTAACACAAGTGGTAACCATGTTGAAAATGATTCTCACATTAAATATCAGAGGTGCGAGACCCGGGAATTGAACCCGCTTTCACTCTGTTTTCCAAGAGAACGCATTACTACTTGGCTATCAGTGCCAAGTGTCATTAGACTTAAATGATTTTCAGAAAGTTGATATATGTGCCGTGACTAATAAGTAGTTTTATGATTCATGCATCATCTTGTGTTAAAAATGATTTTAATTATTATGTAAAGCTTAGCATAACTCATTAACATTATAAAATTATTACTTCTAGATTACTTTAAAAGTGAAATAAATGTTTGTAACACAAAATTTTAATTTATATGTCTAAATTATGAAGGAAAGGAATGTGCTAATTTGTGCCTAACCTTGTTGGCCAAAAAGTATGTGATATTGAAGAAGTTTTATTAAATAATATGTATAAAAAAATATTTTGCGTCATCGGCTGTCATTGATTCTATTGCCTTCCCGTAGATTGAAAAGTTTTAGACCTGATTGCTAGTTTTAACCAGGGCTCAGAAACCCGTTCAGTTTTTAAACCGGTTTTGATCGTTGATCCTAAACCAAAAGGATTTTCGGTTTAAGGTTTCGGTTTCGTTCTATAACCGGTTAAATCTGGGAGAACGGTTTTGACGAATTTAGTTTCCATGAATTTAACCGCTTAAAATAAGTTTTTGTGTGTTTACATTTGGCGCGTCTTTGCTAACGGTGAATGGCTTATGAATGATTTAACCGGTTTATTTCGGTATCAAAACCGAAATCCAACCTTTCTCTAAGAATAACCGTTAACCATTATTATTTCGGTTTACTAAGCCGTTCGTTTTTAAACCGGTTTCGAGCCCTGGTTTTAACCTAGGTTTTAAATACTACAAGGTATTTACCTCCATCCAGTTTGATAAGACCAGTCGGGATGCACTAATACATCAGTGAACTCCAAGACTAAGGTATACTTTGGTTGATACGGAGGAGGCAAGGGGTCCGGCAAAAGTTTCTCACGAGATGGCTCTTTAATCATCTGTTAATCCAAAACATATATTGTTATTTTTCCTACATAATGATTTTTAAATATAAACAAAAGGGCAATTAGAATTTCAAATTGTCACTTTTCCAACAGCTAAAAAAATTAAATGTTTTAATAATAGAGATGGTTTACAATTTCATTGATAAAGTAACATGTGTAAATAAATATGTTAGGACATTAACACACAGCACCATCTAGTTCCATGGTAACTTACGAGGCTTGTGTTATGGATACCAGATAGTTGATACACTACACATATACAACTTTAAATACATACATATTATAAATATAAACACCAATAACTGGAGTACAAACGTTCGTGCTCATCACACAAATGAATGCCCCCAGCGGGACTCGAACCCGCGACCGCTGGCACAGCAAGAAGGGCCACTATAAACTGAGCTTTACGTGTCCGTATAATATGTAACTTGTATTAACATATCTGTAACATTTTTGTATACATATTGTATACACTGCCGGTCAAAAGTTTGAGTACCCACTTATAAAAAACTTTTGTTATCTCTAAATATTTAAAAACTACTAGAGATAAAAAAAATGCGCTGCAAATTCTATTGTTTTTAATATATACGTAAAGGGTCGCCTTTTTGTTTATATTTGTCGAGGAAAGCCGTATAGCAATAAACAAGCATTGTTTCAAAACTTCAATGAGTGCCGATAAAGAACTAACTGATTGTTAAAATTTGTATACCTTATCAGTACAAAATGATTTAGATTTTATATTACGTATATTGTTTCAAATTTGTGAATGAGTTAGCTTCTTCGAACTTGTACTATTACTATTTATTCTATATTTATAAAGTTATCGACAAGCAAACAATTCAGTCTGAACTTGTGGTTGCTACAGTCAAGACATCTCTATAATGGGAAAAGCACGAGAAATTAGTACTGAAATGCGCTCCACCATCGTTGTTCAACACAATGAAGGCAAATCCGAACGTGCGATTGCGTCTCAACTTAAATTATCGAGGTGTTGTGTTCATTCCACTATCGTACGATGCAAGGAAACTGGTAGCCATCAAAATCGTCCACGCTCCGGTAGGCCGAGAGCTACCACATCTAGTGAAGATCAATTTATTGTTGTTACTAGCAAACGGAATAAACGGCTAAAAGCTCCAGAAATTCGCGCCGAACTCGATAAATCACGTTCGAAATCCATTTCGGTGACTACAATCAAGAGACGGTTGCGAGACGCTAAGTTGTCCGAAGACATAAATGAAGCTCCTTCTTTAACCTACTGGAGACCCTGGGAACATAAGGATCAGGGCCCCTGTGGTAGATAAGCAAAATTCTAAAATTATTCAACAAATTTATACAACGGATAAAAGCGGCGTTTCATCAAATTTTGCTAGCTTAGCCTTAGTATTTATTGGAGTACATTTTGCATTATGTAATATATAGCTTGCTAAATGTACCTTATTATAAATTTTAACATTAACAAATTAAGTAATCCAAGCTGTTCATGTACATGTGAAATAAATAAACAAATAAAAATATAACAACAAAAAATAATTCTTAATGAGAAATAAAGATTCTAAACAGAAATAATTATTTTTATTTCTTTACAATCACAATAAATAAACAGATAATTATTGTAATATGATTCAGGAAAGTGACTCGTAGCATTTACAATTTAATGCTTAAAATCTGACTACTGTAAAGGTACCTTTCTAGTTTTTACATAGAATTAAAGGAGTTATTAAAAAGGAGCTATATAAATAAATTATAGCGAAAAACCTTACTCCTGGATTCAATGTAATCGGAGATGTACTAATTTTTCAATAAAATAATGATCCAGAGCATAGCTCAAAATTAAGTAAAGGTTTCTTAGAAGATAAGCAGATGGAAGCTGTGTTGAAAATTATGGTATGGCCTTGGAAGAGTACTGATCTCAAGCTTTTGTGGGAAGAGCTCCATAGAAATGTTTGTGAATGATGTCCTTCTTCACATCAAGGCATGCAGAAGGCTTTACAAAAAAGCCGGAAGAATATTTCACAAGGAACAACAAATAAAATGATTGCTTGTATGCCAAGATTGGTGAAAAAGTCATTCAATGTAATGGGGAATATTTTTTTCACAATTTTTGTTAAAAAACTTGAATAATCTATACAGATAAATAAAATTAAAGTGTCTGTTTGTAATGTCAAAATAACAGTGTTTTACTAAATGCATATGAAATGATATATGGTACTTAAAGAAAAACACAATTTTAAAAAATTTTTGTGTCTGTTTATTCCGGATAATCTCTTAAAACGGCTGGACTGATTTTGATGGGACTTTCACTGGAAGATAGCTGACGTTATAGGGATTAACATAAGCTACTTTTATTTTAGAAAAAGAATTAAGAGTTCCACTCAAAAAAATTAAGACATACCTATTGTTATGTATATTTTTGTTCTTAATTGTTAACTTAGTGTGTTAATAAGACGATTAAAGCTTTTCTTCATACACTTAAAACTCATTGAATTTTATTTTATTTTCCTATCACTTTTGTATATATAATTGAAGCTTTAATACTAAATATTTTATTAGTGGAGTGGAAAGCTATGATGATTTATTTTTTCCAAATATTATAATTTTAAAAAGCTCTTTAAATATCTTTCCTACCTTTTCATAAAATGTAAGTTCCTTCCAAGTTCTTCGCAGATATTGCAAAGGCAGTGCCAAGTGAGAGTATTCATCTTCTATGAGCTTTCCTTCATCATCACGTCTCGGAGCTCCCATTTCTATCACCAAGCAACCACCCATAATTGTCATTGCTCCACCAAAAACTGCAAAACTATTTACTGTGTCTATTAATTGATTTCAATTTAAATATTTTTATTTTATAACAGTCAGACAACATTTTTTACTATAGAACAGTTAGCTATAGGTTTGTAATAATTTACCCAATTTTCATTCGCCTCCAACTTTTTTCATTTTCCTCAGTTTTCTCTTTTTGTTCCTTTTCAAATAATTCCTGTTCCTTTTGTACTTCATGTGCATCTTTGGGATTTGGTGTGGGTTGCGGGAAGAAACGTCCAAGGATGTCTACTTTTTCCGGTTCTTTAGCATTCTTATTCTTATCTCCTGTAGCATGTGTTTTATGTTATTTAATAAGTGTTATAATTAGTTTTTAACAGTTGTTAGTATATTTTAAAAATTAAATCACCTTTACATTGAATTATGTATTCAATTTAATAAAATTAAATTCAATACAAAAATCATTCAATAAAAAACGATTTGAAATCGTACAAATAAATATAAAAAACTAACCTATATTTTCGGTAGCAAATAATCTAGCGGTATTTGCAGATAAAAGTAGTATGTTTTGTCTTGATAATTTTGTGGTTTGAAGTTTAACAGTATTGCAGCAAGCCACTCTTGATAGAAAAAATACTTTTCTTAGGGCCATAATTTTTTTATTTTAAAAACTCAAAAACCGAATTCACAATTCACATTCTCCTTGAAACAAAACAACTGACACTTGACAGATCTGTCATTTCTGATTTCACATTTCATTTGGCTGATAACATATATCAAAGATGGGATTAAAGACAGATAATAATAATAATACAAAGAGCGTAGTTATCATAGATGAGTAATAAATGGTATTTTAACTATTAAAAAAATCTTTTCGATTTTTTTCACGGATTTAGTTTGATTTTTGGTTAACGACGTTTCGAATGCTTTGCAGCAATCACAGTTCACAGTCACGGGAGAGACTGGTTTTAGACGTCTCAAAGGCATCCTATAGTTGTTACAGACTACCCGCAAAATAACAAAATAACGAATGAAAGTACCTTACAATATTTGTTAGTTTTAATTTTACACATTTTTATATTGAACATTATTGCTGTAAAGCATTTGAAACATCGGAAACCAAAAATCAAAATAAGTCCGCGAAAATATAAAAAAAAATCATTTAAAATGTCAAATATTCGCGTAAATCTAAGAAAGTATTAATAAATGGTAGTTATAATTATTTTAATTAATCAACATAGTCAAGCAACTTTGAAAAGTTTTAACGTTATATTAATATTATTTTTCTTCATATTTTTTGACCATATTTTGATTTTACTATATTTTATATCTGTATTTTACCATATTAATGTAGAGCTAACTTCTACCCTCCTTAATACAGCTGCAGATCGGGAGGTCGTGGGTTTGATTTATTACCAACAGAGTACAGACTTTGGGTGCGAAAGAAATAAAGAATGGATATGTGTTAGCGTGCACTATAATATTTCTGTCTTTAGAATTTCTGCCACTGATAATTAATATACTACATAAGTTGTGTAGGTTTAGTTTTTACAAATACATTAATAATTGGTAGAATAGAATGGCAAGTATTATATAATGACTGACTCTTCCCTTCTAGCCTTTTACCAAAATAGGTAAAACTTTGTGAAATCTGTATGTGAAATATTTTTTAAGAACAATGACTGTAACGCTTTGTGTACAGAACCCAAAATAATAGTTATTAAATTTTTTGTCTGATTATCTGTATATCTGTTTGTGTGTGCGCGCTTCACACTTGATAACTTATTACTATTAGGCACAACAGGAAAATCTTTTATTTCTTAAGTTCAGGCAAACGTCATAACTGATTCTATCGAGTTGTTTTTAGTTTACATAGCTAACGCTGGCTATACCTTAAAAGATAAATCGAAAAAATATACTAGAAAATTGTAGGCCTTTCAAAAAGTCTAGTTTCTCCTAAGATACACTCGCAACAACTATATATATCTTTTTAAAACGTATTTAGGACGCTCCCGAGTGAAGTAAGTCGCTAATATAGGTATAAATAGATGAAAATATATGTAATTTGTTTATGTTACGTATGTAAACGGGTTCAAGATGATATCAAATTATGTTTACACGTTATTATCATGTCTTTGTGGATTATGTAACAATTGATAATTATAATTTGTCGTATGTACTAGTAATTGTCTACAGTTTCTGTCGGGGATTTCTGCTAAGTTCAAAAATATTATAAATGTGAAAGTATCTCTGTCTGTGTCATGTGTGTCTGTTTATACCAAATTTCATATCAACCAATTTTGATATGAAATTTGGTATAAAGAGAGATCAAACTTTGAAGAACATAGGATAATTTTGTCGCAGAACTACTTATCTACTTTTCTAAATTCTATGCCTATGTATATACATGTATAGTCTATCATTTTCATACTAAGTGTTAAATACCAGTACATACATATATAAATTGGACTAGGTACCTACTCTGAAAAAATTTGCGTCGTCATATATTATAAAATATGTAGGTAAGGTAGCCAACGCATTCCCCCCCCAACGTGTTCACCTTGTCGTGGTGGAGGGGCTCAGTAGTGCCCGGCAATACAGCCGAGCGCCAAGCCAAGAAACGCACAGGGAGGTGGCCCACTTCGGTGGGCGGTGGGAGGTGGCCCTCTTCGGAGGGCGGTGTACCATGCGGGTTGCTCCTGGTACTTCTCTGATAGCAGAGTGGACCTTGGAGCAACCCTGTGGTTGTTGTGGTCTGCTTCGGCAGACCTGCCGTCAGGGCGTCGTAGTTGAATGCGTAAGCGATCCTGCGACGCCCCATTAAGACGGGGGAAAGTTTTGTTGGGTTTTAGTGGGTAGTGCTGGCTTTGCCGGTGAGACCCAAGCCTCGTGCGTAAATGCACTTCCTAATGTTAAAAAAAAGCCTATATATAATGCAAAATATCACGAAATTTTGTTGTTCCTTTACTGGGTGGATGAAGGACAGACTAACACACATATTCGTTATATATTTATAATTTTAGTATATTGTTGATGTTATAATATATAATAATTATTAGTATGGAAGACTTTTTAAAGTATTAACAGTTTGATGTAAGCAGTACAGAAGTATACGCATAATGGAAAATAACGCCGCGGTGTTGTACGGACCAAAAGATTTGAGAATTGTAAGTAATAAATTAAAAAAATATATATATATAAAATTTAAAATTCGTTTTAAACATAATACTTTCTTCTTAGATTTACGAGAATATTTGACATTTTAAATATAATTATTTTTTCGGAAATTTTCGGAGACTTGTTTAGATTTTTGGTTCTCGACGTTTCCAATGCTTTACAGTAATTATGGTCACGGGAGACTCATTCTTGTTTTTTCAACCGACTTCAAAAAGGAGGAGGTTCTCAATTCGACTGTATGTTTTTTTTTTTTTTATGTTTGTTACCTCAGAACTCCGTCATTTATTAACCGATTTGGACAATTTTTGTTTTGTTTGAAAGGGTATACTTCCAGATTGGTCCCATTTAAATTTCAAAAAAAAATACCACCCCTAAGGGTGGAAAAACTACTAATGATGAATTTAACCTACTTCTAATTGTCATATTGACTTGAAACTTTGCAAGTATTTCTATTTCCGTTGATAGTACAGTGGTTCGGTGTTGTTGACCTGATCTGATGGCAAGGCCAGAAGGTGGATAGGTGGAACTCTTCAACGGCTAATAGTAGATACTTTGAGTTTGGGCTTATTTTGTTTGATTTGACAAGCCTAACACGTTAGAATCCTTACTATGCTACTACTGTCTACACTAAAAAGGGAAAAATAAAAACTTTTTAACAAAAAAATAAAAACCGACTTCAAACAAAAGCACTAAAAAGTAAAAAATAACTGGTAGTTTTCATTTACTATACATACCTAATCAAATATTTTCGAAGTCGGTGTGTTTTGGCTAAGTAATTAAAGCCTACCTATTAAATACATACCTTATCAAATACTTTCGAAATCGGTGCCAGCCCATACAGAGCAAAGCACACCGACTTCGAAAATATTTGATTAGGTATGTATAGTAAATGAAAACTACCAATCAGTTATTTTTTACTTTTTAGTGCTTTTGTTTGAAGTCGGTTTTTATTTTTTTGTTAAAAAGTTTTTATTTTTACTTTAGGTTAGGAATTAAGTTATAAAAAAATAAAAAATATAATAATTTCTCGGTAAGCCTTCACTGACTTGGACCTATAGAAAATCGGTTTCATTTTAATATCCTGCAATAACTATACCTTTATCTTTTTAGGAAAAATGGCTGATGCCAGAAATAAGTGAGAATGGTAAGTAAATGCTTAGTTCTTGTTTTCTTCTTTATTTTTTTAAATACCTTATTATTGTGTAAATAATATTATATTTGTAGAAGTTTTGATAAAAATCGAGTGTGTTGGCATCTGCGGTTCAGACGTGAAGTTGTATTATACTGGCAAATGTGGCCTGGAAGTCCTTTCTAAGCCCATTGTCGTAGGACATGAGGGAGCTGGTGTCGTAGTCGAGGTAATTTTATATTTATTAATTTGAAAATGCACTTTTTTTGCTTAACTTATGTTTTTATTACTTTCCCCTAGTTTCATGAAAATCAAAAAAATATTGCAGAAATAAAAAATGAAGAAAAAATTAAAAAAAACGGTTATTTTGCAAATTATCTCGAAATCTTTGAGGTTATTGTAAAAAGTGTCATCTATTTAAGTTGTAGATTTTTACTAGATCTACAACTTTTGCAAGAAACATTTATTCGATAGGACGTCACAGTAAGTCGGAAATTGAAAAAACCTATTTTAAACATTTTTCATCCCCCCATTTCTCGGGGGTAGCTGGGTATCGTAGGCATTATACGAATTTTTATTACTTATATACCTGCTTACGTTTTAAAAACATAAAATTTGTTTTAATTATTTTGTTCCCAAACCGTATTCTGATTTGACTATACGTATAATGGCGCTATACATTCATTACCCCTTGTTACATGCCAAATACATATCTATGTACTTAATATTCAAGAGTCAAGACACATTCATCATTAGGAAACGTGAAATTTAAATATATATCTTTACAGAATTACGTCATCCGATAATTAATTGGACCTCAATTTTGGCAATTTAATTTTATATAACGCAATTTTTACCTATACGAAAAGTTTCATAAGCTCAATTACAAAAATACAATTTTGACTAGTTACTTACTTTATATAGCTTTCCAAAAAATTGGGACATATTATAGATTTTTCATAAATCATAAAGTATACTAAGAAAATAATATGTAGGATCGAGTAACAGTACCTCTGGATGTGCGCGCGCACGTACGCTTCTTCCCGGACCGACGTTTTAGTTTTTATGTTTTACTCTTTTGTAACAAGGTGTCTCGTGTTTGTCAATATGTGGCATCGTAGCTCAAGTCGAGTTGCGAAACGGTCGAACCGAATTTAATTTCGTTTTTTTTATTTGAAAGGTGACTTGATCGAGAGTGTTGTATAAAGCAACAATACATTCAATCAATCAATCAAAAATACATTCGGCCGTTGCAGGCCATCATGTCTTTTCTAGGCGGTAAAGGCCAAAGGGATATGAGCAATTTCAATGGATTTGATAGATTGGAAATTTAGTATCCCGTTACTTCAATATTTATTGTCATTCATTGCAAATTACATTGTGATTGCGATGTTAAAGCACAGATCATAATATAATACTATACTAGCCACTAGGTTAAGGTTTAATGCTGCAGCGTTACCTGGAATGTCCACTATTTCGACAGGATACTATTTCTTTTCTAACGTAGTTACTGCAGAGATATCGTGTTTATTCTCATTGAAATGACCACAATGAATGATCATGGTCATTGTGATCGTGGTCTCATTTTGAAGAGAATTTAGAGAAGAAGAGAGATTCTGAGCTCCTTTAACTCGTTCAATGGATATAAAATTTTGATTTAGGATATGTATAGTATCTACATTTAATATAGCGATTTAGTGTATGAATATGTTAAATGGAAGAATGTTTGGGTGAATGAGATTAGATGAGTACCTATATACCTAAATATGATTTGACCTTATACTTACGCTAAATATAGGGATCTCATCTCGCAGCAAGGATGAAACATGTACCTACATGTCTCCAACTATAACATAGAATGTGCCTTCGTCAACTTGTTTTCATCTTATCAGTTCACTTTTTACGCAGTCGGATTTTAAATTACATATATAGATGATGCATTTAGGTGGGCTCTAAAGTTACCAACGTCGCGGTTGGAGATCGCGTAGCGGTAGAACCTACGCAGCCGTGCCGCAGCTGCGAGCTGTGCAAGCAAGGCCGATACAACCTTTGCACAAAACCATGCTATTGCAGTACTACCGACGCTATGGGAAATCTTTGTAATTATTATAAACACGTCGCGGATTTTTGTCACAAGTAGGTGTCATAATATTTTTCTGTTAAAGATACGTAAACAATTTTTAAAATGTAATGTTACAGTAAAAATGTATAAAAATATATTTAACATTTGGTAATGAATTATATACAACGGCAGTGGTAGCCCAGTGGTAACGCTTTCGCTTGGGAAACCGAGTGAAGCGGGTTCAAATCCCGGGTCTCGCACCTCTGATATTTTCATGTGCGAATCATTTCTAACATGATTACCACTTGCCTTACGGTGAAGGAAAACATCGTGAGGAAACCTGCGTGTCTGAGAGAACTTAGCAAGTTTTCGAAAGACATGTGAAGTCCTCCAACCCGCACTTGGCCAGCGTGGTGGACTATGGCCTGATCCCCCTCGTATTGAAGGGAGGCCCGTGCCCAGCAGTGGGACGTTAAAAAGGGCTGAATACAACATACAATGAATTATATTCTCATTTGCGATAACGCTATTTATTAATATAATTACTTTTTCATTTAGTGTATAATATTTTTTCTTTTTATATCTATTTAAAACGTACCTAGCGACGAACCCGAGCGAAGCGAGGGTGAGCCGCTAGTTCTAGATACAATTAGTACTTCGCAGGATCCCAGATAACGTAACTATGGAGGAAGCTGCCGCAGTGCAACCACTAGCTATTGCGATCCATGCGTGCGGTCGCGCCAACATCCGACTCGGCTCCATCCTGGTCATACTTGGCGCCGGCCCTATAGGCGTGCTGTGCGCGATGACTGCTAAAGCTATGGGCGCTTCTAAGATACTCATGACTGGTAATGTCAAATATATCTTTTGTAACAAATTAACAGAAAAAAAGTAGAAAAATTTAAATGTGTTTTTAGATGTAGTCGAATCCCGGCTTCATATGGCGAAGCAGCAAGGTGCGGACTACACGCTTCTTGTGACACCAGACAGTAAACTAGAAGACATTGTAGACAAAATTACAAAGATATTGGGAACTTCTCCAAATGTCACCATCGACGCGTGTGGATCCGAGTCCGCTCAGAGTGTAGCAATGATGGTAATTACTTACTGTTAAATTGTTTTAAAAAGTTGTAACAAATTTTAGCGTTATTTGATATGTATCATAGATATTTGTATAAGATATTATAGCACTTAATTAACATAATAGTTAAATTTATTTGCACAGACACTAAAAATCAAACTTGATTCAAAAAAGTTACTGAACTAAATAATTATTAGTTATAATTTAAATATAAGACAATTCAAGTATGTCACTGGTTTTAGGTGACTCGTTCTGGGGGCACAGTGCTGGTGGTTGGTATCGGCGAACCTCTTTCTCGGGTGCCGATTACTAATGCACTCTTAAGAGAAGTAGACATACGTGGTGCATATAGACTACTTAATTCGTGAGTATTTGTTATAATTATTAACATTATAAAGCTGAGGAGTAATTATAGTTTTTCTGACGTTTTGAACTTTAGATTGTTCAATAATCACTGAATGGTTTCAGTGATTATTGAACAATCTAAAGTACAAAACGTCAGAAAAACTATAATGACTCCTCAGCTTCAGTTATCAGATTTGTATTATATTTCAGTTATAGTCTTTTTATTGAGAAGACTTATAGACTGTCTTACATAACAATGTAAGAGAGCACGAATTGTACATAAACAAACTACGTGAGTGGAACCTCGGGCAAAAGTAATTTTGTAAAATTAGACCGTTGAATAAATGTATATGTAAAGTACCACAAAGTGGCTTCAAGGTGTATTTTGTATAATAAAATACTTTCAGATACCCGCTGGCGTTGGCGGCGGTATCAAGTGGAAGCATTAATCTTAAGTCATTCATAACGCATCACTTCCCTTTGCAAAAATCAAAAGATGCTGTAGAGTTTGCTGCGACTGGTGAAGCTATGAAAATTATAATACATCTGTAATTATATATTAAAAAAAAATATTTCGTTTTATTTAAGAATTAAGTTATGGTAAGTGCATAATCAACAAATTACGAGCATAAACCTACTACCAATAAGATTTTCTTAGATTTAGGATTTTTAAAAACGATTTTTCCAGATTTTTAGCAACTTTATTTCACTAGGTACCATATTCACGGTTCCCTCCTGTTCAAATGTCTTGAATGGTACATGGTTATGGAAAAGGCTGTCTCTCTGTTATTCATATTTACTGTAAAGAATTCGAAATGAAACGTCGGGAACCAAATACCAATATAAGATCAGGAACAAATTCAAAAAATAAGGCTTATTTAGTATTTACGTATTTTATGTGGCGATCTGCATAAAGTGCGAATGGCCGAAGATTGAGGTCAATGCGCAGCTTATTTTATGTTAGTCTTAGGATAGAAAGGAATTTCTCAATAATCATTGCTTAAAAAACTAACTAATTTTACCCATCCCTAAAATAATATTCTCTTGACCCCTTTCGGCTACGGTGGCCAATCTAGCCACCTGCGCAGGAGGTATTATAGTGCACAAGTACACATGCAAATAAATATATGTGCACTCTCTGATCCTGGCACTCTCTGATCCTGGCACTCTCATACTCCGGTGACTGGTGAGATAATAATTTGAAATCCCCGTAGGACCGAAAGCTATACAGGCTCTCCAAGAATGTAATGGTTTCATTATGTTCATCATCCTATTCTATTAGATTCTTTGGTATGCAAACGTAGTAAAGTATCATCTTCATTTTATTCTGCTTGTATAAAATATGACGAAGGCTCATCATTTGATAAATTCTGCAGTGTGAGGTCCGACTGTGTGTAACGAAAGACAGATTTTTCCTATTTGTACTTCTTTATTATTCATTATGGAGGATAGAAGCAAAGGGTATTTAACCTTTACGTTTTAAGAAGTAAAGAGAACTGACTTATATGGGAAACATGTAGAAAAAGTATCCAGTGGAGAGCAGCAAATTGTAATTCAGAAACCCACCTATATAGCGCTAGCGTAGCAAGTAGAAGTGATATGAATTTAGCACTTTTAAACGGAGTGAAGTGTGCTGAATTTAAAAATTTAATATCTCTGCTGACCAGCGTAGTCAATAAAACTGCAGTATAAAAAACCTCAACTTTTTACGTAGCCCACAATAATTTAGTAAATATAACCTGTAAAAACCTTGTACTTTGTAGTTTTGGCGCTATGTTTTAAATTCATCAACTTGTTTTCTGTGGCGCCACCAATTTGATCCTTGTGAGCGGTCACATTTTATACAAGAGATAATTCTCCTTACTTCTACCCTTCATAATTATTCATTTATGATTATTCATTCATTGATATATATTTCTGTACTATATCTATATCCCTATAGTCTGTGAAAGTAACCAATTCTTGAATTGACATTTAACAATTGTCAATATCGACAATTTGTCATCCATGAAATTTATTTTTTAAAACAATGTCAAATTTCATAAATTAAAATGGAATTTAATAGAGGATTTTTTAAAAGTTTGCTAACAAGCAAAAATGATTTCTGCACATTGTGCTTTAATAACCTTAACTCGGAGAAATATACTAAATTTACAGACGAAGTTAGTAAGTTTAACGATAAAAACATAACGATGGCGGAAATTTTGAATTTTGTAATTGGACCTGGCGTAAGTTACTAAACTGTAATATTTTGATGCGTAATTTAATGACTGTAATATATGAAGATTTTTTATTTATTTCAGATATCCGATACAATATCTAATATGGTGTGTTTTAAGTGCTCCAAATTAGTAGTGCAAAACTATTTATTTACAAAAAAGTGCCGAGATAATTTAAAACATGTTTCCGACTTTGTAATGAATTTATTAAAATGTACTGAAAGTGCAGTTGAAACGGAAATCGGTTGCCATAAAACAATTTTCATGTCAAAGAAAAACTCGGGATTTGTTACTTATTTTGACAGAGGAAAATGTAAACTTACTTCTACATCAGCTTGTAAGAGGTTCAATGCAATACATACAAGTTTTATAAAACAACCAGACTCTATTGGAGACATTTGTGTTATGATATCGCCAGATAATGAGGAAAACAATGGCATACAGAATACAATTGTAATACATCCATACAAAAATGCACAGAATATAGCAGTAGGTGACTTACACACTCTATCTAAAGAAAACTCCTCAAATAAATATTCAGGGAATGTTAAAAACCAACACAAACCTATAAAAATTAATATCACTGACATACTGCACAGTGAGTCTAATGACAATATTTTGAAATGCAAAGTATGTCTTAATGAATACACTACAAAAGTGAATTTAAGAAAACATTATATTAGAGTCCATGCTCCAAAAGAATTTAAATGTTGTAAATGTTTAAGATCCTTTGGATCATCAGGTATTTTAGAAAAACATATGTATGAAAGTCACACTAACACCATTTGCAGTGAATGTGGTAAAATATATGGCAATATTCATTCACTGAGAAAACATGAATTAACTCACAAAGGGAGTCTGAAATGTGATATATGTAAAAGAGTTTATAAATCAAGGAGTACCTTTAACGAGCACATACAGATGAAAATTTGTGGTCAATTACAAAGAAAATCTCAAGCCAGTGCTAAATTTCAATGTGATATTTGCCATAAAAAGTTCTGTCACAAAAGATCATTAGAAGGTCATATCAGATTTAGTCATGGAAATGCTAAAGATTATTCTTGTTCTTGGTGTAGTAAGAAATTTAGTGCTATAAGTAAGCTAAGAGCGCATGAAGTAAAACATACTCAAGTCAAGAATTTTCATTGTAAGTTATGTGGTAAAATGTTGGTTTCCAAGGAATCTTTACTGTATCATACAAGAACTCATACTGGAGAAAAGCCTTATAAATGTGACCAATGTGGTGAACAGTTTATTTCTATATCTCGCAGAAATGAGCACATTCACCGCTATCACACAGATGCTACTTATGAATGTGATATCTGTAAGCAAAAATGTAAAACCAAAGCTAATCTAAAAAAGCACAAAAGAATGCATTTTGACAATATTAATTTGTTTGAAGTAAATAATGAGAATTAAGTAAAAAAATTTAATATGTATTACTCTATGGAGTCTACAGTGACCATGTTTGTTGTAAATAATTTAAAACGAAGGAAACCAACATTTAAAATAAAACCGGTACAAAATTTGGAAAAGATAGTTTCATTTAGAACATCAAATATTCACATAAATATAAGAAAGTATTATAAAATATTATATTTTTTATTTTGATGAGGGTAAATTGTAGTAAAACAAGCAATTTATTTAAATAAAAGTTTATTAATACTGGATAATAATAAGTACAACAAACAGCACATAACATATATTGCAAAATATACCATCCATTTATTGGAATGTTACACATAAATAATAATTTTGATTTTTGTTTATACTTATAAGTTCAGTCTTAAAATTACCAATTTATAATATTTAGCTATAAATGTTACAGATCAATAAAAATTAAAATACTGCTACAATATTAATTTCGATTAAAACTGATTAAAAAACAAGCAGCTGGCTGAGACAGGCCGCAGTGTTATAAAATTACACAACTACATATTATGTTTTAAGTTTTAAAATGCCATCATATAAGAAACTAGCGAGGAGCGACTTACTCTCGCTTCAGATGTGTCCGTTTTAATTTGTTTCAGTGGAACTCTAATTCTTTTTCTAAAATAAAAGTAACCTAAGTTACTCTCTACAACATCCGCTATCTGCAAGTCCAAAAGTTTCCCACAGTAATCAGAACAAACAAACAAATATTTAAAAAATTGAGTTTTCCGTATATAGTACCATATATAATTTAATTTCAAAAACAGACACATGTTAACTAAAATAACAAGTTGTTTTAAAATAAATAATATTTAAATAACAATGTTATGCATTACACTTTTCTACACTACATGTGTTAAGTCAAGGTGCTTTAAATAAAGATTCCAGTAACTCTGGTTCGGACAAGTCCTTCTTGAACTGCTGTGCGATGTCCTGTATGAGGTGCCGTCTGCGGACATGTGGGGGCTGGTACCTGGCGATGATGTACAAAATATAATTAGCATTTTTTGAAGTGAAACTTCTTTAGAATCGTTGGTTGTGATTTGAAACACGATGAAACGGAAATGAAATGCGACACTAAAAAGAGAGAAACTATAAATATATAGAATTATCCCGGGGAGAGAATGAGATAGAAACATTGCCACGGTAACCAATGTTATTGTCTGACAAATATATGTATAATATTATTACATTCTTTCCATGTATGATAATATATATAGGCAGTGAGTAGACTCACAGGTCGGTGTTGAGGCGGTCGCGGCGCGCCAGGAAGCTGGCGGCGCGGCGCAGCGCGGCGGGCAGCAGGCGCGGCGCCAGCAGCGCGCCGTCGGCCAGCACGCCGGCGGCGCGGCGCACGCGCACGCGCGCCAGGCCGCCGCGCACGCCGCTCACGCACACCACGCTGCTGCACTGCCGCCGGTACGGCACGCCCGTGCCGCAGTACCGCGTCAGCGACTCTGCAACCCCCCACCGTCACACTCGCTTTGTATAACCAAACCTTACAGACACTGACTTGTAGGTATACATACATATATATTGGACAAACATATTGTCATGTTGGTAGTCTTAGATGAGAAATTATTATAAAGCTATCGTTATCTAGAAGTCGTTTCAATTAGATCTCATCAACCACTACCTCAATCTTACAAAGACTTAAATTATGAAATTCCACTTTAAAAAAATAGAGTAAATGTGTATATTGACATTGATAGCCCAGAATCGAATATTTTCAATATCACGAGGAAAACGAACATATCTGAGAAAACCTAGCTAGTTATCGAAAAACATGTGAAATCCAACAACCCGCACTTGGCCAGCGTGATGGACTATAGTCTAATCCTCCTCGTATTGAAGGGAGGCCCGTACTTAGCACGGGTTAAAAAGGCTGGATACGTATATTGTAATAGATAAATAATTATAACTAAAGGTTTTATCCTAGACGTAGGATTATTAAGATTCTTTTTAAAAAAAGCCTAAATTGGCACCTAACATGCGCAGTTTTGTTGCTGTTGCCTCGAACGTCCAATACATCGAACACCAGCGTATCTCGTTTAGTCTCGTGAAGTTACTTTTTATTATAATTTGACCTCCCATTGCTTCTTTGACGTAAAATACATTCTTTTTTTAGCTAGATTCAACATCAACAGAAAATAATAGAGTATAGTACTCTAACGCATTTTAATGTTTTTTTTTTGTAGTTTGAAAATAGGTACTCACCGATTGGTAAATTAAGATGATCTTCGAAATCTTCTAACCATATAATGAGGATCTTTGGCATAAAATCTCTATTTCTCCTACCACTTCCTAAAACACAATTTAAAATATTAAAACGAATAATAAATAATGTATCAAAATTCCTATATATACACATACATCCTATATGTTTATATAAATTCGATTCAAAAGCAATGTTGATATTGATTAATCTATACTAATGTTATAAAGAGGTAAAGTTTGTGAGTTTGTGACGTTGTAGGGAGTAATCTCTGGATCTACTGATTTAGATGTTGGGTAAGAAGATAGTTTGAGACTCTGGGAAGGACATAGGATACTTTTTATCCCGGAAATCTCTTAAGGGGGAGAAAATGGGGATGAAAATTAAGTTAGGGACAAACCCGAGCGAAGCGAAGGTGAGTCGCTAGTATAATATATACGAATAAACTTCTAAATTGAGAACATATCTATACCATTTACAGGTTTTCCAATAGATAATAGAAAAGTGCGTAATCGTCGGCAGTGAATTCATTCGAACTTTGACGCGCGGGGATGACCGATCAAGCGATAGTACTTGATTGATTTGCGTTTAACTATAATTTTTATCTGTGGGGCAATTCATTGCTCAACTTGGCGAGGCTTTTGTCATGAAATGGATCGGGATGGGGTAGAATATCCACTCATTTTTCCAAATTTATGAGACCAGGTGAGATGAGTGCAAAATAATTTATTGAAAGAATTAAACATAAAAAATTTATACTGTAATCGTAAAGACATCATATAACAAATCTTAAAGCACATACCAGACAACGTTTGCTGTGTAGTGGTAGAGGTAGTGGTGGCGGCGGCGGCGGCGGGCTTGTCCAGCTCTAGCGAGAGCGCGCGGGCCTGCTCGCGCAGGCGGCGCTCGGCGCGCTCGCTCTCGCTCACGCTGCGCTCGTACACCGCGCCCCCCGCGCCGGCCCCGCCGCCGCCCCCGGACACGTCCCACCACGACCCGCCCGACCTGTCCGAGCTGCGGCTAAGGGTGCATCATTTAGTTACATAAAACACTGACATAACTCAAAAAACTTATCATTTGATAAATCAAGAAAAATGTTTATGTATTAACGACCTTGTTTGTTTATTCTTAAATAAAATAGAATGAAAGTATATAAAGAAAATTAATATATTTTAATTATTGCACATAGTTTTTAAACGTATGATTCGTTTTGTGTAATTATTTTGATCTAATAACTCAATTCTGATCACAGTGACGAGTTATAATTGGTCAGTTTTTTATTATGCGTGCGATATACTTAACCAGAATTACTTCACAGACAAACTCAGTAGCACTTAATTAGTGCGACGTGTCCACGGACGGTAATGTATTGAGTAGATACTTTTATTACTCAGTACCCAAATATTATGAACTAAAATGTGCTGTTCGTTCGAAAATCAGTCACTGGAGATGTAATCGACAACAAATAATAACTGTACATAAAGATTTCTGGTGGTTTGTTAAGTATCTATTTAGTATAAATATTTTTAACACAAATAAATAATTAATATAACAAAAACATTTTTAAGCTATTGCATAGCTTCTATCGCGGGCCTTGAGCGTGGGGACCGAATCCAGAAATTCCGTAATGAAAAAAACCTGACACCCCCCACTCCGACCGGCACAGCGGTGATACTTCCATCTATCGATAAATACCAGAACTTTTAATGACTTTTTGAAATATCACGCTTGTCTCTTTAGTTCAGCAACCCGCCTTTAGGTGGCATTGGTTGTATTGGAAAACTACCGTAATCAGCTGTTTGTGAGAAAGTATATAGGTGTATAGGTGCTTATCATCTATGTACAACAGTGAATATCTGTACTCATATAATTTGTGTACAAAGTGTTTTAAATATGAATAAACAAAGTGCTTTTATAATGAAGAAAGCCAAGGAAAAAAAATACTGCATTAATAAAATAAATAAATAATTATAATAGCATAAGTTGATAAAAAATGCTATGCAATAGCTTTATCGCGGCAGTCTCCGAGTGCCACATTTATTTTATTTTTTTCTACTTTACATTACTACGCATTATAATATCCGCGATATATTTCTCATTTCCATAAATATAATAATTTTACACATATTATTAAAGACACAAAAACTATATTAATTTCAAATTATTAAAGTTCATACAACTAACAGAAGCAAGGACTAAAGTAGAGGCTACCTATTGGAGAAGCAGTTGCCGTCGACGTCGCTGACGTCGTCGTCGGCGAGCTCGTGGCCCGACGGCACCACGAACGCGATCTCCTCCGTGGAGTCCGACCAGTACAGCACCTATCATTGGATTTATCACATGTGATACATTTCATTCATTTAACACTGTGTTTAGAAGTTAATATTTATTTACATACTGGTGTCCCATAGCTTAGTTAATAAAAAATACAATTTTGAAGTTATTTCTAGCAACGTTTGGCGAAAACAGACTAAAAAGAGATTTTATAAAAATCACAAAAGAGGTAATATTTCGAAAACCAGCGGACTATTACTAAGGTCATGTTAATGCTATCTGATAGACCTGAATCCCTGAAGCCTTTGGCGTGTTAGTTATTAGGCAATCTATATGTATACTCTATTCACAATAATATAACAATTAATCTTAGATATACGCGAATATTTAACATATTAAATAAAGCTATACTTTCGCAGATTTATTTTAGTTTTTGATTTCTGTCGTTCAAATGATTTACAGCAATCAGGATCACGGGAAAAAAAAATCCTCTAAAAAATATAACAATTATACAACATAAAATAAAAGAAAACAATATAGTATATGAAAGGAATGGCGCGCCCTGCGCCGCTCTATGCGTGTGGGGGGTACGCACCTGCTCCCTGCCGTCGTAGAGCGCGGGCGTGCCGGGCGGCGGCGGGGGGGACGCGGGGGACGCGGCGGGCGCGGGCGGCGCGTCGTAGCTGGTGCGCACGTGGCCGCTCCAGCCCGCGTGCCCCGCCACGCGCACCGGCGTGCCCAGCCTGCACCGCGTATACGTACGATATAATACAAATAATATGTAGTAACTATCGACTCACGTCCCTGGGTACGTTTTAATTTTTTTGGGCGGAACCCTAATTCTTTTTCTAAAATAAAAGCAGCTTATGTTACTCCCTATAATAACATCAGCTATCTTCCAGTAAAAGTCTCGTCAAAATCAGTCCAGCCGTTTCAGAGATTACCCAGAACAAAGAGACAGACAAAAATTTAAAAGATTGTGTTTTTCTTATAAATTCCGTATATAATTTCATATGCATTTAGTAAAACGTTGTTATTTTGACATTACAAACAGATATTCAATTTTATTTATCTGTGATGATGGTGTTCTCCTAGCCGATTCCGGCTACGGCGGCCAATCTCATTGAGATTAGCCAACTGCGCAGAAGATATTATAGTGCACAAGTGTACGCGCAGACACAAGTGCACTCTCTGTTCCTATCACTCTCATACTTCGATGGGACGACCACTCGACACGACCGGTGAGAGTGTCGGCGCAGGACCGACGGCTTTACGTGCTCTCCGAGGCACGGGGGTGAAACACCGCCAACTTCCCAACTCCGGGCTGTTACTGAGACTTACTCTATACAGAAAGACTCAATAACTAAACTTTGTCCCGACCCGAGACTCGAACCCAGAACCTCCGGGTGTGCAGCCGTACATGCTAGCCACTACACCACCGAGGCAGTTAAATATAAATAATATAGATTACAGTAACGGTACATGAGTAAGTATCCCTACAGAAACTAAGTTTTATAAGACCGTGCAACGGTACTTATTGTTAGTATAGGCGATAATCACAATTCTCGCCTACCGGCACAGCGGCCGGCGACGTATAAGTGTGTGGACTTTTTTTAGTGTGACGCGCTCGACCCGAGATTATTGCGAAGTTTTTCAAATAATGTAAAAGTGACCGTGTGAGTAATTATCCATTATGTTAAACTTTTTGTACTATTAGAACTATGTATTGTGTATTACACTATAAAATCAAATCGAAAATACGATCAGTTTGATTTTTTTTTAATTTATAAATGAATGACGAATTTCCACACAAATTAAAAAATTGCTAGTATCCATACCCATACTAATATTAAGTATTATAAATGTGATAGTGTATTTGTTTGTTTGTCTTTCTTTCACGTCGAAACAGAATGACGGATTGACATGGTTTTTTGTGGTGTGAGGTAGTTGGTGGAGAGTGACATAGATCACTTTTTACCGCGGGAGATAATCTTATTCCCATGGTAAAACACGTTATAATACAACCCAAAAAATATTTATAATCAAATTACGTGAAATTTGGTATTGTTACTCTTTAATAGAATTAAATAAATACGCGTTTACATTTTTTGAAATTCATGTCATAAGCAGGTAAAGTAGCGGATGAAAGATCGTATTTAATCTATTTTTTAGTTTTTCTGAAATTTTAGCGCGAGCGACGCCACAAGTTCATAAATAAGAAAATAAGAAAACAATATAAATATACATAATTATTATGTCGACACATATGTAAGTATGAGTGTAGGTGTGTGTGCGTGCGTACCCGCGCAGCATGCGCACGAAGGCGGGCGCGAGGTCGGCGCGCGCGGCGTTGGCGAGGATGTCGGCGGGCGCGGTGCGGCCGGCGCGCACGTAGAACACGTGCACGGTGAGCGCGGCGCGGCTGCCCGTGGCGTCCAGGCGCCGCAGCGCCGCCGCCCAGCCCGGCGCCGCGCTGTCCAGCGCCGTCAGCCGCGGCATCCGACCCTGACGCACCACACGAGAACATTCATCAGGCACATTTACATAAGCTGACTGCACATTTACATGTGGTTATGATTTATTTCAATATTGAAGGTATAAAAAAATACATTAAAAACATACCTTTTTCTCGCCACCGATATTTAGATAGCCGAAATGTGACAAGAACAATCGTGCCGTTTGGAACTCAGTCACCGGCTCCGGTGGAACGTATTCTTCGGGTGTCTGTAAAAAAACAAACTTTAAAACTAAAAATAACTTGATATAATGGTTCTATATTATGTTTTTTTTGATTTAACATTTCTCATTAATGCTAGTAAATACACGTAAATTCGTTTGCATGCAACGCAAATATGCCACCCGGAGCATAGTAATAATCAGGGCTTAATTTTCTAAACCGGTTTTTAAACTGGTTATTGAACCCCAAACCGAAAGTCTTTTCAGTTTAAGGTTTCGATTACGTTCCTAAATCGGTTAAATCCTGGAAAACGGTTAAACGAATTTAAGTAAAAGTGACGATTCAAAAGCGCCTGTAAAAGTGTATTTGAATAAAGTATATTTTTATTTGATTAGATTAAAACAAGCAACATGTATGTACCACGTTGTCCTCCGTGTCGCGCACGCGACGCTCGATGGCGGCCTGCTGCTCCAGCAGGCGGAACAGCGTGGGCGCCTCGGGGTCGTTCAGCTGGCGCAGCACCGACTCCAACGACGGGAACGCCGCGTCCCTGCGGCATATTACACAACTGTATGTAACGACCTGTCCTCTAACGATATAGTGGGATGACGGACGAAAATAACAGCGATGCGTGACTGGGATTCGAACCCACCGCATTTGGTTTTCCAAGCAATCGCGTTATCATAGCGTAACGTTCAAAGTAAATAGGTACTTATTGTACTTTACAGTAGAGAATATTTTCCTCTATTTTAAAAACAATGTTTTATTCCTAAGATTTATATACATACATATATAATATATTGACAAAATACATTTTTTCAACTTTTTTAAAGTGAAATGTATATTTTACACTAAATACAATTGACATTTAAAGTGAATAATTTTGTATCGGTATTGAGAAGGAGTGTACTGACACGGCGACGGCGGGCGCGTGGGGCGCGTGGGGAGCGTGGGGCGCGTGGGGCAGCGCGCGGCACTGCGGCGGCGCGCGCGGCGGCGGCTCCGCGAAGGGCACGGGGCGCGCGCAGGCGGCGGCGGCGCGCGGGGCGCAGCGCGGCGCGCCGCGGCTGCTCAGCGACCACGCGAAGCGCCCCCACCCGCACCGGATGATCACTGCCACACACACATACAATGGACGACCGGATATATATTCAAAACCGGCCGAGTCAAACTGATATACTTGATAGATATAACTTTCGCGTATTTTTTTTTAAAGTTTAAGTAATCCGAATTTTAATTTTTATTATTTCCATGTAAGTGGCTTGTTAATATGAAATGTAAATGGTAAAGTGTGGTATAAAATAGAAAAATCTCTTTTTAAAAACCTCGAAATAAAACATGATGGCCACCAATATCCTAACTCAAGGCTATTACAGAAAATTTCTTGACAATCCAATAAATTGCAAACTCTTAGATAGTGCTGTTGTTTATGTCACATTGACGTACAGTGCAATGAATAACATCTTTAATTCAGTACCGTCGGACGTTATAATATAGACTTAATTTAGAATAAAGAATAATTATAGTAAATAAAATAATATAGCTTTTTTCAAAACACATCGGCTGTCCAATTGGCGTACAAACAAAGTACTGACCGACGACGGTCGGCTGCGGCTCCTGGCTGTTGCCGAGCGGCTCCTCGAGCAGCGACAGCAGCGTGTCGCCGTCGGCCACGAAGTGGCGCAGGCGCGCGTGGCCCAGCGCGCCCAGCCAGCGCTCGTCCAGCCGGCACCACGTGCCGCCCGCCGCCGTGCCCACCTGCCGGCACGTCACTACATTACTACTCTTATCCTTGACTAATTATTGTGTTTTCCCGTGGGATTAGCATGTAGTAAAAGGTATCCTAAATGTTGACCCGAGTAATCATTTATCACTACACAAAATTTAGTTAAAATTTGGTTCAGTACTTTTTGCACGAAACACGCACATCGATTTCGCTAAGTTACTGTTTTATTATGCATGAGAAAATATTGTCCTTGGATCATCTTGCAAAAACGTAGATAGTAATAATAAGTGAGAATTACAGTTATATCGGCTACCAAATTGAATTATGAATACTCTTAATGACATTATATTGCAGTTTGCCTTTCAAATCACGATATAGCACCCGCACGTTTTATTTCATAGTCAATTAAACACTGGACTAGACAGTTATAATAATATAAAAAAAAATAAACGAAATCTATTGAAAATTTGAATTTTTTTGTTGACAAAACAACATTAATTTACGAAACTCCAAGAAACTCTTTCAGGTTAGGAGACGCTTCTTTCAGCAAAAGATTGAACTATCTTTTGATTAAGAATAATAAATAATTATTATTCTTAATCAAAAGATGGTAACACACAATACAAATAATTGTTATATTTCTTACTATATTACAACCACCAGTTCTTACCTGTTCTAGTATCAACATCAATAACGATTCAGCGGCATCTCTCACTCTCATGGAGACTGGCTTAAGTTCTTTTTCATCTTTCATCTTTGGTGGTTCACCCGGTTTTCCTAGATAAAAAAGTTAATGTTGATTATGAATTTAAAATGAATAAATTAATATTTATTATTTATTAACATTTGGTATCTTCCTCGGTGTTCTCAGTGGCTAGCATGAACGGTCGTTGATCTGATTTGCCCGGGTTTGAGTTCTAGAAATGTCTAGAACTCAAACTCAATGGAGAGTGAAGAAATAGAGAGTGCATGTTTGTCTGAGTGTGCATTTGTGTAGTATGTCTAATGTATCTGTAATTTATTACCACATTCTACATTTGTGTCAGATCTAGGTATCACCGTGTTGGAATTTATTTTGGAGCACTATTAGTAAAACCTAATGGGAAGACATATATTTTCTTTTTAGTTCTCACCTATCATCCGAATCGATTCTATCACTAGGTTTAAAAGGTTAACCATTGTAGATCACATCAGGAACAACATCAAATAAAATTAATAAACTTTAATAGACACTAAATTAAAAATACGTATGACAAAAAGCGCGTGTAGCAGTAACGACAAGAACATACCCTGGCTCTTGGAGCCGGAGATGCCGAGCTCGACGACCTCGAGCAGCGCGGCGAGGCAGGCGGCGTCGGCCAGCAGCGGCGCGCACAGCCACGCCGCCAGGCACGTGTAGGCCGCCACCACGCACGAGTGCAGGTCGCGCGAGTGCGCCGGCGGCGGCCGCCCGCACTGCACGCCGATGTAGTCGCAGATCCAGCGCACGGCGCGCTTGCGCTCCGTCGCCTCTGACGCGACAAGACAACACACGACACGTTCCGATTACAAATATGTACTAATACTAGCGACTCACCCTCGCTTCGCTCGGGTTCGCTTCTTGGAAGACAAAAACAAACCTATCCCACGGTAACTGTACATTTTTCCCGGATAAAAGGTAGCCTACGTGTTATTCTAGACTATAATCTATCTCTGTGCCAAATTTCATCCAGATCAGTAACAAACATACATCCATACTCACAAATTTTCACATTTATAATATTAGTATTAGTATAGATTATAAAGAGGTAAAGTTTATGAGTTTGTGAATTGTGAATTTGTGACGTTGTAGGGCGTAATCTCTGGATCTACTGAACCGATTTAGATGAAAATTGGTAAGAAGATATTTTGAGACCCTGGGATGAACATAGGATACTTTTAATCCCGGAAATCATCCCTTAAAGGAGTGAAAATGGAAAAGAAAGTTTATATGGGGAATCAACCTAGGGACGAACCCGAGCGAAGCGAGAGGGAGTTGCTAGTGATCCAATACGCCAGTTAATTATTACTAGTTTTTATCGAACGTAATGAATATTACCAGTTTGAAAAGATAAAAAAAGGTCAATCCTGAAAAGAACTAACGAAAGAAACTCAACGGGACTGAAATTATTTTTTTTATCTTTTTTTTGTTAGTACAATTATAAATTACGTGAATCCTACAACATTAAAGTAGCCTGGAGGCGATCACATCATTCCCAAGGTGTGCCATCTTCTATACCACCACTCCAATTATATTAATTCAAACAATTTAATATTGCACTGTTGCTAGGGTAGAGAATTTAAAATTTTAAAGGGTCAGGCACGTCTTTCACACGTCACACATCTTTCAACGTCAATTAAATACGCATCCAGGTTCACGATGTTTTTCATCGTATTGGCAAGTGGCAATCATGTTGAAAATAAATTGTACAAAATCTCGGTAGTGTAAGACGAATATACACTCGTGTATACACCTATTGTTATTGCTTAACATGCCAAAATTCAAACTATTTGTTAAACCATTGTATTCAGCCCTTTTATCGTCCCACTGCTGGGCACGGGCCTCCCTTCAATACGAGGGGGATCAGGCCATAGTCCACCACGCTGGCCAAGTGCGGGTTGGCGGACTTCACATGTCTTTCGAAAACTTGCTAAATTCTCTCAGACATGCAGGTTTCCTCACGATGTTTTCCTTCACCGTAAGGCAAGTGGTAATTATGTTAGAAATGATTCGCACATGAAAATATCAGAGGTGTGAGACCCGGGATTTGAACCCGCCTCACTCGGTTTCTCAAGCGAGCGAGTTACCACTGGGCTACCACTGCCTTTGTTAAGCCATATCACCATCAAATCAGTTCCAAAAGTCTAATCTAATAATACTAAAATGCAAAATTTCAATATTACTATAGATACGCGTGCACTGGATGTTAACTGAATTACAAATATTAAAATTTTGAATTGTTTTTGGATGATTTTTACCATATTTACTACAAAAAATAAAATAAATGTCAGGACATTAACACACAACATCATCTAGTTCCATGGTAAGCTACGAGGCATGTGTTATGGATACCAGAGAGTTGATACATTATACATACGAGTATATAACTTTTAAATACATACATATTATAAATATAAACACCTATGACTGGAGTACAAACATTCATGCTCAGCACACAATTGAATTCCCCCAGCGGGACTCGAATCCGCGACCGCTGGCGCAGTAAGTAGGGTCACTACAAACTGAGCCAAACGTATCGTCGTTCGGCTTAAAAACATAGCAATGACTTCTTTTTAATTGTCTTAAAACTGTGTTTTTGAGTGATACCCATACTCTTTTACTTCGCTCTAGTGAAACGTTATTGCTTAAAATTCCTTCTCACTCCTCCTGTTTCCTTACCAACTCCTTCGCAGTAAAGGCTGCACGCTTATGGAATAATCTTCCAATAGACATCAGGCGTGCCAAAAGTTTTGATAATTTTAAGGTACAGTTAAAATCATATTATTTGTATCTATAGTGTCTTATATTGAACCTTTTATACTTTTTCATCTGATCTACATTTATGAATGTATGTATGTATGTATGTGTGTATTATGTATGTGTGTGTATGTATGTATGTATGTATGTATGTATGTATGTATGTTTGTATGTATGTATGTACGTATATATGTATTTATGTATGTTTGTATTTAGGATATGCAATTGTGTGTAGTAAGTACACCGCCTACCATTTCATATAATTTCTCCTACGCCCTAAGGTTGCCTGGAAGAGATTGCTTATAGCGATAAAGCCGCCTGCTGTGCATCATCTATTGTTTATATCTACTTTTTGTATATTTCTTTGTGGTGTACAATAAAGCATCTATCTATCTATCTTTAAAACTGTGTCGTTATAAGGAAAACCTACAAATGTTCATAACCTAAAGTTTTACTATTGAAAAAATGTTTACACTATCTAAGATAATTTTATATTTATAATCCATATATCTACATGAAGTTGATGCCAACTACGTACATTCAATCTATTCACTCCACACTTACCTATCATAAATTCTGAACGGCATGCAAATAAAAAACAAAATCGATTAATTGAATACTATAAATGGTTAAAATTATTACTACATCTATACTAAAATTGCATAAGTAAATAACGTACCTGGTTTAGATGAGTGCAGTTTGGCAAGTCCCGATAAAAGCTCGAGAGCCGCGAGAGATACTTGTAGGTCTCCTTTCCAAGACGAGATAAGTCTGTGGCAGACCAAGTACGTGGCACGGACAACTAGCGCAGACCCTATAATATCACTTTGTAATGAAACAATGAATCTAATATACTTCAGGCGTCAACCATAAGAAGGCCTACATACTGAAAATATTAAGAATAATACAAGAATATTAGTGCACAGATTACTTGGCAATATCGCGTTGAATGAAAAAGACATGGCGGAAAATTATGGAATTTTTAGTTTTTATTTATATTAGTTTTCGTTTTAGAATAGTCATAGTGACAGTTAATTTTGGACGTTAAATTTCGATAGGTACTTACAGCAATGCTTATTTTTAAATAAACCGGACTATCAGGAACGAACACCGCGACTTTTGTAACAAATTAATAACAAATACGAATCCAGATTATACAAACTCCTCATAAGATAAACAAATAGAATATTAAAAAAATATATTCCATACATGGCTCTAATATAGTAGCCTCCTCGAATAAAATGTTACACATACAAATAAGGTAGACTTTGTAACAAAGGTGCAAAAGGATTAAAATCCAAAGAAATTCTGTTACATCACTAATCACTTCATTACTAATTTTATTTAATTTACAACTTATAAGAAGCCATCCAATAGAAATAGAGAATTTCAATAAGAAAACAAATAATTTCATGAAAAATAAATATCGATGAAAATTGTACACTAATGATAATTAAGGCTAAAAACATAAAAAAAAACAGCAAGCTTTGACAACATAACATAAATCAAAAAGCAATACGTTTTCAAGAACAACGCATTTTTAAGAAGGATGTTATTTGTTTTATATCATTTTGTAAAAAAAAATTGGTACTTTTGACAATATTATCTTTTTTCTTTAAATTTAAGATTTGTTCTAGTTTTTAAGCAAATATCATCCTTATGTACTGCAAAATAAAGTTGAAATTACCGAAAAAAGGCGAAGATGGGTCTAACTCTCTAACATCAGCTGCGAAGTCATCTTGCGAGCCTTCCGCACTAGCCGGCCCGCTGCTATCCGACCGCGCTAAAATGACCCCCAGTATAATGGGCTTGTAAACTCAGTAAGACCAAGTTATTTCGGTCATACTTTAGTGTCTCATAGAAGATGATATTATTTGCTAAGCTAGTGCATAAATCATTGTTATTTCATTGATATATGTAGATTTACATATTAAAAGTATATAATTATAGTATATAATTTTGAAGTACCTATATAATTTTGGTTTGTAGTTGTAGAAGATATTTTTATAATTTTGCATAATAAATTTATTGTTATAGACCCGAATATTGCGATGTTTAAGCAAACAAAATGTAGCCTGTGCGTTGTAGTTGATCCAATGTATGTGTGTGACTAATCAGCGCGTGACATGATGATGTGAAATATAAATTCTGTTCATGTAAAAATGTATAATTTTACATATTATGAACTATAATATATTTTAAGTTCCAGCATGAAAAAGAGATCGAATGTTTCATGTTCATACATAAACTATCTTCAACTATTGATAGATGATCAATTAATATGTATTTAAGGTTGATACTATCAACATCGTCAAAACTAAAAGTTAGTGTTAACCAATTCTTCCACTCCGTCCAACTGATTCAGATAAATTACTCCGCCAGACTGACGGACTGACACATTATACACATAAACATAGACAATTGTTTTATATACTCTGCAAAAATGAAAAACATTGATAATAAAAGTAAATCAAAGCTGGCGCACAACGGAGCTCACCCTTGTAGTCGGCGCTGTGCGAGGGCGCGGAGGGGGAGGGGGAGGGGGTGGCGGCGTTGTGGCGCACGCAGAGGTAGAGCGCGGACAGCAGCGGCACGGCCAGCGCGTCCGCCGCCTCCGCCTGCACGGCGCCCACGCACACCAGCGCCAGGCGCCCGCGCGCGTACTCGCCCAGCGTCATGCCCGCGCTGCGCGCACAGGGACACGAGTTATGTTACATCGTTTTATTATGAACTAGTTTTCATTTTTTTGAGCGGAAACCTAATTCTTTCTCTAAAACAATAATAGCATAGCCTAAGTCACCCCTTATGACATAAGCTATCTGCCAGTGAACGTCTCCTCAAAATCGGTTTAGCCGTTTCGGAGATTAGCCGGAACAAACTGACAGACAAAAATATTAAAAGTTGTGTGTCTCTTATGAGGACCATATACACGTATGTATATTTAGTAAAAAGCTCTTATTTTTTTTATTATAGAGGATAACATACTTAGCATATTTTTCAATGACGTTTTAGATTTAAGATTTAATTTTTAACTTATAAAATTTATTCTCACTATTTAGAGTAATAGTTAGATCTTAGGGATCAGGATTATAAAATGTAAGACTAGATTCAAAATAACTTATACATAGACAAAAAATATGAACGTTTCAGTGATATATGTAAAAAGTAAAAAAAACAATGCGTACTACTCATTACACCCGGGGAACTCGGGCACGGCGAGGCCGCGGTAGTGGTAGGGGAAGGCCACCAGCGACAGCAGCAGGCTGATGGCGGCCCGCCGCAGCGCGCGCCGCGTGCCGCCCGCCACGCCCGCCACCTCCAGCCGCGGCTCGCGCTCCGCCAGCACGCGGTCCAGCGCCGCGATGTAGTCCGGCACCAGCACCAGCACGCCCTCCAGGTCGATCCTGGGGGGCGACGTGTTAGATACATACTAGGATGGAGCGAAAAAAAAGCCTTTTTCTTAGTTTGGGAGTAGAATTTGTACCTTATAAAAAATATTGTTTTTTGAATATTTTTAAATTTTTGGTTTGAACGATTTTTTTTTCGAGTGATCTTTGAAAACATTCAAATATTTACAAATATAGTCATTTTCTACTCTACTTTCACTGTAATACAAAAAAAATAACATGTTATTTTTTCAACCTTTTTGAAGTTATACCTCTTTACGGTACGTTTGGAAAAAATATGAGGGTAAAAATTTTTACGTTGCGCGCGCACATCGACAGCCAAAAAGCGACATTCTGCATTCCTTTTACAAACAAAGAGTTGTGACATACGGGATGAAATCGTTAGCTATTTTTTGTTCTGTTACGCCAAAGAAGTATAACTTCTTATATGCGTACGTACATACTACATAAGTACACAGGTTTTTTTTTTTAAATTGCTATAATGCAATATTATAGTGAAAGTTGGATAGAAAATGACTATATTCGTTTTTTATCGCTCTACACTAATTACATACTCGTACATATGTCGACTATTACTTAGCAATATTTTTATCCAAAAAATATTTGTTAAAATTAATAGTTATTTAGGAATCTCGACAAACAACAACAACAATCTATTATATTTAAAATTCAATATTTACAATTTTAAACTGTTGGTAGAGTCTGTACTATTTATGGTATAGGACCTTATACATGTTTAGTCGTTTTCAGAATGTCACATAAAAATAAGAATGACAGCCGGTATCGCGTATAGCTCCCCGTAAAGTTTTCGTTAGGCGCAACTCCATGTGTTAGTATACTGTGATTTTAATGTTCATGTTTAATATGTACTTAAATTTCGTACGTTAATAGCAGTGTAAATGCCGGCAACGCATTCGCAACGCCTGTTATGTTGCAGATATCTATAAGCGACGTTAGCCACTTACCGTCAGGTAGATCGTTTGCTCTTCTGCTCTTTTTAAATATAAAAAAATAGTGTCCGTGCGTAGGAGTGTACGTATGTATGTAGTGGGTGGTTGCGTTACCGGAATATGTCCTGCGAGTGCATGACGACGGCGGCGGCGGTGGCGGGGTCGCGCAGGCCGCGCTGCAGCGCCGCGTAGGCGCGCGCCAGGTACGGCGCCAGCACGCGCTCGCGGCACTGCTTGGCGCACAGCACGCGGCACAGCGCGCCCAGCGCCTCCGCGCGCCCTGCGCCACGCACACATACACACACATGTCTTTCACGTCCTACCTTCAATATAAGGAGGAACAAATCAAAGAGAAAAAAGAAAGGAATCTTGCTAGGTTCTCTTAGACATGCAGGTTTCCCCATGACGCATGCTTCACCGTAATACAAGTGGTGATCATGTTGAAATTGATTCGCATGTGAAAATACCAAAGGTGCGCGCACTACTCGAGATTTGAACCCGCTTTATTTCGATTCCTAAGCGCATTACCGAGAACTGGAGAAAACCTAACATGTATTCGACAGAGATGCTCAGTCCGCCCGCACTTGACCGACGTGGTGGAATATGGCCTGATACCCTTTCCTATTGAAAGGAGACCCGTGCCCAGCAGTGGGACGTTACAAAGGGCTGAATACATCAAACAAACCTGCTTGGTAATTAATCATATTTAATTTCAGCGACGCATCCGACAGAGACACGGGCGGAGGAGTGCCATCTGCTCGCTCTGAAAACCAAGTTTATAAAATATAAGTTATGTCTTTCATTCTGACGGCAAAAGACAACAAATAAATACATACAACTAATATTGGTTAAATCTTAAGAGATACTTCAAAACAAATTTTAGAAAATTGTAGAGTTGAAATAGCCCTACAGAAAAGTCAGTTATAGCATGTGTCTCTCTCCTATAGACTCGTAATCATTATTTTTACCTATTTAAAACGTACCTAGGGAGCATCTGAGCGAAGGGAGAGTACGCCTTTAGTATCAATTAAAAACAAGAAATTACATAAAAACTTTTTAACAAAAAACAAAAACCGATTTCCAGGCATCAAAATGTAAAAAATAACTAGGCGGAGGTTTTCATTTAGAATAGATACCTAATCAGATATTTTTGAAGTCAAATTGAGAACGTCCTCCTTTTTGGAATTGGAAGTCGGTTAAAAAGATACCGTATCGAAATCTCTATAATTACGAAAGTCATTTTTTTATAATTTTCTTTATCTTCTGATCTATCTATGTTTTTGAATAGCACTCACGTTGATTGTTCCCGAGGGGCGCGGTGCCGACGAGCGCGGCCTCGAACAGCCACTCGCCGAACAGGTGCAGGATGGAGTTGACCTTCGGCCGCAGCGGCGTCAGCGGCGGCTTCTCCGTCTCGCCCGCTGCCAACACTGCCGACGTTAGGATCATACTGCGTTATGTAGTATTTAAAGTTTTTCAAATCAAATCAACCACTTTATTGCGAAATTGGATTAGTACACACATTTAGATTTTTATAATAATAATAATAATATAATAAATAATGTTCAGCCTTACAGCATGCAATAATTCAATAATTAAAATATACATTAAATTAGAAATGTTAACTTTTTTTAAATAGTTAAAAAAATGGTAATTTTTCCAGAAATAAACGTTATCTGTAAATGTAAATGATCACTTTCTATTTTTCGTAAAATAGTTTAAAATATTACTTATTAATTATTATTATAGTACAGTGGCCTTTAAACGGATCAGCTTAGATCTCTCTTATTGTATTTTAATACCATATTTGTTGGTTTGAGATTGAGAGATGTATTTAGAATATTTATTATGGCATTCTTATAAAAAGTTATTGTTAAAATCTGTACCTTGCGAAATAATAGAATTGGGCGGTGTGGTTGGGATTACACTAGAAGGTCGGCTCGTTAGACCTATCAAAGACGACCTCGGTGTACCTGCAAATATGTTCCAAAATAATAAAATACGTCATAAATTAATACATATACACACACATATTCCTAAACAATTGAGTGATTACGATACATGGTGTTTCAATAAATTAATATTATTTTCTACAATATATAAGTTATCTATTCTACAGTGCAAAAAGCTATTAAGCTATGTGTAATATATAACAGTGATAATGTACATATCTACCTCAAACAAACTGCACCCCAACTATAAACAGTGCTTTGGAAGAATGAGGAAAAAATAAAAATATATATTTAAATACAAGGCAAACTACGTTTTATAAAATATTTAAAGCTTTTTCAATAAGAGAAAATTTCTAGAATTTTAAGAGCCTTTCTGGAAACACTAAGGAATAGTTAAATATATTTATAGAAAGACCTTTCAATTTTTTCTGATTCAAGCCATTGTAAATTTAAAAGATATTAAAACATTTATGCCTTATTACACATATATGCCTTATTATACAGACTGTTAAATTTTAATTTTGATGAAGTGTATTAATACAGAAAAATAATTAAACGATGGTGATTTTAAAATAAAATGATGAAGTTAAAATAAAATGATATTATATTCCAAAAAAAACTAATGTTAGAAATATTACCTGGACGATAGGTTATAATCGACGCTTAGGTTGTAATACTGTAATCGGTTGTAAAATTGCAATAAATAAAACAAATATTTCTACACAAATAGCTAGCTAGATATTTTAGATTTAAGTACGTATTATTTACTATATAGTCGCAATTGTGTATCTTGTATTAAATTATCAAGGAATAAATTTATTCTTATAACTTACTAGCATTGCCCGCGGCTCCGCCCGCGTTCAGATGACCAAAAACTAAATTCTTAGGTGTTACATATTAGTATACTCTTACATTGCAGTTTTTGTATTTTTCCTCAGAAATAAGATATTTTCCCGCGGTAAAAAGTATCCTAGGATCGCGCGCTACATCGCCCGGTTTATATAGCTTGAGCAGGCGGTCGAGCGATGCGGGGCAGAGGGGATGGACTCGCCGTAGGCATCTCAATGCTCGCCAAGCATTAAAAATGTTTCGCTACTAATTACTTCTAACAACGATATCTCAAAAACTATTCATCTGATTGATTTAGTGTAAAGAGCAATTTTAATCTGCATTAAATGACTAAGCTAACTAAAATATTCATTTGGATAAGGATTAATACCGAACTAAAGAAAATAACTTTGAAAATAACGTAATGTTTTTAATTAAAAATGTTAACATAAAAGTGGTTATTGTAAGTCAACCGTAAGAGATAGAGATATGCTATCGCGGACTTTTTTGTAGCATTTTTATAGATTTTGAATTCTCTAGTACATTACTTAACTGTATCTTTGCTAGTTTACGCGGCGTTCGCGTGGAAAGTTCCCATTTGGCGAGATTTTTTGCGACCTCTTCAACATTTGTCGCCGTATTTCAGCTAATTTACATAAAAGCATAATAAATTATATACCTAAACCTTCCTCAAGAATTACTCTTTCTATTGTTGAAAACCGTATAAAAATCCGTTCAGTAGTTTTCGAGTTTATCGCGTACAGACAGACAGGAGGACAGACAGGAGGACAGAAAGACGCGGCCGGGGGACTTATTTTTATAATAAGTATAGATTATGTATGACATTTGAAATTAAACAGTCACAGGCCAACTAAATAATAATAATATTATTTATGCAATTTTATCATCCGCGTACAACAGTTATGGGTAATAGGACACAAAACGATTTTTTTGTTATTTAATCATACGGCAATATTAACAAAAATATCTTAAATATGTAAACAGAGACCCATAACACAACCTAAGCGAAGTTATAACCCATGAGTCGGAATGCATACTTTTCTCAAGGGGCTTGTCCTTGGGGCGCGACGCGCTGAAGGACTTGGCGAGGCGGCGGTGCGGCGGGGGCGTGGCCTCGCCGTCGTCGGGCGCCGCCCCCGCGCCCGCGCCCTCCACCGCCCAGCGCTCCGTACTGCGCCCTGTCACGCCACACACGCACCACACCACTACACTACTGTGTTACACTAGGTGGATTTACGTGCCTTCTTTCGCACACACGACTTTATAATTTAAAGTGAATTTTCTATATGAAACAGGACTAAAGTCGCACTGTGAAATGTCTTCAAGCAATGTTTTTTTGTGACATTTTAAGATTATTTTTATTGGGCTGTAGGTAGGCGAGAAATAAAAATGACGTTTTGAAATGGTGTTAAATGTTTATCAATAGGTACTAGGTATATCACCTATTATATTCTGAAGACTTACAAAGTGATGGAAAAAAACTAAAAATTAAATAATAAAAAACATATCGATAGCATTTATATAAGTATCCAAATTCTGCTATACATTTTCAATATCTCACGAAGAAAAGTTATATAAAATAAATTCGAGCCCATACTGTTCCCCAAATCTGTGTGTGTACATGTATATATCATTCAATGTACTCTTGGATGCTTTTGGATTACAATAAAAAATTCCCTATAATTTTTTCACAGTGCAACTTAGCCCTAATATTAAAGTAAAAACTATAATTTTATTGAAAGTAAATCCACCACTAACTATGTATTAGCACAGATAATATAACTTCATTTGAAAGCCGATATTATTTACTTAACTCAAACAAGTACTGTCAAAATGTCACTGTTGATAGACCAAATAGTATATATCTGTGCCAGGCATAGACTACATCGCAAAATAGAGAATATATCAGATGTTCCACAAACTGACAAATCACACCCATGCTTCTGATATATTCATTTGTACTATTCATACAAATGTACTATTTAACGATGTCGTCCAACTTATTAATACTTAATGTACATTATACATATACTAAGCAGAAATACAGCTCAATATTATATTGTGTAAATCCAAAAACCCGTAAGATTTTCAATTCTAGTCACCATTAATAGATGTATTAAAAAAGAATAATATATAAACAATTCCCAGAAGAGTAATTGTGCTTTAGTTAAATTATAATAAGTAAAGGCAGTCAAAGTATAAAATAAACATATAATATAATATAAAGAAGACACTTTGTTCTAAGTAGTTCGGTACTTAATTATAGCAAATTTTTTGAATAGTATGATATTTAAAATTCAATACAATTCTGTATTCAGATTTAACGTTTATCAAAAATCTAAATAAATACTTTTAAAATCACTTGAAATTTTTATAATTCAATTTAAGTTAGTAAAACACGCCCATGCATACACACGTATATGTAGTAAAACCAATGCAAATTACCAATAATTAACTTAGTGCCAATCTATATGACTAAAAATGTTATAATTTTACGACTTAAACGTATATCAAAAAAAAACTCAAACTCAAAGCCTACTAAACTCAACGGTATTAGGTATGAGAGTGACAGCGACTCACCGAGGAAGGCGTCGACGTGCGCGGCCACGCCCAGCATGGCGCGGTGGAAGATGTGCGCCAGCGAGCTCACCCACGCCTCGCGGCCCTCCTTGCTGTCTTTCCCCTCCCTCCCCTCCTCCGTCATCCAATACTGCATATACATACGTGTGTTATTATATCATTGACTAGCGACTCACCCTCGCTCCGTTCGGGTTCGTCCCTACTTACGTTATAACATTTAGTGTGAAGCGACTTTAATAAGTAAAAATAATTGATATATCAGAGATGAGATATTTGCGCGTAGTAAAAAGTATCCTATATGTTGACCCGGATAACCAGCTATCATCATACCAAATTCATCAAAACCCTTCCAGCAGTTTTTCCGTGATACGTTCACAGACAGACTGATTAGGCTTAGTTACAATTTTATTATATGTATAGATTACACAAGTGAAAAAAAAACATATGTTTTTGGGTCTCTTCTTGAATGAATATTTTTTTGTTTTCTATATCCAAAAAAACAGATTCTCCATGCATAATAAAGTTTGCTTTTGTATATATACAATTAAAAATTAAGTGTGCGTGCGTGCGTATGTGTGTGTGCGTATATGTAAGTGTGCGTGTGTGTGTGTGCTCACTCGCCTGCAGGAACTCGGGCGTGTGGCTGATGAGGTGGGGCTTAGTGAGGTCGACGGGGTTGCCGATGGTGTGCAGGATGCGATACCAGCTCTGCGTCACCGCCTCCGCGCTCATGTCCGCCGGCACCAGGTTGGCGTCCTCTTCCGCTGCGGACATAGACGCGTGTTCATATAATAATAATAATGTATAGATTATAGGACATTGACGTTGCATGTACATATATATTTAAAATTGATTTGACTGCTTGTTATTGGTAAAAAAAAGTTGACAACGAATTAATAATATAAAGCAATAAAAATAATGCACTCAACCTATGCAAAGGGCCAACTTCACTTAACTGCAATAAGCGCAGAGCAAATATATGACCTTTTTCATTGATTCCGTAGAGATTAGTCTTCTCGTATAAGTAGGTTTCAAGGCGCTATTGGATCCAAAGCAAGTTGTCCACACGACAAGTTGCTTGACATTCGATGCACGTTCGAATTTAAAGTGTTTCAAAGTTTTTATGACTTTATCATTATACTACCTGTTAGAACACAAAATAACACCAAATTGAGATACTAAATTGTATCTTACAATCTAACTAATATTTTAAATCTGAAAGTTTAGATATTTGGATGGGTGTTTGTTACTCAATCACGCCAGAACAGCTGAACGGATCTGGATGAAATTTGGCGCAGAGATAGACTATACTCTGCAATAGCACATAGGCTACTTTTTATCCCGGAAAAATGTACGGTTCTCGTGGCATAGATTTGTTCTTGTTGGTCTGGTTAAATTATAAATTGACAACACAAAACGGACATGTAAACATAAAAATGTTGACGCCCGAGACAGCTACAGTGTAGCGTAGCATCGTACCTATGGGCATGGCGGGGTAGAGCGGGCCGTAGGCGTGCGCGAGCAGGCGCGCCGTGAGGCACAGCGACACGCGCGCCCACTGCTCCGTGAGCGGCGCGCGGTGCCGCCAGCGCACGCACTGCTCGCGCAGCGTGCGCCACAGCGCCGGCGACGGGAAGCATCTGCGGGCACCGTCCCAGTTAGACCAGTACCATGTACTTGTTATAAGAGTATGGAGTGCACCAGTTAAAATACTTATAAATTTGAAGTACCTACTTTAATCACTGTAGTTAAAGTATAATGACGATTCTAACTGGCCTGGGTATGTTCGACTCAGTGTCTTTAAACGTACTCGTAAAAAATGTAGCGACGCATCGGCTCGAAAAGCTATCCCGCAAAGTACTTAATCAAAACAAAAAATGTTCATTAAACCGTACATAGGTATTTGGGTAATATTCTCTTCTCTGCTCTTGTGACGAGAACTGTCTTCCAGATCCGGTTGTAACTTCCACACAGACTTACTACAGATTCAAACTTGGAAGTCTGTTTGAGTAAACTATATTTTAAATTAATTTGACATGTTTTGTGTTGTAGGATGTTTTTTCGTATTTTGTTATTAGGTTATAAATTAATTTCAAAATAACTTTAAAATAGTATGTACCATTTTTATATACTAATCTTTATTGCAACTATTAATAATAATGAAAATTTCCAAAAGAAACATAAAAACTTATCAAATGACGACAAAGGTTTGCTATTACAAAAAAAAACTAAATAAATTGACCATAGGTGAAATAACACGTTAAAAGACAAACTTAGTATAAGTTACCATAAAAAAAAACCACTAAAACGAAAAATATAAATGTATTTAGTATTTACTATACACAAAACTATCATTAAACACAACCCAAACAACAATGAGGCTCGTACCTGTGACACGCTAAGATCCACACTTCGAACAGCACACACAGCACCCGCTCGCACAGCTCCTCGGCTGCGCCGTACAGCGGGGCGGGGGGCGCCAGCAGCGCCGACGCGGCAGCCAGCAGCAGCAGCAAAAGCGAGCGCCATTCGCGCGGGCCCAGCGACCCGCAGTCCGCCAGCAGCCGCGCCAGGCGCAGCACGCGGTGGCATAGCACTGCTTGCTTGCTTATCGAGTCGCCGCCTGGTGTTTGGGTTGAGAAGCAATGGAAACGTGGACATAATAACAGTTTTAATGACAGTAGAATAGATTTAACAGTAACACCGCGAATAACTTTAATTATGTATATATATACGAACACACTGAAACATCTGTACTAATTTAGACATTTATTATATAGAATATGATCTGAAATAACATATAGGCCACTGTTAGTATTAGAATTTTCTAGAAAGTTGTATAAATAAATAAGCATCTAGGGACGCACCCGAGGGAAGCAACACTAATCATCCATAAGAACGGTAAAAATATAGAAAACGAATCAGAGTAAAAGTGTAAAAAAGTAAACCAACTTGACACAACATGCCTGCTGATAAATATATTTGATAAAAACAAAAGTAAAAGTTTCCTGACAAATTAAAATTTTAATTAATTAAAGTAACACTAGGTTCCATGTATCTAACAAAATGATATTACACATCATGAAAAACGGAAAGTGACCACAATGACTACACGAAATGAATGAAAAAACACATACATAACAAAAGTTCAACCAAACCAATCAGAGAATGAATGTTTACATTTACCATGTAATGAAATAATGAAATTCTTAGACAATTTCATATAAAGCTTATTATTGAAATTATACTAAATTTTGATGCTACATAATGAAAATTTACCAGCAAAATACCAGTTTATATATTCTTAAAACTGACAACACAAGGACTAGTCACGATAACATTTATTTGAACTGTAACTTGACTCACCTAAGTCCGTTTGGTAAATAAATGCAAGTGCTTGAAAAGAAATTTTTGAAAACTGTAAAACGAATTTTCTGGCCAATAAAATTGTTGCAAAACGTCATAAATAATATTAAAAATTCTACTATCGTATATTATAATGTGAAATATCAGTTTTTTTATCACATAATATATTATATACTTTCAATTTAAAAAAATAGTACTTTTTTACTTAATTTAAAAACATTAGTACTTACTTTCGTTAGGCCTCGGCACAAACAAATTGTGCAAATGATTAAATATTTTATTAGCATATCTATGCGGTTCGGCAGCGAGGGGCGGAGGCACCGCGGGCTGCGGCGGGTGTGAGGGGGCGGCGGGCGGCGAAGGGGGCAGAAGGGCTGACAGCCACGAGTAGCAAACATGCACGCACGCTCGGAGTGCTTCGTGCTCTGATAGTGGTAGCGACAACCCATAACGTATTACCTCTAAAACCCATTCCACCTTCAAAAATACAACGTAAAGTTACTTTAATTTAAACTTATATGTAAGCATTTAACCATAATTTCTAAGTTTCCTCTATTAGGTACCACACTATGCTTTGAGTATCTCGTCAAAACAAAAGTCGCGAGAATTTTGCTTGATAGCAATGATTTTTTTTAAAACTAAAGTTTTAGTCAAAAATCTTTCCTTTACTATTAATTTAAAGATGAGTCTTAAATTACTTTTATTTTACTACTTTAAAAATCCAGAATTCTCAACTTCTTCTAAAAATATAGTTATAGAAATACTTAACATTTAGCCATATTAGAAATTTGCTTAGTCTACAACTGAATACAAAATATAGACTGAGAAAAAAATTACTTATGAGAATTACCTCAGCGTCTGTAGTAAGAGGGCTAGGTTGGTGAGAAGCAAGTTGACAAACAACCGCTAATACTACATCCCGACCACCCACTACACCCAAAACACCTCGCCCTCCTCCCTCCAGTGGAAGCGAGTTCCATTCTGAATACATTCCGTCACCCTCCTTGATCTGCAAGATCACAATTTATTACCTTACAATATTAATTGTAATTTAATAACAATCCTAGTAAAATATTAGCAGCTGCATAGATAATAATGAAGTGTCTGAAAATTATATTTTAATTGCTTACTTAAGTTCAATAATTTTTCACAATATGTTATGATTTCGCTAATTTAAATAAAATATTTTTATTAAAAAAAATAAAAAACAAATATTTTTTGAAATAAGCTTCTGCCAATATACTACAGAGCAGTTTTATAATGATTTTAAATGTAGGCACATAATGTGCATGACAATCTCTTACTATTGCTTATAAGAAAATGTGCTATTTTCAAAAATAACTGATTGTATTATAATTGTAAGATTATTATTTATTTTTTTACAAAAAAAATGAAAAAAAAAATGTGCTGAAGTGTACACAAACAACTAAAGGTATGATTTTACTTATTAAGATGGATAATTAAGTAACAGAGTATATTTTAGCCATTTTAAATTGTTTACAATTAAAAGAGAGTAGTAACTCACTTTGCTGTTGACTCTGTTAAAGATTCCCACATTCATAAATAAAGTATACCTAACGGTATACGTTACTTTTCTATTACTAAAATTGTAGAATTCAACAGTAATGTTATGCGATAGAAGATACTACTTTAGTAGCCACTAGCCTTAAAAATTACTTTAACATTAAAAAATGTTAGTTGTTAATTATCAGTGCTGAGTGATTAAATCATCAATCAATTAAACTATATTCTCCTTAATCTGTGAATTAAACTTAGAAAACTTGTGTTTTCCCAATACGTAAACTGTTAGGCATTGATGAATGATGACAAATAAACCTGTTAACTGACGTCTAAGAATTGACATATAGATTATAGTATAAAGATTATGAAGGGTACAAGCAAGGAGTACCGTCTTTTAGGGGGATTAGTTGAAAAAGTGTCCACTTGTAAACAGCAAAGTATTGTTTGAACACTCACCGAAATAGTGCTAGTGTAGGAAATGATATTAATTTAGCAGTTATAAACCGAGTAAAGTGTGCTGGGTTGAAAAATTTAATATTTTTTATTCCTTTATTTATGTTATAAATACTCTTTACATGTACATTCTTTTGTAATTTTAAAAAATATTCTTATGTTCGATTCTTATGTATGTCATTCATTCATATCTTTATGCTAATAAAAATGTCTTATGACTTTGTGTACTGAAGTTATTTTATTGGCGACGAGGAAATAAATAAAAATGAACCCTGAACAAATAGACCAATTACTTCGAAATCAAGTATCACAGCAACAACAAATAACAGAAATCCTGAAATTTTTAGTTGAAACACGAATTACCACACCCACACCATTGAACAACAATGGAACGGAATTGCAGGTAACTACCTCAACACCGACAGAAATAAATAAAATAGCCATCATTAATAATTTTAGAGGAGACAAATTTGAACCGTCAAGTAACTCGTCAATTGAAAATTTTATCGAATATTTTGAAGCCAAATGTAGAATAGGGGGTGAAAGTTACTTAAATATACAGAAAGACCTTTTATTATCATGTTTAAAACCAGAAACATATCACGAAATTAAAACAGCACTAATACCCTCATTCGAAAATTCTACCTACGATGATATTAAAAATAAACTACTAGATATATATAAAACACGTAAAACAAGATACAAGGCATTGACTGAATTTTGGTCTTGTATCAGAGATACCTGTGAAAGCATGGAACATTATGCCAATAGGTTAAAAGAACTCAGCAAAGATTGCGGTTATGATGACACTATATTAGAACGACAGTTACGAGATCGCTTCGCTACAGGGCTAAATCATCAACAATTACAAATTGAACTAAGACAAAAATGGCCTGATCTTATAGATACTCAAAACGGAATAAAAACAGAAGTAACATTTTTACAGTTATTTGCTATTGCTCAGTCTAGGGAACTAGCTGAAGCAGATATTAATACAGAGTGTAACATTAACAGAATATCTAACAAAACTGGAAACAGAAAAGAAGAAAACATACGGAAACCAACACGCAAATTACGCCTAGACCAATGTCGCAGATGCGGCAAGCACAATAGACACAGCTTTAACAAATGTGAAGCCAGAAATCATGAATGTACAGAATGTGGAGTTATAGGTCACTTTGAAAGTTGCTGCATTAAAACTGGCCGAGCGTACCTTGACAACTATAAACCGCTTAAAAATCAACTAAGTTTCAGAAAAATAGGCACTTATACAGAATTACAGAAAGAGCAAATATAACTAACAGAGTTTCACAAACACCAACTTCATCATTTTCAGGTAGCGAAGAAAGTGAGGAAGAGAGCAATACCTACAAAATACAAAATAAAAAAACAAGCAGGTGTAAAAAAATAGATGTTAAAATTAACGGTATTAAGTGTACAATGGATTGGGATCCAGGTTCCGTATATTCCATCATTAATACTAAAATGTGGAGAAAAATTGGATCACCCTCACTAATGCAAGCACCCACATTAAAAGCTTACTGTAACTTCAAACTAAAACCCAAAGGCTTAACTGATATTACTGTAGAAGTTGATAACCGAAGTTTAATATTACCAGTAATTGTAATGAAGCATGCTGAGCCAATGCTCTTTGGCCTGCAGTGGAGTGAATCTTTTGATATGATTTTTCCGGAACCCGTTTACTCTATAAAAAAAATTGCAATGACAACGAACATGTCACTTAGGCGTGTATTAGATACTCACACTAGGCTCTTCGACGGTAAACTAGGAAGAGTAAACAATTATCAAGTAAACATCCACATTAGAGAAGGAGTAGAACCAAAACATCTTCCTGCTCGTCCTATAAAATTTAGTATTAAAAGAAACGTAGATATTGAATTAGAGCGTTTGGTTAATGAAGGCATTATTACTCCAATAGACCCAAACATAACTCCAGTAGAATGGGCAACACCTACAGTTAATGTTCTCAAATCCAATGGTCAAATACGAATATGTGGTGATTACCGTATAACAATTAACTCAGCACTTATAAAACATGCACACCCAGTTCCTCTTTTCGACCACTTACGTCAACGACTATCAAATGGAGAGAAATATTCAAAAATTGATTTAAAAGACGCATACCTACAATTTGAAATAGCCGAAGCATCAAAAAAATATCTAACAATTTCGACCCACAAAGGTTATTTTCAATACAACAGAATGCCATTTGGTATCGCAACTGCGCCATCTATTTTTCAACATTATTTAGACAAACTTTTAGAAGATATACCAAATGTAGCTGTTTATTTTGATGACATAGCTGTGACTGGAAGAAATGACAGCGAACACTTAAAAGCACTTTCCACAGTATTTACTCGATTGGAGAAGGCAGGTCTCAAAGTAAACTTAAAAAAATGTTCATTTTTACAACCAGAAATAGAATACTTAGGACATACAATTGACAGATTTGGTGTGCGGCCAACAAAATCAAAAATTGAAGCTATCCTTAATGCGCCACCGCCCACTAATATTAAAGAATTAAGATCTTTTCTAGGTTTAGTTAATTTCTATGAGAGATTTATTCCAAATTTACATAGCATTTGTGCAGATCTCCACAAGTTAACTGGAAGTAAAAGCAAATGGCAATGGAGATCTTATGAAAATGAAATTTTTGATGAAATTAAACACAGTATAACGACGTCTAAATCATTAATAGCTTTCGATGAGACACGCCCTCTATATTTAGCATGCGATGCTTCAGAGAAAGGCATAGGCGCCGTATTATTTCATAAAGCAAACAAACTTGAACAACCTATAGCATATGCATCAAGAAAACTTAAATTAGCAGAATCCAGATATTCAGTAATAGATCGGGAAGCACTTGCCATATTTTATGGCATTAAAAAATTTGACCAATATTTAAGAGGAACTAAATTTACTTTGGTAACTGATCACAAACCTTTAATACACATTCTAGGACACCAACGTAACTTACCAAAAATAGTAAACAACAGACTCGTGAGATGGGCTTTATTAATAGGCAGCTATGATTATGAAATTTTATATAGAAAGGGCGAGAATAATACAGTCGCTGATTATTTATCACGTATGCCAAATCCTAAAGAGGAACCTACAAGAGCTGAATTAAGAATTCATAAAATTGACGAAATTACACAATACGACAAAATAAATGATTTATCACTAACTCAACAACATATTAAGGAAGAAACCGCGAAAGATAATAGCCTTAAACAAGTAATACAATTCATTAAAACAGGATGGATAAATTTAGTAAAGGAAGCAGAACTACAACCTTATTTACGCAAACGTGAAGAACTTGCAATAGAAAACAATTTAGTTATGTGGCAGGGTAGAATTGTGATGCCGTGCACATTGCGCCTGCCCACGTTAAAATATTTACACAGAGGTCATCCAGGTATTTCGGCAATGAGAGCTTTAGCACGATTTTATGTATGGTGGCCAACAATCGAAGAAGATATTGATGTTTACGTTAAAAAATGTCATATGTGTCAAGAGAATCGACCAAATAACACAGAACTTCCTATATTTTCATGGTCAATCCCAGACAATGTATGGGAGAGAATACACATTGACTTTGCAGGACCGTTTGAGGGAAAGTATTGGCTAGTACTGGCGGATGCTCTATCGAAATGGATAGAAATTGTTCCAATGGACAAAATTTCTACAGATAAACTTTGCAATAAACTAGACGATATTTTTACTACGTTCGGATTACCACAAATTATAGTTTCTGATAATGGACCACAATTCACATCATCGCAGTTTCAAACATATTGCAAGCTTAAGAACATTGTACATATCAAATCGTCACCTTATCATCCACGAACAAATGGATTGGCAGAACGGCTAGTTCGAACTTTTAAAACTCGAATGGCGGCAAGTAAAGGTGACAATGACTGCCAAAGAAATCGCCTAAGAAAGTTCCTATTTACGTATCGCAATACACCTCACACGACGACAGGAAAATCACCAGCTCAAATGATGTTTGGACGCAGACTTACATGTGAGTTAGACAATGCCCGCCCGAATCTAAAGCATCAATTGAGATTTAAGCAATTACAAGCAGACATTCTGAACGAAAATACAGAAGCTTTTAGACCCGGAGATAACGTTTATATTCGAGATAAAGTGATGAAACAGTGGAAGCCAGGTGTTATTAAGCAGAGAACACATAAATACTCATATAAAGTCAATACACCCGATGGAACAGAAAGGCGAATGCATGCAGATCATATTAGGCCAAGAGCCATGGATAGAGAAAATGATACAAAAGCTGAACATACACCAATCAGCTCAACTTGGTTTGAACACAAAGCACCAGACAGAAAACAACCAAATTCATCTGAAAAATCTACGGAACCAGTGACTCCGATAAAAGCCTCGATTCCTAATATTACACCCACAGAAACGATAACGATACAATCAACACCTAGACGCAGAAGCCTAATAGCAGAAACAATCGAACAAGACAGGCTAACCAATGAATCGAATAAGGATAGAGAATATAAAGCGATACAACGACGTAGTAAACGTACTATAAAACCGCCACGAAGGTTGATTGAAGAAATGTGATTAAGGAAGGATGTTAAAAAAAAAGTAGCCCCGGAGGAATGTTATAAATACTCTTTACATGTACATTCTTTTGTAATTTTAAAAAATATTCTTATGTTCGATTCTTATGTATGTCATTCATTCATATCTTTATGCTAATAAAAATGTCTTATGACTTTGTGTACTGAAGTTATTTTAATTTATATTTTAATATATTATCTGTTATGCAATGGTTTTATTTTTTACTCGTTTATTAGTGCAATTATACAAGATGTATAGTGGAAACAATAATCTTTACTGCCATAAGTTTCTTAGCATTAATTATTTGTCATCCATGCTGTAAGCATTAGAAACACTGGTTTGAGCGAAAACTGTGCATGTTATGACTGATCAAGACATGTGGTAGCGTCTCCAGCCAAGTACAAATCAAAGGAACTTGTGACGCAGCCATGTTTGAACTTCGATTTATAGTAAGTTATCTACTCTGAGAAAATAATTCAAAATGTTAAAATTTAAAAAAATCTATTTGACGGCGCGCTCAGTGCGCCAGCAGGAGATTTCGGCGAGCTTATCGGATTAGAGTGTGAAGTCAGGTTTCCACAGCACACTCTAGTAAAGCGTCGAAGCGATGGTAGCAGGGTGACACAAACTGGCAGGTTTTAAAAAGAAATTGAAATAAAGAATAAAGTTGACTATTAGAGAAATAATAAAAGGAATGTCAGAATTGGATCGCCCGTGCACCACGTATACGACGAATTACTTATTTCCGAATTTGTTTATCATTATTGATTATGTAACGTTTAATTTGTGCTTTAATTTGTGAACATTGTTAGCTTACTTACTTAGCTCTGAATGTGTGAAGTGTAACTGACTTAGTTGATTAAATCTACTGTATTTTTTAAAAGACATTATTTAAGTTCACGCCCACTATAATGAATAATTCTGATGTTGGCCTTCCTTTTTTTTTAACGTTGGGAAATGCATTTACGCACGAGGTGTGGGACTCACCGGCAAAGCCAGTACTACCCACTAAAACCCAACAAAACCTTCCCCCGTCTTAATGGGGCGTCGCAGGATCGCTTACGCATTCAACTACGACGCCCCGACGGCAGGTCTGCCGAAGCAGACCATAACAACCACGGGGTTGCTCCACAGTCCACTCTGCTATCAGAGAAGTACCAGGAGCAGTACACTGCCCTCCGAAGAGGGCCACCTCCCACCGCCCACCGAAGTGGGCCACCTCCCTGTGCGTTTCTTGGGTTCGCGCCCGGTTGGGCTGCCGGGCACTACTGAGCCCCCCCACCACGACAAGGTGAACGCACGTTGGGGGGAAATGTTGGCCTTCCTGCGCCGACATATTTTTAAACAGCTAACTCTTTTGTAGCAGAAAAAAAAAACAAGATATTGTTTTAATTTTATTTTTGAATGTTGTATGTTCTTATGAATAAAATTCAGCATTACCTACAGAACTTGGCACCCATTTAGATCTCGATTCTTTTGTCGGTGTAGTTGACAACCACGCTCATTCTTAATATTGAACTTGGCTCCCATTTTCACATTTATATATTTGATGGGATTGCTTATTTTCATCTTCTGTTTCAATTATATTTAAAACATGACCTGATTCAAATAATTTTTGGCATTTTTCATTGTTTTGACCTCTGATCCGATCATTTTTTATCGGTAAAAAAAAAAACAATTTTTGTTATTGTTGTTTGCGTTATTTAGGCATAATTTATTACACTGCTTACATCAATATAATGTTTTTCTTATTTAACACCAGGGCGCTCTACTTTCGACAGAAGTGCTGCACTCTATAATTCGGGCACATTCCTTACCTTCGCCCACGTCTTTAATTTTAACTCTTGAGTCTTGCTAAATGTCAATGTCATTACTCATTTGAAATTTGTCGAATTTAAACAGATCTGAGAGTTGAGACTTGAGATTTATTGTATTTATTAATTATTAGTAAACCTATTTACGTTAAATATACCATCTCAGAGTAATATATAGTTTCTTGACTTACTTTAAGTAAGTATCCGACGAGGTAGCAGTAACGGTACATCAGAAATTATTTTTAATCAAGGTTTGTTTGACCGGTGCGCACTTCGAAAATTTGATAAAAAAATAAGAAGAATTACAGAACATTAACGAACTTTTGCGAACTCACACTTAGTTACAAAATGTCCATACAGTGGACTTTTATAGCAGGATACCTGTACACCGAAATAGCCATCGTTCTTATTTTACTGCTTCCCTTACTCAGCCCTAAACAATGGAATTATTTCTTCCGCTCAAGATTGTTTACAAACATTAAACATCATACTTCTGTATACTTCTATGGATTGTTAGGTATATTGAGTTTATTTTTGTTTGATTCTATTAGAGAAATGAGAAAATATTCACACTCAACAGAACTTGGCCATGCTCAATTTGCTAGTGAGATGAAAGGCAATGTAAAATTATTTAGATCCCAGAGAAACTTTTACATCACAGGTTTTGCTATTTTCCTAACATTTGTAATCAGACGAATAATACCAATGATTTTGGTACATTACGAATTGCAATTGGAATATGAAGAGATTGTTAAAAAAGCAGAAAATGCTGTGAGACTTACTGAATCACTAGCTCCTAAGGAAGCATCAGAGAGATGTGCTAGTGAGATTGAAAAAATGCAAGATCATATAGAGGAAGCATTGCAAGAGTTAAGTGAGCAAGAAGTCAAGTTTATAGAAATGGAAAAGGAAGCAGCAAAATGGAAACTAAAATATGAGGAGATTCAAGGCAAAAATGATGGCCAAGGAGATAAGTAATTATTAGGTGTTCATATATGATATCTGACAGTTATGTATCAATAAGGTCAATAATTCAATAAAGATTAGAACTTTTGAATTCTAAATAGCATATTATTAATATCTTTACATTATTAAATAACAGAAAAAAATAAATTAAAATATATTAGTAACAAATAACTGGTAATTTTTAATTATAATCGATTAAAATCATTAGTAAATTATTTATATTGTGGTGCTTATTAAGGAACAAAGTTTCTAAGGAATGAAGTTATTATTATTGCCAAATTCAAAATTAAGCCTCTCATTATTATATATTCATGTAAGTATAGTTATTAAGAATCTAATTTTGGAATAATTCATATTTAAACAAAAAAAATAGTCTGAGATCCTGATGTATGTGGTGGACCCCTTGCTCTTTTTCCAGGCGAAATATATTTTTTAAATCATGAAACATAGTAACAAACAAGACTACTAAACATTGCTTCAATAAAAAAGTAAGTGTCAGATAACACCTAGCGTGTTTATGATGCTGATAATCTGTCCTTTACCGCTTTAAAAATGCTCTAGATACTAATAGTAGATTTTTCTGTACATAAATCAGACTAATGTAGTCAAATATTATATTTAATAGATGTTAACAATAAAACAATTTTTTGATAAAAATATATATAATAAAAAAATTAATTTAAAAAAGAAGTTTGTATAAACACATGAGCAGATAATTATTATATTATACACTATTGCATTCAATTTTTAATGACTAGATAAATTATTTTATTTTGTTGGAAAATTACATAAGTTACCCTGTAAATTTCTGTAAATCAATAAATAATGAAATAAACAATGCACTTTTTGTTCTGTGCTAGTTTCCAAAGGTAAGAATAATATTTTCTGCATCATTTACGAAATCACAAATTAAAATTCCCCTATAAAATTTGTCTATACAAATAAAATAATTAGAAACTATTTCTCAAAGCTAAAAAATATATGTGTTGGTAGTATAGCTACTATATTGGCCTTATTAGTTGCTAAAACTATTGCAAAATCAAAAGACACCTTTTATAACCAGCTATTGTTAATTTAGCTTAAATTATAAAAGAACAAACTAAGCATTATCATATATAAGAAAACTTAACACTTTTCATTTAAAAAACTAAACATTTAAAGATGTGATTTTGACGAAAATAATTTACTATCTATACATATAATAAAATTGTAACTAAGTCGAATCTGTACATTAAATATTTTTTGAAAAATCTAATTGAAATAGACATTATTATCGATACAGAATCCGTATCTACAGTTTTTAGAATTTTTGTCTGTCTGTTTGTCTGTTACCGCATCACGAGAAAACCACTGGACAGATTTAGATGAAATTTGGTATGATGATAGCTGGTTATCCGGGTCAACATCATTAGGATACTTTTTACCGCGAGAAAATATCTCATTTCTGAGAAAAAATACAAAAACTGCACTGTAAGAGTATACTAATATGTAAAACCTAAGAATTTGGTTTTTGGTCATCTCAATGGGGGCGGAGCCGCGGGCAATGCTAATTTAATAATAAATTTAGACGCGTAGTGATGCACCCATTTACCCCACAACACTAAAACCTATCGATTATTTTTGTGAACGACTAAACACTCATAAACACAATTACAATTTTTATATTTGTTTATAACAATAAAAAGTAACTATTTAAAAAATCTAAATAGGTGCAATAAAATAATGTAACTTTTTGGACCAATTAGATTCAAAATCATTCAATAAAGTGTCATTTTTATAAAAATATGACATGAATAAAATTATTAATATGAAAATCTAATAAATGCAAGATTACAAGTTTTGGCACACAAGCTAGCTAGCTCTCGTAGCGTGAAAAAAAATAATTTATGTATTTTAATACATTTTGCAGTATATGTATTACGAAAAAAAATAACTTTATATATTGTTTATTCATCTACAATACTCTTTTCATGAGAAGTATAACTTGATTTGTATTTTATTGTATTTCTATAACAAATAAGAGACAATTTTTGTATGTAACGAATGCCCATAGCTAAAAAGATACCATAACACAAAAACACTTCATATATATTCTCCAACTAATAATTAACGTTAAAAGTATATAAAAAGACAAATACATATCTCAATATAAAGATTTATATGGTGTTATTTTTCATTAGGTTCATGTAGTTTTATATGCCCTTATCTTTTTATTTTTAAAATAATAATTTTAGAAAGAGAATATATAGCTCTTATAGTTTCTTCTTGTGTTGAAAAATGTGAAAAACACTATGAGTACAATATTTGAAACCTCTCAAATGGTACACACTTTCCTAAACTATTATTACTGAGTATTTTTCAGCAGAACAACTCAATAATATTCACTACTTAAATAGGTTTTTACACTACTATTAGTCCGACGAGACAGTCAAGGAACGCTTATTTTATTTCAGACTAGCGACTCACTCTCGCTTCGCTCAGGCGTGGAATATATATAACTTGTTTTCCCGTAGAAACGAGATTATCTTCCATGGTAAAAAGTAGACTATTTCACTATTATATTTCGACGTGAAAGGAGGACAAACAAACAAACAAATAAATCCAACGTCGAATTGTATATCGTAGAAAGAGAGAGTGTCAAATATACAAATGCATTCAAATAGTTTACATTAATTATAAGGTTGCGTTCATTATTGTAATGTAGTAGTAATAAAAAAGAAAAATGTGATTTTTACGTTTTTCCGTGTTTTTTTTTCTAATTTTTCTCTTCATAAGAACTTTCCCCGACGATTAGTTGAAAAAAATAATTAGGCTAATTAGTACAGCCGTTATAGTTTTGAGCTTAGCAACATTTTGCCATTCATTTTTTTTATATAGATATAGACGAGCGTCTTTGTATTCCTATTATAGTATCGTATAATGTTTGACTTTGTATTTAGGCTCTTACATATAACTACCATATTTTATAAATCATATGAGTATTTTTTGCATTTTATTCTCCACTGTATCTAACAAAAAGTAAAAAAAAAAAACAATCTTAATTTTTCAACATATTAAAATATCGATATTATCGATAGCACATATCGACATGTGTCAACGTCTAACTGGTCTTTGATGAGAGTTCAATATGTTAAATTTGACAGCTATAGATATTATTTGTAAACATAATTCATATAATAAAACTATTGAAATATGCTACAAACAATTGAAAATATGAAATTATATTAGTTTTTCTTTAGTGATTTACCTTCATGAGGCACCAAAGCAGAGAATAAAAGTCAAAATTCATGTTATACAATGGTGACTTATTTTACGAATTTTATATATCAAAATTCGTTGGACCAAAAAACTAATTTTATAACGTGATTATACACTTATTAGTATCTCAATGGTCGCAAAAAATTCTAAGAATAAATATTTATACGTTTACGGCACAAATTCACTAGTTTAAATATTTTAAATTACATAAAAACTTTAAAAAAATAAATAAAAACCGACTTCAAACAAAAGCACTAAAAAGTAAAAAATAACTGATTGGTAGTTTTCATTTATTATACATACCTAATCAAATATTTTCGAAGTTCGTGTGCTTTGCTTTGTATTTGATTAGGTATGTATTTAATAGGTTAATTACTTAGCCAAAGCACACCGACTTCGAAAATATTTGATTAGGTATGTATAGTAAATGAAAACTACCAATCAGTTATTTTTTACTTTTTAGTGCTTTTGATTGAAGTCGGTTTTTATTTTAATTTTTTAAGTTTTTATTTTTCCCTTTTTAGTGTACACAGTAGTAGCGAAGTAAGAATTCTAACGTGTTAGGCTTGTCAAATCAAACAAAATAAGCACAAACTCAAAGTATCTACTATTAGCCGTTGAAGAGTTCCACCTATCCACCTTCTGGCCTTAACATCAGATCAGGTCAATAATACCGAACCACTGTACTATCAACGGAAATAGAAACACTTGCAAATTTTAAAGTTAATATGACAATTAGAAGTAGGTTAAATCCATCATTAGCTATTTTTCCACCCTTAGGGGTGGTATTTTTTTTTTTTGAAATTTAAATGGGACCCATCTGGAAGTATACCCTTTCAAACAAAACAAAAATTGTCCAAATCGGTTAATAAATGACGAAGTTCTGAGGTAACAAACATAAAAAAAAAATACAGTCGAATTGAGAACCTCCTCCTTTTTGAAGTCGGTTGACAAAACAATAGCGAATCACACGCGTTTCAGTTGAAATTTAAACAATTTTTGATGCATTTGTTTTTAATTTTGTCAGCATTTAATTAAAATTTTATTTTATTATATAGTTAATAAAACTTCTAAAGTTTGCGTGTATCACTCATTGAGCATAAAATAAACTAATTTCGTCGTGTAATAAGTGATAAAAGTGCAGCGGGCGAGGTGGTGCCTATAGGCACCAGCGGGGTTCAAGTGGTTAACACCAGTGCGCTCTACTTTCGACAGAAGTCCTGCCCCCTATAATTCGCCCACTCACACACTACACTTCGCCGGCACGTCTTCAATTTTAACTCTTGCTAAATGTCAATGTCATTTAACATTTGTCGAATGTATACCAATGTACTCTGTGTCGACTGTCGAATGTCGATTATAAACCATGGATGACAAATAAAGTTTAATGTTTATACTATAGTGGTATCTGAGAGTTGAGACTTGAGAGTTATTGTATAATGTATTTATTAGTAATCATATTAACGTTAAATATACCAGCTCAGAGTAATATATAGTTTCTTGATTAGTTTAAATAAGTTTCCGACGAGCTAGCAGTAACGGTACATCAAAAATTATTTTTAATCAAGGTTTGTTTGACCGGTGCGCCCTACGAAAATTTGATAAAAAAATAAGAAGAATTACAGAACATTTACGAACTTACACTTAGTTACAAAATGTCCATACAGTGGACTTTTATAGCAGGATACCTGTACACCGAAATAGCCATCGTTCTTATCTTACTGCTTCCCTTACTCAGCCCTAAACAATGGTATTATCTCTTCCGTTCAAGATTGTTTACAAACATTAAACATCATACTTCTGTATACTTCTATGGATTGTTAGGTATATTGAGTTTATTTTTGTTTGATTCTATTAGAGAAATGAGAAAATATTCACACTCAACAGAACTTGGCCATGCTCAACTGGGTAGTGAGATGAAAGGCAATGTAAAACTATTTAGATCCCAGAGAAACTTTTACATCACAGGTTTTGCTATTTTCCTAACATTTGTAATCAGGCGAATAATACCAATGATTTTGGTACAGTATGAATTGCAATTGAAATATGAAGAGGTGGTTAAAAAAGGAGAAGATGCTATGAGACTTACTGAATCACTAGCTCGTAAGGCAGCAGTAGAGAGATGTGCTACTCAGATTGAAAAACTGCAAGATCAGGTAAAGGAAGTATTGCAAGCATTAAGTGAACAAGAAGTCAAGCTTCTAGAAATGGAAGAGGAAGCAGCAAAATGGAAACTAAAATATGAGGAGATTCAAGGCAAAAATGATGGCCATGGAGATAAGTAACTATCAGGTATTCAAATATGACATCTGACAGTTATGTATCAATACGGTCAATTGAACAAAGATTAAAACTTTTGAATACTAAACAGCATATTATTAATATCTTTACATTATTAAATAACCACAGAAAAAATAAATTAAAATATATTGATAATAAATAAAATTGTCTTAAAATCTATTAGAATCATTAGTAAATTATTTATATGACACATTCAATTATGGTTTTGTTGCTTAATATGTTAAAAAATGTATCTGATACTTTTATTTTGATATGATTTTTACAACTGTGATTTCTTGTGGTGCTTATTAAGGGACAAAGTTTCTTAGGAATGAAGTTATTATTATTGCCAAATTCAAAATTAAGCCTCTCATTATTATATTTTTATGTAAATATAGTTGTTAAGAATCTAATTTTGGAATAATTCATGTTTAATAATTAAGTGACATATATTCAATCTTCGATCAACAATACTGAATGTTGATCGAAGTATTGAATCATGAAAATAAACTGATAAAATGTTATTAAACTAAATATTTAAGAGCCTGTATGTAATTTCCTACTCTAGATTTTATAGTTTTAAGACCAATATTCTTATAACGTTTTTATGAGGTATGTAGGTATATAATGATAGCTTTGTTTATTTTAAAATTGCATTTTGATTAAGTTTTGACTGATGTTCTTTTTTTAATGCAAATAAATATGTTTTATTATAAATTTTTTGTATTTTCATTATGTGAATACTAATCATAATCCAAGTGACCGATTTTGGCCACGGCATTTAATATAATTGGAGACCAGCATGGAACAGTAAGGGTCTATGTTTGATGAAAAGGATTAGAGAGACGTTGTGAACAAAAACATAGTCTGAGATCCCGATGTATGTGGTGGACCCCTCACTCTTTTTCCAGGCGAAATATATTTTTTAAATCATGAAACATTAACAAACACAACCAATAAGGGGGGCTGTCACAAAAAAATTGTTTCAAAATAAAAAAGTAAGTGTCAGATAACGCCTAGCGTGTTTATGATGCTAATAATATCTGTCTTTTACTGCTTTAAAAATATCCTGGATACTAATAGTAGTTTTTGTCTACGTAAATCCGGCTGATGTAGTCAAATATTATATTTTTTAACAGATTTTAAAAATAAAACAACTTTTTGATAAAAATATATATAATATAAGCATTTATTTAAAAAAGAAGTTTGTATAAACACTTGTGCAGATAATTATTATATTATACACTATCGCATTCAATTCTTAATGACTAGATAAATTATTTTATTTTGTTGGAAAATTACATAAGTTAACCTGTAAATTTCTGTAAATCAATAAATAATGAAATAACAAAGCACTTTTTGTTCTGTGCTAGTTTCCAAAGGTAAGAATAATATTTTCTGCATCATTTACGAAATCACAAATTAAAATTCCCCTATAAAATTTGTCTATACAAATAAAATAATTAGAAACTATTTCTCAAAGCTAAAAAATATATGTGTTGGTAGTATAGCTACTATATTGGCCTTATTAGTTGCTAAAACTACTGCAAAATCAACAGACACCTGATAGAACCAGCTATTGTTAAATAAAAAAAAAACATTTAATTATACAATTGGTTTCTAGTCCTGTTCATTAGAATTTTTGAGGATTGTTAGCGTCTTTCGGCTGGACGTGTATCATGACCTTGATGCCGGAGCCGCGACGTGCCACCTCGTAGGCTTCCAGGGTCTCTTCAAGGCTGAAGTGATGGGTCACCAGCGGCTTCACGTTGATCTGTCCGCTCGCCACCATGGACAATGCTATTGGGTACCTATTTATATAAACAAATGTTATTATAATACAAAATATTTACAATTACAACCGATATAACTGGCGTTATTATTTATGCCCAAAAACTAAAAGTTCACTAAATTCATTTAAGAAGGCAATAATTATATTGATAATAAGTTTATGGAATTATTTATAACTAGTATAACTACTCGCGTCATCTTTGAAAATTCTATAGGTACGTACTAAACGTTAAAACGTAACTAGGGCCGAACTCCAGCGGAGCGAGATTGAATCACTAGTTTTATTATATGTGACACATTAAAATAATCACTATATATTACAAATATGTTTGTGAATGTGTTTGATACTTTTTCACGTTATAGCAGCCTGAAAGGTTTTAGTGAAATTCAGAATGAAAATAAATACTCAAATGATATATTTTTGAAATTAATATAATTTTCTATGTAACACACGACGACTTTAACGCACTGTCGACGCAAGTTTTTCAGGCGTTTGTATTAATACGAATGGCAGTGATCTACATTAAATAATTTAACAGCGCAGGATACCTTGGCACATGCATCACTAATAAAGAATTACATATGTATAGTGGTAGCCCAATGGTAACACGCTCGCTTGGGAAACCGAGTGAAGCGGGTTCAAATCCCGGGTCTCGCACCTCTGATGTTTTCACGTGCGAATCACTTCTAGCACGATTACCACTTGCCTTACGGTGAAGGAAAAACATCGTGAGGAAACCTGCATGTCTGAGAGAACCTAGCAAGTTTTCGAACGACATGTGAAGTCCGCCAACCCGCATTTGGCCAGCGTGGTGGACTATAGCCTGATCCCCCTCATATTGAAGGGAGGTCCGTGCCCAGCAGTGGGCGTTAAAAAAAAGGGCTGAATACTACATACTACTACATATTAGTGATCGATGTAGGCACGTTTATAAAACGTCGCGTGCAAATGTCCTAACATCAAATAAAGAATATCTTACTCGTTGACGTATCGGAAGATGCCGCGCACGTCGACCTCGCGCGCCACGGCGCCGGCCAGCGGCAGCGTGAGCTCGGGGCTGCCCATGCCCACGAGCACCGCCGCGCCGCCCGACTTGGTCGCCAGCAGCGCCAGCCGCACCGTGGCCTGCACGCCGCTCGCGTCTATCGAGATGTCGGGGTGACTTCCCAGAAGTTCGTGCACCTGGAACGGTATATGATATAGTTTTATTACACTTAATCATTAAATAAAACTTATTTATACTCAACTAGCAGAACCCGCGGCTTCGCTCGCGCTAAAGCTACAAAAAAAATTCTAAAAAGGTAGTTCATACAAACTTTCATCCCCTATTTTATAGGATGAATTTCGAAAAATGCTAAAACACGTTTTTCTTTAATTTTATTGAAGAGCATTAGTGCCATGTTTTAAGTAATTCTGATCATAGATTTTTTGGATTGTATTATAACGTGTTTTCCCGTCGGAATTAGATAATCTGCCGCGGTAAAAAGTAGCCTATGTCACTCTTCAGCCGTCCAACGATCTCCACACCAAAAATTACGCCAATCCGTCGCTCTGTTTCGACGTGAACGAAGAACAAACTAACACACTTTCACATTTATGATATTAGTATGAACTTACAGAAAATTACGTTACATTTTCACAAATCTCTCATACACATTAAATTAACACGCTTAGGTCACCTACCTTGTGTACCATTTCTGCTTCAGAGGAATCCTTGGTGACCAATAAAGTATAGTCAGCGCCCAACTCCTTAGCCTTATCCAATCGGGATTGCAGTATATCTGAGAACAATATACTCGTATGTATTTAGTGTACAATAATTTTAAAAATACAAAAAAATGATTTCTTTTTCTAATGCCGATTAAGTAGGAGAATATTCGTTTTTTTTTCACTTTCTGTTAAATCTAGGGTAGGAATACTATGAAACTAATAGTTGCAAACCAAATATCCAATTGGTACAATCCTACAACATTACATTTCCTGTATACCTATCTTACCTGTGATAAGTATCTTGCTAGCGCCCATAGCCTTTGCAGCGAGCATGGTGACCAGGCCGATGGGGCCGGCGCCCAGCACGAGCACGGCCTGCCCCGCGGTCACGCCGCCGCGCCGGCACGCGTGGATGCCTACAGAGAGGGGCTCTAACAATGCCCCTTCTTCCATAGACACGTGGTCTGGTAGCCTGCGAGATAAATGATTTGGATTCAGTTTTTTTATATCGTTTTTAGAAGTAATTTATAATAGCTTTGTATGGACCAGCTACCTTTTACGTTTATATTTTTGGAAAAAAATATCAAGCGTGAGCTCGTTGATCAGAGAATGTGTTGAGGTAAAAGTATATTTTATTTTTTTATTCATAACCAAATAAAAAAATGGGAATGACTTATTATGATTGTATGCGATTATGATTTAAGTCATTTTAATGAAAGTTTTAAAATTTAGATTATAGGATGTATTCTTATTTAGGTCCCCAAATTAGATCAATCACTAATATTTCGTTTGTCATGAAAACTCACTTGTAGCAGAAGTCAGCCGCATGTTTGTAATAACGCGCCAGGTTGCCGTGTATCGGTGGGGTGGCACAGAACTTGATGTCGGGGCACAAGTGGTATCGGCCAGTCTTGCAGAATTCGCAGTACCGACAAGGCACACCAGGTTCGATGGCCACTCGATCTCCTACCTGTAGATTCTTTACTTTGGCACCTAGCTGTAGACGTAAAATAATATGACTTTAGTAAAAAATTACAAAATGGTCAAGTATATTAAAAGTTTCATCAAATTATTTAATCTCAACAGCGTTTCATTTTGTTAAAGTGAATAAGTACAGAACCCATCCTGGGGCTATGACTTATACAACTAGTCACTAGAACTACTACTAGCAGCTCAGCCTCGCTTTGCTCGGTTTCGCCTCTAGAAAAACAAAAACAAATCTATCCCACGGGAACCGTACATTTTGACGGGATAAAAAGTAGCCTATGTATTATTCTAATGTATGAGTTATATTATTGTAAGGTTTCATTAAAATCCATTCAGTAGTTTTTGAGTGAAAGGGTAACAAACATCCATACATCTATACATCCAGGCATCCATACATCCTGTCAAACTTTCGCAATTATAAATTATAATATTAGTAAGATTAACATCTTAGTCAAAGAAAACTGTTTAAGTATAGGTAAATAGTCAACTTTAAATATTTTAAGTTATTCTCATAAACCAATGATTGGAATAAATTAACAATAAAATCGGCGAATGGTGATAAAAAGTACCTACTAACACAATAACTAATGCTTTTAACATTACTCTTGAACTGGAATTGAAAGCAATTGGCGTAACAATTCCTCTATTAGGTAATCAAGGTTAATGATATCATGATAGATTGAAAATAGTGCTGAGTGATACAAAAACAAGATTGTAAAATTCAAAAATGCAAAATTCAAAATATTTTATTCAGCATTAAATTATTACAATTTTCTACTGAACGCCATGAGTCTACTACCTGTACTTAAGGCAACAAAATATAAATGTAGAGTTTAAGTAAATACCTCTACAAAGAAATAAGAGAAAAATACAATTTTCCTTGATGTCAAATGATCTGAATAGCTGAATTTGTAAATAAAAATAAAATTTCTAAATTATAAAGTATAGTAGAACCGAAGCCAACTATAGTAGAACCGAATAACAAAGATGATAACATCTTTCATCATAGAGGATAAGTGATAAACAAGAAGTCAGTGTACTACCAGAAGCTTTTTAAATAGACCTGAAAAATCAGTTTGAGCATCTCAAACATACAAACGGACAAATGTATACTATAGATATACACCAAACGAAATCATCTCAAAACAAGCGAATGTGACTGTTAAAAAAATTTTACTTGCGGGCGTATTTTGTTAAGCAACCTGTAGGTGTGAGTTAGATGTGCTTCTCTTACTGGTAAATCTTGGTAAAAATTAAATTATTAAACTGGTACCTAATATTTTGTGAATAACTATGATCACGAGATTTATAAAAATAACGTTCTTGAGAAAATGCATAACAAATATTAGCAGAAGAAAATAATAAATGTGTTATTATAAACTAAATAATAAATATAATGCGATTGTTATCGCTACAAGCGGTTTATTATTTTACAACGTACATACATAACAATATAATTTACTGAAACGACTTTACTGTTTATCTAAGAAATAATATTATTATTTGTGATTATAATAAATAGCTTTGACTTTATTTAATGTCAAATATTACGTGCCGTTGCTGTGTCGACACTCGACACTCGACAGTAGGTAATGAGCTATCATAACTAGGTATATTGTATCGCTCCATTTAAATAAAACTACCTTTTCGGGTTTTTTCGCGGATTTATTTTTATTTTTGGTTCCCGACGTTTCGAATGCTTTACAGTAATCATTGTCACAGGAGAGACTAAGGTTATAGACGTCTCAAACACATACTTGTTTCAGACAGGGCCTACCCACTATTTTACAAAAATGATTTAATAAAATAAAAAAATGCCAATAAAGTACCATACAATATTTGTTGATTCTTATTTCTAAACATTATTAAAAATTTAATAAGTATTATAATTAAATATAGCAATATTAAAAATAGTATAGCAATATTAAAAATAATCCTTTACCTGGTAAGATATATTTTTCCTAGACGTAGTCAATAATATATTACTAGCGGCTCACACTCGATTCGCTCGGGTTCGCCTCTAGAAAAACAAAAACAAATCTATCCCTCGGGAACCGTATATTTTTCCGTGATAAAAAGCAGCCTATTGTTTGACCGGCAATATAAGGTATCAGCATACCTTTTACTAAATTAGGTGCATAAGTTATGATGTAGGTACTAAGCTTTATAAGTTACTATAGTTTTTTAACTATGTCGCGGGAAATCTTCAATTTTCTGGTATGAAAGGTATCTAAAATATTGACCGGGGATATAAAGTACCACCATGCAAAATTTCATTTAAATCGGTCCAACAGTTTCGGAGACTAGCCCGTACAAACAGAGAAACAATTTTAAAAAAAAACTGGATTTCTTCTATTTCTCTTCTTACATCTTCCTGACTCGGCTTTTAGCTTTTTTTTTCTATGAACAGACATTTGACCTCTACAGTTTTATTATATGTATAGATTACTTTTATCTAGCAAATCCTAATGCGCGTAACTGTATATATTAAGAGGGCGATCTGTTTGGGTGCCACTGATGTGTATTACTATTCCTTGGCTCGCTGACAAACAAACAAATGTGTGTTATATAATATACTAGCAAAACCCGCGGCTTCGCTCGTTCTAAATCTACAGAGAAAACTCTAAAAAGGTAGTTTCATACAAACTTTCATCCCCTATTTTACCCCCTTATACGATGAATTTCAAAAAATGCTAAAATACGCATTTATTAATTTTTATTGAAGAGCGATAATACGAAATTACAAGTAATTCTGACAATAAATATGTTTTTTGGATTTTATTATAACGTGTATTCCCGTGGGAATTAGATAATCTCCCGCTGTAAAAAGGAGTCTGTCACTCTCCAGCCCTCCAACTATCTCCACACAAAAATCACGCCAATTCGTCCGTTTACAGATGTACATTAAATATTTTTTGGAAAATCTTATTGAAATAGACATTACTATCGATACAGAGGCCGAATCTATAGTTTTTAGAATTTTTGTCTGTATGTCTGTTACCGCATCACGGAAAAACCACTGGAGGGATTTTGATGTAATTTGGTATGATGGTAGCTGGTTATCCGGGTCAATATATAGGATACTTTTTACCGCGGGAAAATATCTCATTTAAGAGAAAAAATACAAAAACTGCAATGTAAGAGTATACTAATATGTAAAACCTAAGAATTTGGTTTTTGGTCAGCTGAACGCGGGCGGAGCCGCGGGCAATGCTAGTACTTAATATTTAATCATTTAACGGTATTTTGTTTATTCACGCTTGTTCTAATAGATTAGATATCTATGTAAAACTTCCAAACAGCTTATAATGTCATTTTTATCGATGTTGCATAATCTACGATTATATTATTACTTATTAGTTATTATTATTAGTACTTATCATGAAAGTATGTATATTGTTTAGGTAATATATTTGATAAAAATTTTGTGTCACGTTCGAAAATTGATGAATAATTGTATTTTTATAAAAAAATATATATATTAAGTTTTGACCTAGATTCCTGTGTAGATTTGATAAAATCTGGCAGATTTATTATTTTTCACTTTCATTTCGATACACGAGCGCAAAAGGTTTAAGTTTAGGTACATCATTTTATACAATGACTTGAAAGTTCATAGTTTATTTACGTAGAACGCTATGTTGTAAAGAATAAAAATAATAATAGATAAGGATAATTATATGCGAAATACGCAATTACGTCTGATATTTGTACTGGACACACCTCCGGCTTCGACCAGTTTGAATGTCATATTTTTTGTGTGTCGCTGTTAAAATTGATATTTTATGCAAATTTATGATTACGCGTAGTATTAGCAAAGCTGATATGCTGTCCATATATTCAAGGACAGACAATGACATACCTACGAAAGTTTGAATTGGTTCCAAATTGTAAACACTTTTTTTTAAAACCTTTTAATATAATTAAACTTCAAATTCAAAATTAATAAATCTATAGTATATATACTAATAAACAAAGCTAAAGAGTTTGTTTGTTTGAACACGCTCTATTCACGATCTCTGGTTCTACTGGTTCGATTAGAAACATTCTCATTCCTAGTGTATTTATTGAAGAACCTTAACTCACACTACGCGAGAAAACGCTAGTGTTGGAATAAAATAAACTATATTTTTTAAATTAAATAAATTTCGATTCTTCATACCTTAGCGACTACGCCTGACGCTTCGTGCCCCATGATCATGGGCTCTTTGAGAACGAAGTGGCCACAGGAACCGCTCTGCCAGTAGTGCACATCTGACCCACATATACCGACACAGTCCATGCGCAGGAGAACCTCTAAAAATACGGCGATTTTTTTCAATAAAATTGGGATTCAACTTTATCTTTAGTAGAATAGCTGGTCATAGCTTAGGCGTGGAAGGTACACTTGTGTTTGTGCATTCACATGTGCACTGTAGTATATTTTGCTTCGCAATTGGCTATCACTTGAGTAAACACAGTTTACGGTCTAGTAAGACCTTGATTCTTATTAGGTAGGTACTAAGAAATTTAAGTTGATAGGTATACGATTTTAGTCCCAACCACTTTTTGGCCACGGCCCTGCTAACGTTGTAGGTACATATATGTCAAAATAACATAAAGTTACAAAGTGAAAAAGTAACAAGCTCACACACATACACACTAAACCACACTTTAAATAATAAAGCGACCTTACATAGGATACTTACCATCGTCAGCTATTTCAGGAATCGGCGTTTGTTCCTGTAAAAAAGTTTTATAATATCATTTTAAGAAGAATTTTAAATAAAAAAATAATAAGCAAGAATAGTTTTACTTTGATAGGCTATATTATAATATTATATATATACTAATATTATACAGAGGCAGAGTTTGTTTGTTTGTTTGAACACGCTAATCTTAGGAACTAGTAATCCGATTAGATTTTTTTTTGCATTCAGTAGATAGCCCGTTTATTGAGGAAGGCTATATATTATCCCAGAAATGTACGGTTCCCGTGGGATACGATATATATACGATAAATATGTGCAGGACGTTTTGAGGTGAGATATGGAGTAGTGACTGAGCTTTTTTTATGTTTCTACTTAATTTACACAATTAAGCGAGCACTGGAGAGCGGCTACGCAAATTTCAAAGAACCATTTCTATTGTACATAATAATAGCTTCTAGTACTAAATTGATCCATTATATAATATATTAGACAAAGTTCCTACTTCAACAGTACGAGTATGTGCCTAAAGCGGATTTTTAAATTAATAATTGGTTCAAGTGTCAATAAAAAACTGGCGGATAGAACGCAGACATTAATCTATACTAATATTTGATAGTTTGTTTCTTTGAACGCGCTAATCTCAGGAACTACTAATCCGGATTGAAAAATTCTTTTTGCATTAGATAGCCCGTTTATTGAGAAAGGCTATAGGCTATATATCATCAAGCTACTACCCAAAGAAGCGGAGCAGTAATATAATATATTATAGTCTAACGATTCCATATTAACTGTTAAAACGTACCTAGGAGCGAACCCGAGCTAAGCAAGGATGAGCTGCTAGTATTTAAATAAATATACTAAGTATCTGGAAAACACTATAAGCAGCTATTTTTAGTAAATATTTACCTATTGAGATAAGTGTAGAAGCTAAGCTACTAAATAAGTTTTACACGTTTGATGCATACTTAGACTGCTTATTTTTAAAATAGACTTTTAGGGCATTATTTATTCAAATATTATAAAGGAAATTTACTACAAGATACTAGTTAGAAATGCTTACATTATTAATAACATTGTGTTTAAATATTTTTTACTTTTTGCTTAGGTACAGATAAACGACTGCTCGTCACATTAAGGTAATTATTTAATGTTAAATAATATAAAATTTGAATAGATATAGCGAAATAGTTCGAATAGCTGCCCAAAGCGATATTTTTTTCTAAATAAGTTTTTAAATTTTGTATAGAACATATTTTCGCATAATCACAGTTTTTAATGGTTAAGCTTCGATCAACAGTAGTATTGTTGATCGAAGTGATTAAGGAATGAACGAAAGAAATGAATTTTGAACCGAATAATTTATATATCGAATATATTTTAAAATGAATTCGTGTAAACCTACAGCAACAATGGGACATTTGTATGTATGTATGTATGTATGTATGAGTACATAAATCTGGCTTTACTACAGAATAACATTCTGTTATTGTTTTTCGTGACTTCGTTTATCGCTAGATTATTAGTTGTTAACTTTATACAAATATTGTAATTTCTCTTTATACTAAGAGCGTTAGGGCTTTTACACACAAAAAAATTAAAAACGTAAATTATTTTGTTTGCTGCCAGTTTTTTTATTTTTTATTTAAGTAGTAACTAGTGCGCATCCAAACAAAACTAAAATATCTTCATGTTTTTTCAATGTGTTTAATTTACCTTCCCGTTAACGAATTTTAATGAAACAGAATAATAAGTATTTTTATTACTTCAAATAGTTAAATTTGACATTAATTACAAATCTATAAATTCGGTAGGTACAAAAAACAATATTTATGATAATTTATTAATATAGTTGTCTCTTAAGATTGTTAGTGGTACACACTGCCATAATAAATGCACTAAACGAGCTAAATTGCAATTTTCATTCATAGACTAAATACGTAAATATCTTTAATCTGTAATATATTTTTTGCAATCAATAAACATATCTTTTAATTTGTAATATTATACAATCAATTTTCACTTACCAATCGTAAATCCTTAGTTTTATACAAAACTGCGGTGAGGTTATCTAACGCCATTATTCACGCGTGCGCTCTTGCCTGCTGTCACAACACTACTAGACTTAAGACTAGACAGTTCACACTTCACACTTCACAGTTCACAGTAGTGAGTAGACTAGTAAGTAGTAACTAGCCTAAATACTACTAGTACGTAACTTATTACGGCGGCCGTTTAGAATTGGGGACTTGGCCCCTAGCGGAGTGGGTGGTATTTCTGGATAAGGCACGTGATAGGGAGTCGAAATGTTAAATAAATTTTTTAATACAACAAAAGAGTCAAAAGTTATTGAGACTTAAAGTTATAACATTTCCATACATTATTTTGACATTACTACCATTTAGACACTTGGAGTCAAAACGTCACTTTCAATTGTCAAAATGATCTCCAGATGATTGTCTTTATTTGTACTTTGCGTGAAATTCGAATTTTCTAGTTTTCTAGTCATTTATGGCACTCGCCGGCCGCTACCGCGGCACGCTCGCTTCGCTCGCTCGGCTCGTGCGTTGTGGCAACTGTTCTAACCTAACCTAACCAAGATATGACGAATAATTAATAAATAATCTTAAATGTTCTAACCTAACCTAACCCAGATATGAGGAATAATAAATAAATAATCTTAAATGTTCTAACCTAACCTAACCCAGATATGAGGAATAATAAATAAATAATCTTAAATGTTCTAACCTAACCTAACCAAGATATGACGAATAATTAATAAATAATCTTAAATGTTCTAACCTAACCTAACCCAGATATGAGGAATAATAAATAAATAATCTTAAATGTTCTAACCTAACCTAACCCAGATATGACGAATAATAAATAAATAATTAAAAATATTCACAGATAAAAAAATGATTTTTTTTACTAAATGTACAATTGTAAAACAATATATTTTACATAAATCAAATAAAAAGTTATAAATGTATTTATAAAGTGAAAATAATATTTTTCTTTTTATTTATTTATTTATTAATATTAATATTTTACCAACAGAAAAAGCAAAAATAATCAAATATAATCTGTTGTCATTTAAGCGGTAATATAAAACAAAGTGTCAGTTTTGCTTTTGTCAAAATGTAAGATCATTTTGTTTGTGTTGTGAAATTATTAAAATATTAAATACAATAAAGCATTAATTGTTGTGAAAATGTGTAATGTACATAAAAAAGGATGCGTACTATTCGTTAAAGGTATGTTTATCTGTTGTAATCACTTATTTAGGTAAAGAAATGTATGGAAATGTGTTAGATATGTTATAACTTTAAGTCTCAATAACTTTTTAGTCGTACGTTTCCTCCAAATATTTTTAATATATTTTGACTCTCTGTCACCTCCCCTATCTAAAAATACCACCCACTCCGAATGGTGGTAAAGAAATATATGAAAATGTATGGAAATGTTGTAACTTTAAGTCTCAATAACTTTTGAATCTTTTGTTGTATTAAAAAATTTATTTAACATTTCGACTCCCTATCACGTCCCTTATCCAGAAATACCACCCACTCCGCTAAGGGCCAAGTCCCCAATTCTGAATTTGTGCCCTTATTACATAACACGTGACTTGAATATATTTTTTATTTCAAATAATTTTATCAAAAGTACCTAATTATATTATACACTCAATTATAAAGTTCAGTGACTTATCAATAGCAAGGTCAAGTCTTTATATTTTAGACTGTCAAGTGTCACGTCTTTCCTTAGGCTTAGGTAACTGCTATCTATACTATACATATAATAAAATTGTAACTAAGCCGAATCTGTACAGTAAATATTTTTTGGACAATCTTATTGAAGTGGACATTATTATCGATACAGAGGCTGACTCTATAGTTTTTAGAATTTTTGTCTGTCTGTCTGTTACCGCATCACCGAAAAACCGCTAGAGGGATTTTGATGAAATTTGGTATGAAGGTAGCTGGTTATCCGGGTCAACATATAGGATACTTTTTACCGCGGGAAAATATCTCATTTCTGAGAAAAAATACAAAAACTGCATTGTAAGATTATACTAATATGTAAAAACTAAGAATATGCTTTTTGGTCATCTGAACGCGGGCGGAGCCGCCGGCAATGCTGCCCACCTGAGCCTAAAGTGCAGTAATAGACATTTTGGTCGGTTTTGAGTTAATTATATATTCAAAATCCCCATTTTAGTAGCTATCAGTCAAATTAATTCTTTTTTCTGTAGCGCTAATAAAAGTATTTTATTTTAATGTTTTTTCGGAAGGTGTAACAGAAAAAATATCACAAATCTGTTAAAATATTCCATGTTTACCAGCTAAACCGCAGTACAATTAATACTGCACAAGATTTTTCTCTGTTTCCTAACTAAACTGCAGTGTTTTATCATATTTTGTGGCACTTAAAATAGTAGTTTGTTCTAGGAGATTCAAGAAAAAACTTATTAAAATGCAGTATTAACATTCCATACTGAACATTAACTTGTGGGGGATTTTGTAATTTCTTGTGAATAACTAAAAGACATGCAGTATTTAATAACTTTACTGCAGTTTAACTTGTAGGATGTTTTGTAATTGCTTGTAAAAGACCATTTAGTTTACAATATTTATAAATTTTACTGCATATTAGTTAGTTTGCTCCATCCAAGTCATACTACCTAAAATACTTAAAGTCAAATACTATTCCCTAATACTGCGTTTTAATAGGTAAAATTATTAAAATATTAAAACACAGGACAGGCAATATCGCGGTTTGAGGCAGTCCTTCTGTCTGTCTGTCTCAAGGATCTGTGGCTTAAGGCTGACTTGACATGCCATGCTGTGTCTGTACCAAAGAGATATGGAGGGTAGAACTAAGGAGAACTATTTCTCGTATAAAAAGTGACCGCTGACAAGCATTAAATTGGTGGCGCCACAGAAAACAAGTATATGAATCTATACATCTATACAGATAAATAAAATTGTAGTGTCTGTTTGTAATGTCAAAATAAACCTTTTCACTAAATGCATATGAAATTATATACGGTACTTATAAGAAAAACTAATTTTTAAAATTTTTTGTCTGTCTGTTTGTTCCGAATAATTTTTGAAACGGCTGGACTGATTTTGACGGACTTTCAGTGGAAGGTAACTGATGTTATAGGGAGTAATATAGGCTACTTTTATTTTTAAAAAAGAATTAGAGTTCCGCTCAAAAAAAAAAGTATCCAGGGACGAACCCGAGTGAGGCGAGGGTGAGTCGCTAGTTTAAAACATAGCGTCATAAAAGTAAGAAGGTGAATTAAACAAGGAAAGAAAGATTTCCGCTTTGCTGTGGCGCACTTTTCAAAATAGTTCTAGCATAGGCAAACAGCACTATAATTATATATTATTTTCAAGTAATAATAATTCAGCACACTTCACTCCGTTAAAAACTACTAACTTCACATCACATCTACTTGCTACACTAGTGCTGTAACGGTGAGTTTCTGAGCTATAATTTGCTGCTCACTACTGGACACTTTATCAACTTGTTTCCCATATAAATTAATTCTTCTTGGTTCTCCCTTCCATAATCTTTTCAGACTATTATTTTTGTAAGACAAGAATATTCATTTAGTAATTAGTTATGTTCAGAAGAAAGATTTTATGTAAATTTTATTGATCCATGCATGAGAAATACATGTGATATAGTTTTATGGTGGATTAACTAGTTAAGATTATCAACATCTTGTAAAGATTGTTATATTGTTAGTCATATAAAACAATTTACACTATTAGATTATAATGTACAATGTTTTGATGAATAGTTTTAATAGCATAGTCATAAATGCATGTCCAAACTGGACTGTTTAAGAAATTACATATTTTTATCAAAATTAAAGGTAATTTTATATTACTATAAGTGTGGAATATCAGTGTTTTTTTCAAAAAAACAGATTAAATAGCAGTATTTTCATAATATTACTGCACTTTAGTTAGTAACAATCATGGAAGAAATGTCTAAAATGCAGTAATAACAGGATTTACTGCATTTAAAACAGTTTTTGAAAACATTATACAAATAAAGTGTGTGTAGTAAAAGGGGCTAAAAAATTAAAATTGCCATAATTATAGTTTTTTATAAAAAAACTAACGTAACAATGTTTAGTATTTTAGTTTGGTACATATTCTTTCACTTTCCATTCAAGGTTTTATCGAAAAGTCTCTTTTTGATATATTTTTATGGATTCTAAACTTTAGGCGCGTTTTTCTCGAATTCGTGTTTTTGCTGTTACTGCACTTTAGGTTCGGGAGGGCAGAATGCTAGTAGCCTATAAACAAAGACACATTATTATATGTATGTAGTAATAACCAATCACCGAGTTGTTAATGATATTACTAAAACCTTTTTTTATTAAAAGCTGAGCTTTCATCTTAATTTTCCTAATTCTTACATACATTTCGACCATATTTCATCGTAATTTAGTTTAATCTTAATTCATTTATTATATTAATAAGTAGGTACCTATTCAACAAGGTTTCCATATTTTGAAACTTTCTGGCTGTATCACGAACAAAATGAAATTTATTATTTTCTCGCAGAGTCCTCTTAGCAACATGTCATTTCGTCATAGATAGACATACCTACATATTTTTTATTTTATTTATTTACGGTCTACCAGCGGTTTTACAATTATACACATTTATAAGTTAAATATATATACAAGTGAAATAAAGATTAGTAATTGTAAATTTAAAGGTAAACACAACATGCTCAAATATGAATTGAATGTAACAGAGAAATAAATAACTTATCGTCTAGGATAAGTTGTAGGTAGGTATTATTAAGTATTCTAATACTTAATAATACCTACTCGGTAGCAATATTTTGTAAAAAATATTTTAGTAGTCTCTTTTTAATTTGAAAATATAAAAATAAACAGTTTTTAAATAACTTATCCTCTAGGATAAGTTGTAGGTAGGTATTATTAAGTATTCTAATACTTAATAATACCTACTCGGTAGCAATATTTTGTAAAAAATATTTTAGTAGTCTCTTTTTAATTTGAAAATATAAAAATAAACAGTTTTTAAATCGTTTTAAAAGAAAGAAAAAATTAGGTACATTTATACTTAGTTTATGTTACGATATGATGAAGAAGAGCTTGTATTATATAAGATTTTTGTTACCTATTAAATAATAAATATCTACTAATAAAATTGTGCTAAATGCGCATGTCGGTACATCTGTCCAGCACAGCTGGTCAACTGAATACAATAGAGAAAGCTTTAGTTTGTCAATTTTTTTGGGCACGTTAATGGCTAGGGTGTAATAATGCTTGGACGTTTGTTGTATTTTAATCGATTTGGCGTTAATTTTCCTTATTTTATTTAAATCGAGTGTAAATGCGTGCGATGTTAACTTTAAAATTGTGTTATTTGTCGATGATATAAAAACAATTATAGATAATTATATTCCTATTCTTGTTGTAAGCACATTTTCTGCTGTAAGTTTTAGCCTATGGCAAAAGCTCGTAAGTTGTAGGTTATTTGGTTATATATAACGGACTTCTAATATACCTAATTGTGAAAGTTTATACCATGAACGAATTAGCCACGTTCATGGTTTATACCTATGTGTATGTTTGTTACTTCTTGGTTCTTGCACTGGAACGGCTGAACAGTTTTGGATGAAACTTAGTATAAAGATAGACTATGACCAAGAGTAACATTAACAAGTAACAGTAGCTGCTGTTAGGCACTAAGGAAGGCACCCAAGCGAAGCGAGCACAAGTCGCTAGTACATATATTATATTATTACCTATCAAAAGTATCAAATGCAGATTAAGGAATTATAATAATATAATAACAATAATAAACTTTATTCATAAACTAGCATAGCCCGCGGCTCCGCCCGCGTTCAGGTGACCAAAAACCAAATTCTTGCGTTTTACATATTAGTATACTCTTACATAGCAGTTTTTGTAGTTTTTCTCAGAAATTAGATTTCTTTCCACGGTAAAAAGTATCCTATATGTTGACCCGGATAACCAGCTATCACCATACCAAATTTCATCAAAATCCCTCTAAGGGTTTTTCTGTGATGCGGTAACAGACAGACAGACAGAAATTCTAAAAACTATAGATTCGGACTCTGTATCGATAATAATGTCTATTTCAATTAGATTTTCCAAAAAAAAATTGAATGTACAGATTCGACTTAGTTACAATTTTATTATACGAGTATGTATAGATAAGGAAATTGAACATAGTAATTTTACAGTAAAGGCTTGTACCATTCAATTTCAAACAGTTGGGTGAAGTACTGTACTTACTCCGTGCTAGGTTATAAATATAACCTGAATCAAGGAGCAACAGTCCTTTTCCCCTTTGTATGTTTAACAATATATTTACGTACCTACCATACAATATGTTTTCATATAAAATTATGTGGCTTGAATAAATTATTAATATAATTAATTATACGTAACCAATCGTATATTTATAAATTGTAATTATTAAATTATAAAAAATTTTCAAATTCTTAATTACATACGTAACGTTTTAATTAAAACACGATAGAAATCGTTCTAGTAGATTAATTATTATCAGCAACGCGCAACGCGGTGGGTAGTGGGCGTCCGGTCCGACGTCACTCGCGGCCCCGCCCCTGACTCAATATTGAAAAGATCTAATGCTATCGCTTATCAGTTATCACAATACTAATTGTAAAAAAATATTTGTTTAGTTTAAATAATTATTAAATATTAATACGGATATCAGACTACTATTATCTATACATATAATAATAAAATTGTAACTAAGTCGAATCTGTACATTAAATATTTTTTTGGATAATCTAATTGAAATAGCCATTATTATCGATATAGAGTCCGAATCTATAGTTTATAGAATTTTTGTCTGTCTGTCTGTTACCGCATCACGAGAAAACCACTGGACAGATTTTAATGAAATTTGGTATGGTCATAGCTGATTATCCGGGTCAACATATAGGATACTTTTTACCGCAGAAAAATATCTCTTTTCTGAGAAAAATATACAAAAACTGCATTGTAAGAGTATACTACGTAAAGCCTAAGAATTTGGTTTTTTGGTCGTCTGAACGCGGGCGGAGCCGCGGGCAATGCTAGTATATACTAAAGTTTGAATGTGTATGTTTGTTATTCTTTCACTCGCAAACAGCTGGTCGGATTTGAGTGTTAGGACACAGATAGACTGGGGACGCATCCAGTTGAAGCTAGGGTAAGTCGCTAGTTAATCCATAGGCTTATATAAATTCAAAAAATATTACACGACACTCACTTGTAAATCACAAAATCTCAGAAAGTATAAGTGTTACAAACTTAAAATTAGGAATAGGGAGGAAGTACCCTTTGAATAATTTATCTAAATTCAATCCCTATTTCGTCGTAATCCTAAAGAAAACACATTGAAGATACTCAGCAAAATAATTGGTGAAGAGAAAAAACTTTATTTGCATAAACCAAATTTCCTTTAGGTAGGTAGGTATTTTTACCGAATTACCTATTATATATATTAAAAAACCTATTGAGTATAAGTCTAGAAATGTATATGTACCTACTGTGTAGTGATGGAGACGTATTTAATTTTTACCAGTATCGGAAAGTAATAATATTATTATTATATACTATTGGTGGCATAAAAAGTTAAAATCATTATTATATTCATAAGAGATTATGCATTTAAAGTATGTAATATGTACACACAAATCTTTATTTGTTTAACATCTTTCCTACGTAAGAGCTTATGACTTTAATCTAATCTTTACGACGTACATACTTATTAGACTTATGACTATTATAAAATTTTGTTACCATCCTACGATGTTACATCAATGCCATTAAAGGTTTATGAACGCGCTTATATACATAGTATTGTATATATTACATAATTAGGTACTATATAACATATCACAGGAGCCACGTGATGTCAAGACAAGTAGCAGCCAACTTTACTCTACGTAGTCCAAAAACTATATGCAAAATACGTCAAACAGTTGCTCGACAACTGTTAGTTAGGGCAGACCCACAAATCCACACCTCGAACACACTTCGAATTTATAATAATAAATACCTACTTATTGTAAACACCTTAATATGTAGATAAATAAATATTATATTGTGAATTATGATACATATTTTTATACGACGAGAATTATCAATAAATTGTTTATTAAACCGTTTACAGTTCTTAATCTATACATATAATAAAATTGTAACTAAGCCGAATCTGTACATATAAATATTTTTTAGAAAATCTTATTGAAATAAACATTATTATCGATACAGAGGCCGAATCTATAGTTTTTAGATTTTTGTCCGTCTGTCTGCCTGTTACCGCATGACAGAAAAACCACTGGAGGGATTTTGATGAAATTTAGTATGGTAGTGATAGCTGGTTATCTGGGTCAACATATAGAATACTTTTTACTGCGGAAAAATATCTCATTTTTGAGAAAAAAATACAAAAACTGCATTGTAAGAGTATACTAATATGTAAACCCTAAGAATTTGGTTTTTGGTCATATGAAAGCGGGCGGAGCCGCGGGCAGTGCTAGTCATAAATGTATAATATGTACCTAAAATAATAAAGCGTTGCACGTAAATTAATAATATAAGATATGATGATCTTTAGCGACCTTTCCAAACGCTGGAAGAGAAAAGTTATCTCAATATCATTTGAATATTTTTATTTAATTTTACTGATACGGTATTGATTGTCTGGTGTGAAAGTATTCATTAAAATTTATCTACACTTCTGAACTAATCTTATAAAGAGGAAAGATTTGTATTTTTGTATATTTGTAATGAATAAACTCAAAAACTACTGGACCGATTTCGATGAAATTTGGTAAGAATACAGTTTGTGATCCTGGGAATGACATAGGATACTTTTTATCCCGGAAATCATCCCTTAAAGGGGGAAATGAGGATAAAATTTTGTATGGGGAAACAACCTAGGGATGGACCCGAGCGAAGCGAGGGTGAGTTCTAGTAAAAAGCTAGTTTTAAGTAACTTGAACATTTAAAACCTCTTAGACGTGGATTTTTAAAAATTTCTTATGGGTGGCCTTTCGATGCCATATTAGGGCATAATCTATTCATGGATAAACACGTTTAATTCTCAACTGCCGAAAATATCGCGTCACATTCACAAAAGAATACAACCAAATTTAATAGGTATATTTTTAAGTTTTTCTGAAAAGAAATGTCGATGCCAGATAACAACACGGCCGGATTTACATTCAATATATCTGACGTATTATATATTACGTATGGACTATATTAGATTCAGTTGTCTACAACTGTAAAAAGTGATCTTTTAAGATACCTAGGCACAGAATGTTATGTTATTTAGATATTCAAACTGTTTAAATCATTACTCATTGACAGCACCAGTTCTTACTTTAGATATCCTTTTGAATCACCAGAGTTTTGTCACGCAAACAAATAAGTACATGAAATAAAAAAAAAGGATTTACGACTCACCATTCTATTATAATTCCTCCGGATGTTGTTGTGAAGATGCACCTTGACTGTCAGCCTTTGCCATATTATTGCAAGTGTAGGACCAACAAAAACATTTAGTTCGTCTAAGAATTATATTTAATTCCTATAACACGCTTCCACCACACAAAAAAATCGAACCATGGACGACAATTGGATTGAGCGTTTAAAACGTCAAAAATCACTTTTATTCCAAATCAAAGCTACATGTAGTTGTTTTCTATAACCTTCTCAAGAAGAAAATCATATTAAACAAATTATACAACAAATAGAATTCTAATAAAATACTATTAGTGTTGCTTACTCATATTGTTTTCTTTACATCTTTAGCTTAATGGCTTATTTTGTTTCCTTTTTTATGATGGATGAATAAATAAAAAAAAGTTAAAATAAATGAGAAATAAAAATATAGTGTACATATATATATTATTTATTCTTAATTTATTCCGCCCATCCCCATAGACCGTGACTCTCTCTAATGGTCTCTTTGTTGTCTCTTCTCGAGCGCGTCACAGCGCTAGCTTCTCCTTTTGCTATCGCCTTCTTCCTCTCCATCTTCTTTTGCCGAGTTTCTAGATTCTTCTTAACTTGCTGTTTGACAACTTCTGGAGCAATAGTACTCGCTGATGTGTAGGATCTCATAGTTCTGACTTCAGACAGTGCTTTCTCAATCATAGCTAATCTGTATTTTTGACTATTTTTATCTTCTTTATTTTCACCATCTTCTGGTTCTTTGATGGGTACAAGTGTGGGTATTTCTTCTGTTTCAGTCACTGATAGATTCTTAGTATCGTTCATTACATTCTGAATTTGGGTTTGGTCGTGTTGTATTGATGCTTCAACCTGTGAATAATAATTGTTTTTATACTAAATCTAAAAATGTATTGTAAAGAGAAATAAAGAATTAATTGTACAAAATTTAATGGTTACGATAATTTAAAATAAATATAATATAAATAAAAATATAAAATTAGGATTTCCATTTAAATTAAAAGATAAAAGATACTACAATTTTACTTAAAAGTTAAAATATATAATTAAAAACTAGCATTGTGCATAGCATAGCACCTTGTAATAAAGTCACAAATTTTCAAATTATCATCATACACTTACGATCATTTTGTAAGTTTTGTAATATTTATTGTAAAATCAACCTTATATTTAAATCTATAAAGCACTTTTTCCCGTTGTTGCTTTGTGAGCTAAATCGTTATGTTTTATTTATGTTTGCTTCTTTGAATTTCGTCAAACGTTCTTAGCGAATTTAAAATTGTTCAAAATTTCATTTTTATATTATTTCGTTGGTTAAATCTAAAAATATTGACTTAATTTACATGTATTTACCGAAAATCAGACACTCCGTCTGAAAAATTTCTTCTTTGCGCATTATTTTTGCAAGTTTTAAATACACATTGCGGCATTGTGAACGTGTTTACGTTGGCAGTGTTTCAATAGAACTAATCGAAATATACGCTCACTTTGCAAGTGAGCTTATATTTAAAGAGACGAATTTCTTACGCAGATCCGATATCCAATAGTATTGTTGATCGAACATAAGATCAAAGGCTATCCATTGTATATTGATTGTATGTATTGGATACATGACGAAATAAATATCTATAGATACTTAAACACAGGGTTTCTCAACATTTCTCTTGTTGAGCCTCCCTGGATTATAAAAAATATTTTCATGCCGTCCTATATTATTCTTTTTTATTATAATAAAATACATTATTTTAAAGATTTTTAGTTATTTTAATTTTAAGTTATACAAAATAAAATCTATCTACATCCCCCTGGTTGGGAACTCCTGCTTTAACAGGACCTTGTTTAATATTACTGTAGTAGGTAAGTTTTACAACAAAATAATTAAAATCTCACCTGTTGTCTAAGATTTGTGATTTCGTCTTCAGAATGTGTAGAGATCTGCTCCTGGCCTTCTTGATTCTCCTCATTATCGCTCGCTTCGTCTTCGCTCACATGGAGACCGATACCCATTTCCTATAAAAATCGTATTACAATTAAATGTCTAGTAGAACATTGAAAACAAAAAACCGGTCAAGTGCGCGTCGGACACGCACACGAAGGGTTCCGTACAAACGTACAAAATATAACACTATGTACATTTTAAGTATTTTTGTAAAAAAAATTTATTTGCATGGCGACCATTTTGAAATGCGCCATTTTGGTTTTTATAACTTGTTATTATAGCGGCAATAGAATTACACACTAAGAAAATTTCAACTCTCTACCTATTACGGTTCATGAGATACAGCCCGCTGACAGACAGACGGACAGACAGCGGAGGCTTGGTAATGTAGGATGCATTATTAAGTTTGGTTGGCACACTTCAGGTACAGAGTCCTAAAACGGAAGGGATTAGGACTTACACCAACTGATGAACATACCACATAAAGCGACGAAGGTGTACGTTCATAATCATTTAAAACCAAATTACCATTAAAAGTTCATCTTCCAATACATGTGTCCTCTTGTACCCGGAGCAGGCCACTTCGTCATCCAGGTGGTCGTCCCTTTCGAGGTCACTAAAGTTCGGGTACAGCGAGCTCTCATACCCGAAGCGCTTTTTAAAGAATTCACGTACACATTTCACATCACGATCGAAGTAACTAGAATAGATAATATTATACTTAATTAGTTATTTATTATTTTGATAGCTTGAAAATTCTAATTTGTAATTTTAAAGATAGTTAAGAAAAATATTTTGGTTAACAATAAAGAAAATTATTTCTAAATAGTATGGATAAGGTACATTATTTCCTCTTTATGTAGTTTTTTCCATAAGAAAAATTTCTTTTATAAAACATGTGCATTTGAGAAATGCTATAAAAGGTATTTTTATTTATGTTCTGGTTGCTTATATTGAGAGGTGGCCCACTTTGGTGAGCTGTGTACTATATGTCTTGCTCCTGGTATTTCTCTGATAGCAGAGTGGACCGTGGCGCAACTCCATGGTTGTTGTGGTCTGCTTCGGCAGATCTGCTGTCGGGGCGTTGTGGTTTACAAGCGATCCCGCGACGCCCCATTAAGACAGGGAAGTTTTGATGGGTTTCAGTAAGTGGTATTGGCTTTTCCAGCTGGTGAGTCCCTCATTACCACCTGTATGTCTGCAGGTGGTATGCATAAATGTATTTCCCAACATTAAAAAAAAAGTTGTGACAAATATCGAGAGTATAACTAAAACAAAGGTTAGACCAACTTTAAATATTATAAATTACAGAAATGTTTTTAGAATTTGCACTAACAGTTCAGCATTTGGATGTTTAGTTGACACCATTTGTGGAAAATCTATGATAATTGGATGTCCTTGTTCATCTATCATGATGTTGAACTCATTAAAGTCTCCGTGTATAACGCCACAGTTGCCAAGACGCACAATCAAGCCCATGAGCTCATCATAGAGTCCGTCTACATCCTCCACAGCAGTCACATGGGTCCTGAAAAGGACAATTTAGTTTGTTATTTTTATCATAATAATATATTGTGTTATTTACCTCTGTTTGTAATAACAAAGCCTCATATTGGTCAGTTATTTGTATATAATATTTTTTTTAATAATAATAATATCACTTCCACCAAGCAAAGTGTCTGTAAGTGCGTAACAGTAGAATAAATCCTATGTGTTACTACCAGGTCATAGTCTATCTGTATAATAAACTTCCAAACCTGTTCAACCCTTTCAGTGTGAAAGAATAACAAACATACACACATACAAACTTTCACATTTATAATAGTAGTTGGATAATGTTTAGAGAGTGAAAACTTAGCTTTGGTTTTAAATGTCCCCTTGATATAGACATAATAACATATATATTTAGATAACTGTTTGTAATTAATACAGATTATATTTATAACCTAGCAAGGAGTACTTACAGTACTTCACACAACTGTATGAAATTGAATTGTACAAGCCTTTACTGTAAAATTACTATGTTCTATGTACAATTTCCTTATTTATGAATAAAATTTATTAATATTTATTATTATAAATAACTATAATAACATTATTATAAACATGGATGTATCTTACAATGGCCCTCCAGTGACAAGTTCCATAACAACACAGTGCCTATTAAAGTCGATAGGTTTAGGGACAGGAAATTCCCTTTCATGTAATGCTTTCATATATGCGAACTCTTTAGTTGCAGATATACGAGATAAGTAAAGCCAAGAGGCCTTATTTCTATGTGCATGATAGTCTCTTTTGTCTTTGATGTTTCGGAAACATGTACGCCCCAATCTGAAAATAGATTTACAATAATATTAATTATTCCGTTAAAATAAAAATGAATACCTTATATTCTTTACACATAATGTAAATTAATCAATATGTGTTAAAAAAAATTCTTTATTGCAATATTATCTAAAGAGAATGGATGGATGGAGCAAGGATTTCAAAAAATTAAAATTATATCAATTGCTTTATATCATATGAAGGCCTTTGAAAAGCTCTAAGTACCTGTGCAGCTTTAAGCATAATGGCTTTCTGTCTTCATCTGCAACAGTGTAAATATTTGACTCTTTTCCAACACCAATCTGATTACCAAAAGAACTAATTACTTTTCTGTTTGTTAAGGCTTTGAGAGCTAAGTAGTCATATCCTGCATTTGTAAGTCGGTATCCATCATCTGTAAAAAAAAGATATAATATAGCTTTATAAATATTTTTATAAGCTTTAAAAAGGTAAATGTATTAAATTTTTAAAAACATAATAGGGCCCAGTAGTATGCCTTGTTAGTAGTGATATTTTTGATAGGAAAACACTAACATCTAGGTTTCTCTGCCAATTCTGAATGCAACTGTATATCTAATTTAAACTGGAGCTTTCTATAGGCTGTATATGCATTCAAAATGTGTGTGGTCACAAAAAATCAACCTGCTAAATATATTTGAGAAAGGAAATACTTACAATGTTTACCACGTTCATATGTCAATAGTCTGTGTTTACATAAATCTTTCATTAATTTGTGAACTCCACCATGGCGTAAATTTGCAATAGACGCTACTAAGGATCCTGGTACAAGCTCATGATTTTTCATACCCATTTCCACCTATAAATAACTGTTTAATTAGATTAATTCCTTAGCATAAATAATAACAAGGTTATAAGAGTAATACTTACAGCAGTGAGAACGCGAAAGTCTTCAGATGTCAAGTAGCGTAATATTGTTACATCCAGTTTACCCATGTTTACAGATTTATCACTGATTGGATATTTTAATATTTATTTAAAATTCACACAAATATAAACACGTGAACTTGGATCAAAAGTCAAAGAAAAAGACTTCATTTGTCAAATGTCAATTGTCAAGGGTTCAGTCACTTAGTGATACTGTGTCACACAGATTTAAGGAGACTACCACATTATGGAGACTACAGAGACACACTATTTGTCATCCATGGAAAAAGACATTTTAAATGTAAATTTGAACTACGCTACATAAATTGTTATTTTAGTATCTAACTAACCATACCAAGTAACTAACCAAACGGTGCGTTCGTTACACCACACCAGCGCTCCGCACCACAAACCGTCCAGACTCAGCAGTTGCAGTGCGTGATTACGTTGACAATCTATCAAATCCAATTCTATCGAAACAGACTAAAGTCGCGTTAATTGCGGCAACCATCGTAACTACGTCATCTCCCCAAAAGAGGAAAGAATGGGCAAAATTCCAATAAATATAGTTTCTGAGACCAATCCCTCAAACATGGGAAACCTTTGTATAATTTTTGAATTTCTAGGGTTAATTTTTTTTCTGTTATATATACGTTTTCGCGCTCAGACGCCATTTCAAGAAACGATACTCTTGTGCACTTGGATTTATGACTAGAGCGCTGAACGGTTCGTTGTTGCGTCCAAGCGACCGAATTTGGTGCGGACCGCACCATGTTCACACTCACTCAGATTGAATATAAATAGGCCATACGTGTCGCGCCCTCCTTTCGAGAAATCTTCCCCATTTTGTTTGTGTTAAAATTAAAGGTTGCTACATAGTAATACCATTGGGTTTTGTGTCACGGAACCAAACTAGTTTGGAGGGCAAATCGCATTTAAAATCTTAATTTACTTTATTTGTTCGACGTTAAATATAATGTTCATCTGTGTACAGTAAGAAAAAAATGCAATTTTGGTACTATTTACTAGAGTGCGTAAAGGTACTCGATTCCTTTTTTTAAAAACTTACTATTATCGAATCCAGTATGAGTAGCCTGTCTGGATATTTTCAGGTACTACGATTCGCAGCACTTAGTCGAGGTTTCAGGTTAGTGGCTTTAACTAAGTACCATCACAGACTATTTAAACTTATTGTTAGTCTGTGTACTAACTCATGGTTAACCGTTAAACTATAATAATCTATATTTGTAAGCCACTGGCCCATGTTCCTAGTCTGTGCACTGGGCAGGGGCACTGACCACTAACCAGACTAGACAGTAGACGTAAACTGTCACTTGACAGTAACTAATGTGTCATTCGTAATCAAATCATGAAATACTCATTAATATAATTATATTTTTAGTTTCAAATATGTATATTTAGTTTCCTATTTCAATTTAAAACTTAGTAACAAAATATACTAATTTGTGTTTTTTTTAATTTAATTGTATTCAGTGTAATAAAGGTAATCTGGATATTTCAAACCTGGCATTTAAAATTAATATTGCATTTAAAAATAAATAAACGATGGCACTAAATGGGTCAGAATTTTCAAATGGTTTAATTTGGTTGGATGAGCCAAAATCTGTGTATTACCCTGGCCAACTCATAACTGGAAAAGTAAATTTTGAACTGAATAATCCACTGAAACTTTTATGTAAGTACTTAGATATAAATTTATAGGCAGATTTATTTTAAATATTTATCTTAAAAACTCACATTGTTTTGTATTGGTACAATTGCAAAATAATCACATTGATTTAAAAACCTAAGGTGCACTTTTTTAGATATTAATATTGCTTTTAATGGAGAAGCAAATGTTGAATGGTCAGAAGAAGAATTTGAAACTTACTCTGGTGTTAAGAGAAAGAAGGAGGTAAAATATGTTGGCCGAGAAGTGTATTTTGACTTTACCTTATGTATTTGTGGAGGAGAAGGTAAATGTTAAATTTCTATATAAATATTATATACTAGCGACTCACCCTCGCGTCGCTCGGGTTCATCCCTAGGTTTATTCCCAATACAAACATTCATCCCTCTTTTTCCCTTAAGGGATGATTTCCGGGATAAAAAGTATCCTATGTCCTTCCCAAGGTCCCAAACTATCTTCTTACCAAATTTCATCTAAATTGGTCCAGTAGATCCAGAGATTACCCTCTACTACATCACAAACTCACAAATTTTACTTGTTTATAATATTAGTATAGATTTAATTTTTAGTTTTAAAATTTGATAACATATCTAATTTTTTTATTTATTATCATTTTTCTATAATTATAAATGGTTTTAAACAGTAAATTCATTAATAATTACTTTTTGGTCTCTAGGAGTGACAGATCTGCCAACAGGTGCCCATTCCATACCTTTTTTGTATCAACTACCTCCTAACTTGCCCTCTACATTTGAAGGAGATAAAGGGCAGATTTCATATAAAGTAACAGCATCTCTGTTACATCAAGATGGTGTTACTAAGGAGAGTATTGTCAAAAAGTTTAATATTGTTGCCCCCTTGGATTTGAATACTGAAGAAAATAAGGTGTGTACCATATTATATGTATGTAACAAAATATATCCTTAGAATATTGGTAGATTTAAATTATTTATACATACTTGAAATAAACAAAAAGGTTTGAATTCCTCCTTCTTCTTTGATTGCCAAATGATATTCAAACATGTAAATTGAGGGTCAATCCTGGTCTGTAATAATAGTCTATACTAGTGAATTAATTAGCAGAAGCATAAGCATTTCATTAAAATGAGATTATGTATATGTGAATCATATTTAAATATAAATCATTACTTTTAAGAAAACACTATTGTCATACCTTTTGAATTGATATGATAATTAAGTGATGAAATAAACCTAGAATAGATTAAATTACACACATTGTAATTTTGTTATTACAAAAAATCTTATATTTTTTTCTTAAATAAAAAAAGCAGAAGCCAATTAAAAAGAAAGTACCTATTAAGTAAAAGTATCTGAGTATAATATAGACCCACTAATTTACTGCTTTTGTCAGAGTTTAGTGTTAAACAAGTACATATAAGCATAATATAAATAATATTTTATACTTCTCTCCAAATATGTTTATTAAAACAACTAAAATATCATAGGCGTTAATTTTAATTGCTATTAAACAAGCACTCAATTACATGAGTCATTAAGATCATAGTAACAAGCTCTCTCAGAGTCAATGTTAATCATTAGTGTAATATTCTTGTGTGTTTTCATTTATTAAATTAGCTACTAACTACTAGCCCCACATCTCCAGCCACATTAAAAAAGTAAAGAAAAGAAGTCTGGCCAGATATGGTCATGTTCACATCTTTGAATTTCAGATTGATTGACGCTTAACTTCCTACATCTAGTATTGTGCAGTAACTCATATAAGCCATAATACTTTCTTAGATTTACGCGAATATTTGACATTTTAAATAAAATTATCTTTTCGGATTTTTTTGCGGATTTATTTGTATTTTTGGTTCCCGACGTTTTGAATGCTTTACAAGCAATCATGGTCACGGGAGAGACTACGGTGTTAGATGTCTAGATGTCTCAAAAGTATAATATAGTTGTTACAGACAGCCTACCCACAATAACAAAATGAATTCAAAAAATTGAAAATTGTCACCAAAAGTACCTTACAATATTTTTTAATTTTAATTTTTTTTATAATTTTAATTAGTTTTAGAATTGAGATTTGTCAATAAATAATTATTTCTTAATATTGGTCTAGTATTTTATACTAGCGATTTAGCCTCGCTTCGTTTCGGGTTCGTCCCTAAACAAAAACAAATCTATCCCACGGGAACCGTACATTTTTCCGGGATGATATATAGCCTATAGCCTTCCTCAATTTTTTAAATCGGTTTAGTAGTACCTGAGATTAGTGCTTTCAAACAAACATACTCCGCCTCTTTTATAATGTATAGGTGCGAAACTTTGTATGTGTGTTTATATAGGTATTTGTTACTTCTTCATTCTGAAACGAGTGAATGGATTTGGATTAAATTTAGTATAGATTATAAATTATAATAGACTACTCTTAGGCACAGGATGCGCCCGAACGAAGCGCAAAGGTAAGTCACTAAACATGTAATAACGGCTATTTATTTAAACTAGGAACCAATACAAATGGAGTTCGAGGAGTTATACAGTTGTAACTGGTCGTGTACATCGCGACCGCTCTACATATCTATACGAGCGCCTCACAGTGGGTACTGTCCCGGAGAGAGTATACCGTTCACTGTGGACGCCAGGAATGAAGCTAGCGAGGAAGTTACCAAGATTATATTTGAAGTAATAAAGGTTAGTTTATTATTAAGAGGCTAGTGAGCAAACTGGCTTAATCATTTTGTCTTAATCGAAATTGTTTAATTACTTCATACACTTACAAATTCTTACTTTATCTACATATGTCATATCTACGAAGACCAAAAAATGATACTAAAATCGTTCAATTTTATAATAATAATAATTTATATTAAAATTTAAAGTCTAAAAGCCATAACCTACTATGAGGTATACCTATTATTTATTAGATCAACTACAAAACAGTGCAATGTCAAAAATTTCATTTTGTACATTTTTTGTATCTTCTGTAAAATTTCATAACTTATTAATACTAAAAATGATTTCGTCTATAATTTTTTTAACTTTCTCCGCCTTGCATTATAGAGTAAACAATTCATACCTCCTACTTGTTAATATTATAACTGTGAAAGTAACTGTCTGTTCCTTTTTAGGAGGGTTATGTGTTTGACCTGTATGTATGTATGTCCGATCCTATGTTTTCTCGTAATTGCTAGATAGCTTAACCAATTTTTGATGATTCATACATCATTCGATTCGTCGTGATAACGTGTGTATCTTAAGGTATACCTATAAATGTTATTATATATCTAAATGGCAGATCCTAGGCGCCAATTTGAGTGTGTTAAAAAATATTTTTTTCCATCCGAATTAATCAAAATGGGGAAGTGGGGTATCAAAATACAGGTTTTTAAGAGGCGATTACAAAAATATATACACTTATATGTTTTAAATTAATTTAAGATGAGAAATTGTTAAATAAAACTAAAAATGTCTAACTATAAATTGACCAAAATTAAAAAGCTTTAAATAAAAAAAATATTTACAAAAACAAAAACACCCGACTGCATAAAAAGTAAACTAAAAAGAAGAAAAGACGAAGTTGATGAAAGAACATAGTATTATGTATTCGTAAAGGTATGTATTATGTATTCTAAAACATGTACATATATGATCTACATGTGTGGTATGTCTGACTTTTAATGCTATATTCCTTCGTCAACATTGTTCTCTTCTTTTTAGTTCACTTTTTACGCAGCCGGTTTTTTTTTTTAATTTCGCAAATAATTTTTGACGCTTAAACCGCTGAATAATTTTCAATAAAATTAGTCAAGGACGTAGATTGTTTTCTGGGATCGGGCATAGGCTACCCTTGACACCGCTCTGTTTATCGCTATCACGCTTGCTGCGCTGCTACGCGCCTTTTTTTACAAATCAATCTCATTATAATTCATGCAGAGGTTCAATGAAATTAAAAAAAAAGACTGTAAATATATTCTACGATAATTTACTCGTACGCTTATTTGTGTATATCCTCTACTCAGTACTCATAACCATTCTTATCTTCAATAATATTTATATGTATACACATCATCGTAGTATAAATTGTAATAAAAAAATGGAGGCATTGAATTTTATTTTTTATTATTTTACCGATATATTTTTCATAGTTACGAACTGTTTTGCTTTATTTTCTTTGTCGATTAAAGCTTTCATTTACTTTGTATGTATATTTTGTAACTAGATTCCAGGACGTTGAGACGCATTACTATTTATGGAAGAACCAAAATTTGACGGGTAGAAAATTACAAAAAAAATTTTTGTGTCTGCCGTGAACACTGGACATGTAGGGTGGGCGGGGGTGTTGTCATAGGTCAATTGGTCGGTCACTCGTAAATCTTTTTATTACTAGGGCAGTTGGTTATATAAAAGGGTTCGGATTAAGTTTCCAAATATGGTTACCATCTCGCTCATTGTGAATTGAATAGGTTTTACTTGTTTGAAGAATGAAGAACTGTAGGTATATCGAACCGATGATAAATTTTCTTGATTATAGCAGTATTATTTCGGACTAGCATTGCCCGCAGCTCCGCCCGCGTTCAGATGACCAAAAACCAAATTCCTAGGTTTTACATATTAGTATACTCTTGCACATTGCAGTTTTTGTATTTTTTCTCAGAAATTAGACATTTTCCCGCGGTAAAAAGTATCCTAAATGTTGACCCAGATAACCAGCTATCACCATACCAAATTTCATCAAAATCCCTCCAGTGGTTTTTCTGTGATGAGGTAACAGGCAGACAAACAGACAAAAATTCTAAAAACAATTCGCCCTCTGTATCGATAATAATATCTATTTCAATCAGATTTTCCAAAAAATATGTAATGTACAGATTCGGCTTAGTTACAATTTTATTATATGTATAGATTATGACACCACAAGGAATGAAAGGATCAGGGGTTTAAAACAATATTTTTTCTATGTTTACCGGACTGGCGCGGGCTTTTGAACAACCTCTCGTAGCTACACGATGAATGGAAAATTCACGCTTTATAGATATAACTGAATCAAAGTAATGCTTAGTATGATAAAAAAATCTAGTAAAATCCATTCTTGAGTGTTGAAACCTAAAGAAAAGACAAACAATTTACAATATTTTTTTATATTTTAATTTTTAATTCTATTACAATCCAAACATTCTAATTCCATTCCATTCAAAAAAAATGTTTTTGATGTTCTCGATCCTGTTACAATTTTAATATATCTCTCTTATATTTTACTAACGTTTTAGCGGACGCGATATCTCAGCCAACAACCGATTTCGTCGGTTATCCTGCCAGACGAACTCGTAGTTTCAATGAAGAAAGGCCCTATACTGAGCAAAACCAATCGTCAATACGTTTTTGATTTAAAATTACCGGATTTCATTGCTCCGAATCTAGACAGCTGTGGTATTATCGATCTTGGATACTTTTTAAAGGTATGAAATTTTACTATATTTGTTTTGCTTAAAAGTTGTAATTACATAACTGTAATGTCACATGCAAATTAACGATAAAAAATTGAGTTATTAGGAGTGTGGATATGGAAATGGTTGTGTAAAAACAATATTTTGTACTCGAGAACCTTTTATCAATTTTATCATAATGTGGTACTTATGTATGAACTTTCTTTGTATACTTATTATTATTATTCTTGAAAGATAATATCAACATTGTTAAAAATACAAATTATTGTAGGTCAGAATGAAGGTTTCCGGCTGTAATGAAGACTTATTGGGCGAAACCAGCTTGTGTCTTGGGCTAGTGCCAATAGGCAGTACTGCAGATGTAAAAACCACTCATCCGATGGCTGATTGCCTTCCAATATCACCAATACCCGACACCACACAGACACAATCCTCCGTTAATGCTGAACCACCGGCGTACAATAGCGTTTTTGTTCAAAATTACCCAAATAACTTACAAATCTGCCCTCCCGGCCCCGTCCCCTACCCGACAGTAGCGAATGTGATCGATAAGAGCATGTTCGGCTCAAAAAATAATATCGCAGGCGCTTTTGAGACTCACACGCCACGTAACGTCACGCAAAACTCCGCACCTATACCCGGTTTTATAACTTACCCGTATGTGGCCCCGGGGCAAAATGAACGGCCTTATCCTGGCTATCCCCAGGGGCCGACGCCTTATCCAAATGTACCCCAAGATCAAAACTCCTCGTACAACGGGGCACAGTTCCCAAATTTACCAACCGGTCAAAATTACCCCCTCCAACCACTTTCAACCGTGCCCTCAGCGCCACCTCCATAAGGTAAATCGATTTTAAAAATAATTTATAACCATTTTGATATACCTATTTACATAAAAATGCAACATACAATAAATTATATGGAAATAAATTTCTGTGATATGGAATTTAAAGTCTTACCTAAGTGCCATTTGCTTTTTCAGGAATATTTAATAATAGTCTAACTGTTAGTAACGAACGTACAAACACTATTTGATAATATAAGGTATTTAATATTACTGTTCAAGTTTTCCTATAATCAGGGCTGCCAGATCGTATAATTACATACGAAAATTGTAAAATATGGTTATTTTATGTATATTTCATTTTAAGTTATTACCTACATACGTATTTTTATTGATTTTTTTTAGTCGTCACAGACTATTTCTCAAGAGTTTTGTTAATTTGTATAATAAAATTTGTTTTGGTATAATTTGAGAGACCCAGCGGTATAAAATAAGTTGGCTCTACTGGCAGCCCTGCCTTACAACTCACGTTGCGACTTGCGCGTCAGTGAAAAAAAAACCTATACGTATTACGTATACAATATACATTATGTTAAATAATAACCTTGTAAAATTTGCATGTAGTATTCTGTTTTTGATGAATATAGACAATATATACTTGTCTTCGCCCGCGGCTTTGCTTTAGTCGATAAAAAAAACACCTACACTACAAAAATAGGTCTACCGTTACACCAATGTGTAATTTTCTTACTAAGTTTTTTTTCACTAAGTGCAAGTTCAAAGAATATTTCCTATGACATTTTACTATACAAGCATATAATTTAACTATATGGAGAAGAATTAGTATCTGAATTTAAATTTTGTAAGATTAAGCCATTTTTACCGTTTACAATCTCATGCTATTTTCATTATACATATTTACTGTATAAATTGTTAATCTAGTTGTTATTATGTTTTATTTTATAGAACCTGTTTTTATAATATTGGGCTTGTACTTTTTATTGATATAGCCGTTATACTTGTTAATATACTCAGCGGTGCTAAAAATATACAAATAATTAATCAGTCTTATCAATTCTTCTTTTATAAATATTTAATTATTGCATTTGTTATCTTAGCCTGTTGTATGATCGTTGAAAAATGGATGTTTAAAAAAACATTGTACCTATGTACGTTATAAGGCTTAAAATTTGCTGCTTTTTGTAATACTGATTTGTATTGAATGTTTTTGTGAATATATTTAATTAAACACAAAGCTTTGTTTTATTTATTATTGTTATCAAAAAACCATCTCAACAAGCATCTCATTATAGAAGCGCGTGATGACGTCAGCGTCTAAATTCATCAATAGAGCTTGTTCTGGAATTTGGGTAAGAAAAAATGTAAACATATCATGGTGATTTGACTGAAGCTTAAATATGCCATTCAATATTATAAAAATATAAATCATTGTAAAAGTCATACCTTTAGTCAAGTCCCTAGGAGTTGACTGATGGCCTAATTCAACAACTCTAGGGTGTGGCCTGCAATCAACAGTGGACGCTATAAGGTATAGTCTATAGGGTCTCAATTAATTTATCATTTCAGAAATGAAAACAACTTTATTCAATTACAAGTGCTTTTGAATCGTCAATTTAATGAAAGCGTCAGTGTAGTCAGTCCGTGAGGAAGCTACCACCGGCTCGGAAAGCAGTTTTGCTGAGAAGAGCCGGCGAGAAACTCGACAGTTGCTCTTTAAAAGACCGAAGTTATATTTATTTTATAAACATAACATATAATAAAATTGTAATTAAGTCGAATCTGTACATTATATATTTTTTGGAAAATCTAATTGAAATAGACATTATCGATACAGAGTCCGAATCTGTAGTTTTTAGAATTTTTGTCTGTCTGTCTGTTACCGCATCACGAGAAAACCACTGGACAGATTTTGATGAAATTTGGTATGATGATAGCTGGTTATCCGGGTCAACATATAGGATACTTTTTACCGCGGGAAAATATCTCATTTCTGAGAACTAATACAAAAACTGCACTGTAAGATTATACTAATATGTAAAAGCTAAGATTTTGGTTTTTGGTCTCTGAACGCGTGCAAAGCCGCGGGCTTTGCTAGTATCATATATTTCTCAATTCCACGCATTTCCATCAACAAAAAACTCTTGGACAGTGAATTAATTTTTTAATTTTATCTTTAAATTTTTGAAGAGATATTAAAATCTAGGACATTTTGTGGAATCTTATTATATACGCCCAGTTACTCAGGCCATGAAGGATTTATTCACCTTTTGGTGCTAACTTTTGAGCTTAACAAGCTTATTTCTATCCTTAGTGTTTATTGTGTCTATCACAGTTTTTTTACATAATTATTTAAATTTTTGCGAACAAGTAGGTAAGTATCAAGTACCTAATGTATTACACAGTATATATTGTGACGCAACCGTAAGAATCCATTTTTTTTTTGTTTTTTTTTTGCATTTAATACTAGGTTATTTAATTCAAACGAGCGAAGTAAATGCGACAATGCGCTGTTTATTTCGTAATATATTTTTTTAGGCTTACTGCGCTCAACTTTAAACATTAAGATGTTATTGTCAGCCAAGAAAAAGTACGATATCACATAGTTTATGTAGAAGGGGCCAAGAAAAGATCTTACATTATATATATATATATATATATATATATATATATATATATATATATCAGAATAACATATCTATCTATACATGTAACAAAATTCTGAGTTAATCTGTACATTAAATATTTTTTAGAAAATTTTACTGAATTATTAATATTATCGATACAGAGGCCGAATATAATAGTTTTTAGAATTTTTGTCTGTCTTTCTCTCTATTTTCACGGAAAAACCACTAAAGGGATTTTAATGAAATTTGGTATGACGATAGCTGGTTATCCGGGTCAACATATAGGATACTTTTTACTGCGGGAAATAGTATCATTTCTTAGAAATATATACTAAATGTTAAAACGTAACTAGGGACGGAACCGAGCAGAGCGAGGGTGAGTCGCTAGTAAGTAATATATTTCATACTCAACTACAACCAAAGAAAATTTGTATATTTATATTTAACACATAACTCATCTCTTACGCGAATCGAACCCACAACATCCCGTTAGACCATTACATGTGCAATTATATACATATTATGTACTAATTACTTATAAAAATAAAGACTATTATACAAATAAAATTGTTTATTTCATATAATATATGTAAGTATAAACATTAAACATTGTCCGTACAATAGGCACTGCTTGAGGTAATGTATTTGGATCCTATCGCGTTGTCTTTATTTTAATACGACGAATTTCTAAGGCTCGTCCGCCAAGCATGTAGTCTCCACCCGTCTCGACCTCGAGCGTCTCGCACCGGCTGGTCGCTTGCATATAATTATATGTAATACTAATATTGTATATATGGCAGGTTATATTGTATAATTCGTCATTCCTTTTATTTTTAAATTATGGTTACATATTTCGACCAAATAAATTAACTACAAAAGCACTTTGCAATCGTTTGGATTCAGCATTTATCAAACCCGCGAGCGATTCTGTTGCGAAATGACTAGGTTTTTTTTAATGAGGAATTCTACAATATACCTGCGTCATATACATACATAACACATTATTGTTGAGTTTGTTCGCGGACCGCCGGTATAATTCGTATATTAATATAGCACTCTAGATAAGATAAAAGCTCAACTTTGCACGCACTGCCCCGCCCATTTTCTTTGACAAAGCGAGTTGAATCTACGGTTTCAAGTCTATATTAGTTTCTACAATATTGGCAGATTCGACTGAACTTATGACGTATTCTGTCACAAGATGCATCTTTTTTATATTATTTACTTATAATAAATGTTAATTATAAAAAAATGTATACAAAAACAGTTGTGATGACTGAGTGTAAACGATACAAAAATAGTTGCATAGACTAGAAAAAAAAACATTAATAAACTTACTGACATAATAACGACTAATTTTGTACAAATTCTATAAAACATACATAAAAATATCTATGAAACACAAAGAGCTTCCCGACAATAATGGCGGCGCCGCTACGGTGGCCTTGACCTTGGCAGGCGTACCGAATAAGCATGTGCGAATCTTAATGGATCGAATATATCTTTTTTTTTGGTTCTTCACTAGGCTAATAATAATGAGTTTTGTTTTACTCTAAAAATATTTAACAGCTTTTTAGTTTTAACGAGATTTGTTATTAATATTAACTAGTAGCTCTTTTACAGTATATTTTTTCAAAAAGATGAAAGAAAGCATAAATTGTTTAAAAATTGAGTTATAGCATAAAGAAAATATTAATTTAAATAAAACCGCTATATAACAGATAATTTAATACTTTTTGTTATATGAATAAAATACTTTTAATAAAATTAAAAAAAGACCAAAAATGTTATTACACGGTGAGAACAAGTTACAATAAAATTTAAATTATTAAGGCTATAATATATTAAGCAAGAACCATCCATAAGCCTTATTAATTCTTTACAAAAAATATTCAATTACATACTTCAGTTGTATTGCTAATGTGTTGCAATTACAGCGTAGCCCACAGAACCAGATTTAAATGACCGAGGAGGTCGAAATACAAATAATTGAATTATTTTAAGTGAAATTAAATGCTTTTTGTGTCATCAAGAAATCATCTTAAAGAAATGGTTGAAAAACAAGGATATATATCATAGAGGCCCACCGCCGACGACATGGGCCTCTGTGTTCACCCTCTTAAATCTGGCCTCTAGGGCTATACATAATATACATACATATTGTTCAAACATAAATATTTACGTTATTATTCTTTTAAAAGTTTAAAATTTAAATATATCTGCGTTCTATATATAATTTTTTTAAAGATTTGTAATGTATAAAAATATATATTGATTCATTTATTTCTTTATATCTTAACACTTAAAGATAATACACACGCTTTAGGCGTACTTATATAACACTTGCAAGGAACAAAATTGTAACTAAATATTTCAGTAATTTCAAGGTAGGTAATATGTATGTATATTATAATATTAGAATTTTTTAAATTATCCTTATACAAGTTACCTTGCAGGTGTCTTTGTTATAAAGCTCGAGGTATATTCACTTAAGGCAACATTTATATTATATAATAATATATGTTTTTTCACAATTCATAGGGATAAAATTTGTAATATATTTATAAAATATTCTTTAAGTTACTGTAAATGCAGGCAATAAGTAATATTTAAAATTAATAATAATAAATCTTAAATCTAAGTACCTAAATAGCACCATTGGAAGAATATATTTCTTAAACATAATATTCAAGCGATAGGTTTTAAACCACTCAGTAGCACAATTGGGTAGTTGACACCATTAACCATAATTCCAAGACACAAAGCCTCTAAAAATATTTTAGCCCTGAAAGCTTGAATCATTTTCAAGTAACTGTAAAATTAGGCTTTTAGTTGTATTCAGCCCTTTTTAACGTCCCACTGCTAGGCATGGGCCTCCCTTCATTAAAAGAGAGATCAGTTTTCCGAAAACTTGCTAGATTCTTTTAGGCATGCAGTTTCCGCACGATGTTTTTTTTCACCGTAAGACAAATGGTAATCATATTGGAAATAATTCACTCATGAAAATATCAGAGCAGCAAGACCTGGGATTTGAATCCACTTCATTCGGTTTCCCAAGCGAGCGCATTATCACTGGGCTACCACTGCCCGAATTTAGTTGGAATTTAGTTGCTACGAAATAAATAAATGGTTAGCAAATTGAAGTGGCAAGGAAATAACGTCACAGGTCGCTATTAGCATACAAAATCCATGGAGAAATCGCGTTTAGACAGCTCGTAAAAAGTATGTCTATTGATTAGTGGAGCCAACTACCCAATCACCAACGAGAACGAAACGTGAAAGCTAATGATATTAGATATCTAATGTTGTTTAATCAAATATAGAAAGATGCAATCCTGACAATTATCTTTTATTCTTTCTCTGAAACAATGAAAGTTGAAATCAAAATTAATATTATATGATAATATACATAAATATCGTATAAAAAGTTGCATAAGTTGTTAAAATAAAGAAATATATGAATATGAGCAGTGTTTTTCAAAATGTGGGGTGCGACTTGTAAACGTGCACAAAATGTACGGGTGGGCTATTTAAATGTGTTGCAGTTACTTTAAATTGTATTTCCCTAATGCCAGATCCAAACGCTTGCCATTTGTCACAAACTTCAAACCTCAATCTTTTGGCTAAATTTAATAAAACAAATATCGAAATCCATACGCTTGCGAGTTGCGAGTGCACCGAGAGTTGTGTCTCTTGTGTCGGCTATTACGTGCGGTTTAGTTTATTTTTACCATATTATGGTATATAGCAAAATAAAAGAAAGAAACGGGTATTATCTTCGTTCAATCGAAATAATAGAAACCGTATACGGTTTTTTTTTTAATTTATCAAATAAATTAATTTATTAACAACAATTAACGTGTAAATGAATCGAAAGCGCTCGTCGCGAACTTCCTTTGTTTTGTGTACAAAAGCCGACACCCATCACAAGTGCTTGCAAAAGCCACCTACACAAGCTAAGCCAGACGCCCTCTCCACATGTTTGAATTTGTGATGTCTCGTCGAGGCTTGGCGCTTGCCATGTGTGCGCATTGTGGATTCGGCATAAACCAATATCATCAATCAAATATTATGTGTATCATGATTTCATCCAGGTTTGTATAACTTCAAATCCATACATATTATAAATATAAACACTCATGACTGAAGTACAAACATTCATGCTCATCACACAAATGAATACTCCCAGCGGGACTCGAACCCGCTGAAAGCTACCGCTTACCGCTAGCACAGCAAGTTAGGTGTACTACAAACTGAGCCAAATACGTCGTCAATTTATCCATTTCAAGGAAACTTCGTCATGAAAAAGGTTGAATAACACTGGTTTATTTTTTATTGTATGTTACAATATTATGTTTAAAAAAAACACTGTTATTCAATCTTCTAGATACGTTTAAAACAACTTATACATGTAAGTAATTCTAATAGTTTTTGTCTACGTGCTTTCCATAACTACCTAACATGGTAGGTTATTGGTCTACCTCGTTGGACGGGAGTTGCTACTTCTCTAATATTATAGAGAACCATGAGCAACCCTTGGTTGTCGTATATGGGGAAGAAGATCATTATTAAAAGATTAACCCTAATAATACTGTCTAATATTTACGCGAATACTCTAAAATATATACAGACAGATAAAATTGAAGTGTCTGTTTGTAATGTCAAAATAACTTAGCTTTTTACAAATTTTTATGAAATTATATATAGTACTTATAAGAAAAACATAATTTTTAAAATTTTTGTCTGCCTGTTTGCTCCGGCTAATCTCAGAAACGGCAGGACCGATTTTGACGGGACTTTCACTGGCAGATAGCTGATGTTATATGGTGTAACTTAGGCTACTTTTCTTTTGGAAAAAATTAGGGTTCTGTACAAAAAAATCAAAACGTACCTAGAGACGCACCCGAGCGAAGCAAGAGCAAGTCGCTAGTATGAAATAAAACTATCTTTTCAAATATTTTCGCGAATTTATAGTTTTAAGTTTTAAGTCGTACTCGACAGCTACTTACTAAACTAAACTGGTAAATGGCAATACTTACTATCGGTGTCCGGCGAGTCGGGCGCCGGCGCGCTGGCCGCCGCGTACGGGTTCGCGGGAACGCCCTGGGGAATATTTGTCTATGTAGTCTACATATTTATTTATTTTTGAAACAGCAAAACCAAAATTACGTTAAATAAATCCCAATTGCTTTACACATTATAATAAACGCTAAAGTAAACCAATAAATATAGGCGTACAGACAGCATTCATCAAATTATAGTGTTTAAATCTCAAATATTATCTATCTACATAAATTAACTAATAATAAAATTAACAATAATAAACTTAACGATAATATCTCTACATAAAATAAAATTCTAACTAAGTCGAATCTGTACATTAAATATTTTTTGGAAAATCTTATTGAAATAAACATTATTATCGCCATAAACAGAGGCCGAATCTATAGTTTTTAGAATTTTTGTGTCTGTCGGCTTATCTCCGAAACGGCTAGACCGATTTTGAGGGGACTTTCATTGGCAGATATTGATGTTATAAGAAGCAACTTCGGCTCCTTATATTTTAGAAAAAGAATTCGGGTACCGCGCAAAAAAAAATTATGAAATTGTGAACAACCCAACCGACGCACCCGATCGAAGCGAGGGTAAGTCGCTAATCTAAAATAAGGTTAAAATACTCACAGGCACATTAGTTCCAGGAGGCACATTTGGTACATTCACATTGGTATTTCCTGGGATTGTAAACCCTATATTGCCAGTTTTCAAGACGGCCACCCCAGGTATAGATGTAATTCCAGTCGGATAAGGTGAAGTTCCAGTCGGATAAGGTGAAGTTCCAGTCGGATAAGGCGGGTTTGTGGGCGGATACGGCGAATTACCGGCCGGATAAGGCAAGTTTCCAGTCGGATATGGTGAATTTCCTGTTGGGTAAGGTAAAGCTTGTGCTGGGAATGATGGATTTCCAGTCGGATAAGGGGAATTAGTATGAGTAGTTGGGTATGGGGCGTTTTCTGAAATCGTATTGCCAGGATATGGCGGAGGGTTATCAATAAGTGGCACATTTTCAACGGGGTATGGTGCTTTAGTATCATTAGAGGGATAAGGAGAGTTTCGAGAAGGGTATGGGGATTTTGATGGATCATTTGATGGATATGGGCTAGAACCGGGATATGGACTAGAACCGGGATATGGACCAGAACCGGGATAAGGCGTGTTTCCAGCGGGGTAAGAGGAGTTCCCAGGATAAGAGGGTAAAGGTTGTTGTGTAACTGCCGCTACTTGTTGCGGCATTTGGTCTTGTAATGGGTTCTGTATGTTATCTTGGAAACCCACTAAAGGAATGCTACCAATCACAATCCTTCCAGAGCCATCAGAATCACTATGACATCCGGATGGACTGACAACAACCTAAAACAAGTTGTGTAATCGTTTTTAGGCATTCGTATTTAGAATTGATGATTATGTTATATATATATAGGTATATATGAAGATAATTCAAAATAGAAACTCGATATATAAGTGCAGGAATGCACTTAAAAATATAATTCACACTTCAATTAAATCAGATACACAATAATAATATGATTGGATGACGTAAATATGTATTACCTTTAATTTATAAGATATATCGATGTATCTACAGTTGTTTACATCGTACACGTCCAACGCGGGTATCTCCATCTCGACGGTGTAGTTACGTTGCGTGTTGACCGGTATGGGGCCTTTCGTTATTTTGGCAACAGTATCTTTGTCAAATCTTTCACCTGGATTTACCGTGGCTATGAATCTAATTTTCTAAAATAATTATATATAATCAGTATGTGGCATTAAAAATTTCCAACCGACTGAGAACTAAGAAAGAAATTGCTAGTAATTTCTTTTTGGTACAATTCTATAGATAATTATTATTCAATAATAATTGAGTTCTATTAAAAGTCCTACGAGTAAATGAAAACTAGTGAAGAAAAAGAGTCTCACATGCTGTAATAGCCATGAGAAAAGCTTAGTATTTTATAGAAGTAACATTTGGTGACATATAAAAATTTCTTGTCGTACATCGGCTAAAATTGAACAAACACTTGTGTTTCATATGTATAAATGCATTCGAAAACGAAAAAGTATTTTATAGATGCAGAAATAGATCACCTTCAGTACGCCTCGAATATATTTTGCTGCAAAAAATAGGTGCCATGCTTAAGCATAAATATATTAGTCTATAAAAATACATATCCTTCAGTAGACATTATGCATAAATTGCTACAATTTCTACAGAGTAGATTGCAGAGTGTCAATCGATGTCGATAGGTTTGTCGAATTCTTAATCAGTATATGGAGATGCGGATATTATAGTGACTTTTAAGCTTGAAACAACCGTAATTGTCCAGTAAATGTCCTGCTTGACGAAACATATAATAAATGTTCCGTCAAGCAGATAGATATCAATTCGATAGATAACATTCAAAAACTATCTGCGCTCTACATAATCTGCTCTACTGATTTATTCGAATGAAAAGGATCGATTGCTGGCTTGTGTGGTATTTACCACCAACCAGACCGTTTAGTTGTGTACGTTCTAACAGCTTCAATAAACTATCGGCAGCTAGAAAGTCTGCAGTCTGTGAGGATGCTTAATTTTCTTAATAGATAAACAAAAGTGGATCTATAAGTAGTAGGTACGGGTACCTATAGTATCACGATTTTCCTTAGTCACATCGATGCGCAGAGTCATACAAGATTCGACTCCTCATTGATATTTTCCGCCATTATTGGTCTAATTTATCGATAAAATATTTTTTAATATATGAATAGTATTCGAATATACATACATATATTTTCAAATAACGGCCGGTACACCATACACTAATACATTTTTTTTATTAGAATAAAAATCTGTTATCAAGGCAATTGTACCTTCACTAAAGAAATTTTGATGTCATCAACTTCCACTGACCCCTTGTTGCTGCAAGAGACTTCTATAGGTATGACCTGCCCGGAACAAAATCCTGACACGGGCACGTTTACCACTGTGTCAGTCGCACCCGAGCCCATACAACAACAACTGTATGTCGCATTGAAATCCATTTCTATAGGTTCCTACAGAGTTAACAAATATTAAGAATTGCAATATTTTTGACTACATAACAGTAAGTATATATCAATAGTATAAATAAAATATTAGTAGCAAGGAAAAATACATAATTCAATTCATAAAATGTTAAAATACAAGTATATAATTTGTGGGAAATTGAGGTTTGTACTTCACGATACTCTTGTTTATCCGAAGCACATAATATAATACTCACCCTACAAGAAGGATCTTTATTCAGATCCACAACATTAAACACGCGGATTGCAGCTTTCTTCTCTTGATCGAATTTGAATGCTCGATCAACTACCACTTTTACGTGATATCTAATATGGCCGTACGAGCCTTCAAAGGATGAAGGACAGTTTTGTGGAAGAACGAATGTGAATGGATATTCATAGTGGCCTGGATCAATTTTATGGTCTCCTAAATAAAAAAAAAACATTTATTACACCACATAATACTCACAAATAATATGCCCATCAAATAAATCTTGGTAATTAGTTTAATTCATTTTTAATGAGGAATTAAAAGGCCGATGCGAACTAATCATTCGATTTAAGTTTATAACGTGTTAAATATGATGATATCTGTGAAGCTCAGGTGTCAGAGGTACCATGGTTTATTCTAAGCCTTTTCCAGTACAGCATTTTGAAGCATTTTCTTTAATGCATATGTGAAGAATTAAAATACCTATATCTCCTAATCCCAGGAGTATAAGTTCAGACGTAAAAAAAATCGACATGATACCGTCACAGAGCTTGTAGAAAAGATCAGGCAGTTCAATAATAAAGGTATTCTCACACTTTTTTTGGTTATTAAAAGGCACAACTTGTGAACAGAAGTCCATAGTTCGTCGGCATTATTTTTTCTTCTTTTTGACCGAGAGAGCGAAGCGTCTTCGAGTTTGACTTGTTGCGTTGAGCTTCAATTCTAGCAAAATTTGCTCTGCTCTGTCAGTTTGTTGTTACTACTATAGGTCGTATTTTACAACCGACCTGGACGAAACTTGGTTGGTATACAGGTTTTAAGACATTATAGATTTTTTTGTCATTGGGTATTTTTGATTGGGGGTACTACCTCCAAAAAGGTACAAAAAGGGGGCTACTGGATTTCTCTGCCTTATGAGATCCGATTTCGATGGTTATTTTTATTTGGAAAATAGTAATAGTAGTTTTGGGATCTATTGCGTTAATAAAGACCCCCAATAATACCTTTCCTCAAATATTTTACATGTACAGACAGCAATCAGTTACACTTTTATTATATGTATGGATGGATGTAATTTTTAGACTACACCAAAATATATTTTGCATATGAATATTTGCATAAAAAAAGTTTTTACCTGATTCTCCACCAACTAAGTATGTTTTTACATTAGCATATTCTTCATAAGATTCATGATTGATAGTACGAGTGTGTCGTTTACCTCTACTATCTGAATATGACTGCTGTGTGGTCCAATGTACTTTGCAAAATCCTTTAAATTTCACATATATACCTTAAACAAAACAAATAATTGTACAATAACATAGTAAAATGAAACTATTTATGTAAATAGAGCTATTTCTTTATATTTGTGTATTCAAGGTACTAATATTTAAGAATTAGATGAATAGTTTTTACATTTACAATTGGTACTTATCAGATATGATTGGAGTAGGAACAAGTGGGTGCAATGCAATTTTTTTAGACAAATAAGATTAGAAAAATAATAATTTAAATCAGTTCATTATAGGCCAATGGTGTATCGAAAAAATGTAATTGAAACCCTTTCAAGAAAATAAAATTGAAATCCTTTTCCTTTTGAGAAATCAAATAATACATAGGTATTCTTATTATTCTGACACCCACAATATTGCAATAAAATATAGTTTTTTTTGTTACCGAGTTTAGCTGACTCATATTAACTTAAGTGCTTTATTCATGATATGAGATATGAGGTTTTAGAGTAGTCTAATAATTAATAGCTAAATAAATTTAAAACCAAGTGTGTATTTAGTCATTTTGCAGTTAAACAAACATTCAAATTTGTCATTTTTATTTTATACATATTCTCCAGAACTCAAGTTGTATTTATTTCTTTCTTCCTTAAATCCTACAATAATTAATAAATTCACTAAGGATTGTCAAACAACTTTGCTTTAATATATACATATCACACTGTGGCAAAGCCCAAAGGATGGGTATGTTTTGATTTAATTATAATAAACAGATATTACGACTAAAAATTTGTTTTTTTTTTGCTTGTTTGTTTGTATTGAGTAGGCTATGAAACTACTGAACCGATTTAGATGAAATTTAGTGAGAAGATAGTTTGAGACCCTGGGAAGGGCATAGAGTACCTTTTATCCCGGAAATCATCTCTTGAGGGGGTGAATGGAGGTGAAAATTTGTAAGGGGAAGCAACCTAGGGGCGAACCCGAGCGAAACGAGGGCGAGTCGCTAATATTATAATACTGCAGCCTAAATGGATCATGTCGTCTTCTTTTTTACCTGATCAGATACACCTTATCAAATATTTTATGTACATTGGTAGCCAAGAAAAAAAGGATTCAAACATGATACGGATTCTAAACAATATTTGGTATCACATAAAAATACGCTATACACGTAACTTACCGCGAAAATTTTTCTCTTTATCTTGGTCAAATATTAGTTTCCCATGGATTGTCTGTCCAGGATAATAAGCTCCATTCGGACTGTCCAAGACAATTCTACCTTCATCGAAGCCCATCGTAATGTCTTTTAAACGTTATTAGCGTAATTAATAGAAATGTATTTAAATTTGCCACAAAATTTTTTATTACAAATTTATATTTCTACTTTTTGGTTTCACATATTTTGTATATTTAAACAATACTAAAAATATATTTAAAAATGTATAGTGAATATATTTAGCGATCAAATGGTCAACGTGAAACGCGTGAAACGTTTACGCTATAAAAGGAACAGTCAAAACTGACAACGGACAATTGTCAAGAAAATTGACAACCGTAGAGCATGGATTAGTTAGGTACCTGAGTTGGTCTATGGTGAGTATTAGTTATAGATAATAAATTATAAATCTTGAATGAGTCTATAATCTTTTTCCTCTTTTACTCTAATCACGGGAAATGATTGTATTATAATATTGTATGGGAGTATAGAAAAGTGTTGTTTTTAGACTTTTTCAGGCAATTTTTCAATTTCTTCTCTCCGTAACAACCATCCTAGTACTTCAAGAAATATTCTAAAAAAAGAATTAGCCTTTTATTAACCTTTCGGAAGTGCAAAGAACGACTCAAAGGATGTCATTCGTAGCGTTAGCCTATGTTACGGCCAATGGCGGTCATTTCGAAAATGTTCTAAATTACGATTTTTTTATAAATGAATTTATAACCGTAATACCACCAGAATTATCTAGTTTTAGGAATGAACTAATATTTTTTATCGAAATAATAATTTTGCCGTAAAAGTAAAAAAATCTAAAAATTTACACAGCGCTCAACTTTCACCTCGAATAATTTTTGAAGGAGTGAATTAATCGAAAAACTATAAGAAACCTTTTTTATAGAGCGTTCAATTGCCTATAAGAATTTGTGCATCTCATTGCTGTAAGTCATCTTGTTCAAGAAAAACATATTCAAATGGGAAATGTATCGTCTTTATGCAAGGTTTATTATGAATATTAAGGGCTTATTCTGATCTGACATTTTTTTAGACGATAAACTAAAAATAAACTTTGTAAGACACCCTAGTGTATATACGATGAGTCAACAAAAAAAAAGGTTTTCTAAAGTGGGGAAATTACGATATAATTCATTTCTTAGGTGTGTATAAAAATATGAGGAGCTGAGGGACACAAATAACACCGTCAAAATTCTCGTGTGTGACTGACGCTTTAATTTATCTATTTTTAAAGCTATAAATATATAAAAATATTGAGTAAATATAGACTAGAAGTAGTAAACATTCATAAACTTAAGAAATAAATAACACACTATAAAAAATCTATAAGTACTTGTAGGTAGGTACTTAAAAAAAATGCGATACAAAGGGCACAACAAAAACATAATCAGACATCGTTCCACATGAGCAGATAATTAATATGATCTTTAATAGCTTCACTCGTTTTGACGAGTCGATTACAGTTTTTAATAAATGTGTTTTGTTGATCAGAAGCGTGTTTGAAAGATTGTTAGAACTTTATATAATAATTATTACTCATATTATGTTCGAGCTCTGATTCTGTCCTTGAAGTTTGTGCAAAGTTATACGATTGAACTTCCTTCATGTACTTACCTACTCCTTCCTTCATATTGCTACAATATCACGATATAAAACTATTTTTACAAGTTTTTTATTTTTGTATCTTGGAATACATTGTCATGGTCAGTTATGTTTTTTTTGAAATATTACATTATTTTACGTTTAAATGAACAGTAAATTGTAGTTTAAGGCACTAATTTCCATTTTATTTATTCAACTATTTTAATATAAAAATATAAAAGTATTTTTTTTATTCGTTGATAGTATTAATTACTTATAACCTTATATTATAACAATATAAAAACATTACTAATAAAAAATATCAAAAAATTGATTTATTTAAATTATTTAGCATAAAATAAGTCAATAATAAAAATATACAATATGTCTATTTGTATGTACAATATTATATAATAAGGTACTTTTGCCAAACATATTCAAATCGCATACCAACAAATAGTATGTAGAGACTAGGTATTACTTTATGAATGCCAGCATACTTACAACCTTAAACATTTGAGAAGGAGTGCAGTCTTTCCGCTAACAAAAGCACGGAACAAGTCAAACGAGTCAATAAACAAAACTTTAAAGAATTTATGAAGTGAGACGAATCTATCTCCTCTATATAATCTCTAAATATGTACCTACTCGTACCTATATAGGATTTGAGAGGTTTTCCTTTAATTTATTTTCTAAATACATAATACTAGTATTGGATTTTAAATTCAGTTTAAAATTTAAATATTTCACTATTTTATGTATATTAGAAGACTTGACATATAACTACATAATAAAGTTACTTCTAGTTAACATATTACAAGCATGGCAATTTTTTATATATAACTACATATAAAAATAATCGACAATATTTTGTCATGGGAAAAACTCTGTATGAAACTATTTTTATGTTATTGTTATTTTAATGTTAGTTATGTAAATGCTAGTGTCTTATATACATGTACAATAGGGTCTTGGACTATTGTAATAAAATGATGTGATGTTTTGCATAGCGGTAGTTTATGGGGCTAGAATTCATTATTAAAAGGAATTATTAAAAGGAATAATTAAATAAAAATAATGATTTTTCTATATTTTTAACATAATTAATTATTATTTTTAACATCAAAATCACGTGACTACAAACGCCAATTACGGTGCGTGACGTCACTTACCATTGTCACTAGTGTCAAGTGATCTGTGGTAGTTTGTTGTATAAACAGTGTAGTTTCGAAAATTCAATTCTCTGTAATCTTAAAGTTTTATTTGTTTAAGTAATATTTAAATTTACTTACGTTCATGGTATTGATCATGGCGAACAAATTTATTCGAGCTGGCAACTCAAATCACGTATCGATGTCATGATGGTGGCGGAATTTTTCACTAAAAATCCTGATTTTATTTTATTTTTTATATTATCTAAGTACTAGGCATTACACAAATTAAAAGTTGTAAAAATCTGATTAGTCTTAAAATAATCCAAGGAACCTAAATGATCTCTAAGCATAACATCATAACAAAATACAGACTAAAAACATACCTACAGCAGTGACCAGTGTCGCGTCCGGCAATATGTAAGTATAGTTCAATAAATATTTTATACTCTAATTTATTCTTACATCAAAATTATCTTTGCAAACGTAAATAATTGATTTTATGGATTGGTTTTTCCAGTCTCGCCTTGTGACTTATTGGTATTATTTTCACATAAGGGCACTCAACAATACTGATAATACTTAATTGCACTCATTTTCGATATTCTTGTTCCCTTTTCAATTAATAATTAATCAATCGAGCCTACAGATTACGGAATATAATCGAGCTCTTTATAGTCTACACACGCTCTGTATGATAAGTGACGTTACGCTGGACGATTGTTAAAAGAGTGGCGTTTTAGCGCCAAATTCAAAAGTGAAAAATAATTTTCGATTTTTTAACATAAGAATACAGTAATTTCTGCGGGAAAATATTTTTAGCAGCATTTTATTTATGTAAACAATAGGCTGAGATACTTTTCATAAAATAGTCTAAGACCCTATTGTACATGTCTTATATACTAAATAGCACCTCTGGACGAATATCTTTTCTTATTAACGTATTCTTCAAAAGTAAATATTCATATATTTGTCAGAGCTGTCAGTCAAATGCTAGTGTTTCTCTGAAACAATGAAAGTGAAAATAAAAATCAATACCATGTTATAAAGAAAACACTAAAAGAACTTGAATAATCATATTATAAGAGATTAGAGAGTTGTAAAATATCTAAATTCTAAAGCTATTGTAAATAATAATTATATAAAATATTTTTCAACCTAGATAAAATATATGTTTTAAAATACAAGCGACTCACCCTCGCTCCGTTCGTAACTAGGGACGAACCCAAACGAAACGAGGGTGGCTAGTTTGTTAATAACTTATAATAGCACTAAAATTAGGCTTCACATATGATAACGTTTTATTTAACTCTCAGACAAAACTCGGGAACCCTGTGACCTTTCCACGGAACTATGGTTCCGCGGACCACGATTTGGGACACGCTGTTCTAAATTGTGGCCCGAGCTGGGACTTGAAGCCAGGCGCTCTTGATCTTCATACGGTCCGTACCGCCCATGCTAGCCACTTGATCAACAAGAACATAGTAAAAATCATATGAACAGATAAGCTTTAAGAAATTTAATGGGACCTGTTTTAATGTAAATATTTTATTTTACCTAATTAAGTTATAGTAAGATTTATGCGATAGAACGCATAGCAACTACTAAATAAAATACTCAGTACTCACTGTCGGTGACCGGCGAGTGCGGCGCCGGCGCGCTGGCCGCCGCGTACGGGTCCGCGGGGACGTCCTGGGGAATTGATTTAATTATAGGCTTAACTATCTATATATAAAAATCGTGTGTATGTTCCTTATGGAATTCTAAAACGGCTGGAGCAATTTTGATGAAATTTTCAGGCAATCTTCAGATTAGCCCAGCAGCCAGCAGGTAATCCTGTGAAGTTTGGTAGCGCTCACCGCTCGGAAGTTTGAACGAGGGCGAAGTCGCGGGTATGCTATGTTATAGTAATAATTAATTGAACCCTACTTTATCTGTGGTAAATAGTATTTTTAAAGTACAACACTGTTTTGTCTATGTCACTCTATATGATGTCACTTCTTCTGATTATCTCTCGCTAATAAAACTACGTACAACAAATCACATATATTTTTATTAATCATATCAGGTTATGGGCCCAGGCCACCTGAATATTGCTTAAAATAAAAAGTAAAAGTGTTTTAAAATTATAAAAATAAAAGTACGTAGTTCTGGTAAAATTAGTAAGACATAACCTAAGACTCCGCACGTGTTCTCGCAAGTCAAATTTTTCTTCATTGGCAAAATGTCTTTAAATAATGCGATGGCACTGATAGAAAAGCTGACGGGAAGAGAAAATTATTCAACGTGGCGATTTGCTATGCAAACTTATCTCGAACACGAAGATTTATGGAGTTGTGTCGTTTCTAAAGAAAATGAAGCCATTGATACAAAGCTCGATACGAAAGCTAGATCTAAAATAATTCTACAAGTGCATCCTATAAATTATGTACATATACAAGAAGCTAAAACAGCTAAAGATGTGTGGAATAATCTAGCAAAAGCTTTTGATGATAATGGTTTGACACGTCGGGTTGGTCTCCTGAGAGATCTGATAACCACAAACCTTGAAAATTGTCTAAACATTGAAGACTACGTTAACAGAATAATGTCAACCGCCCATAAACTGAGAAACATTGGTTTCAATGTTGATGATGAATGGCTCGGGACCCTGTTACTGGCTGGTTTTCCTGAAATGTATCAACCCATGATAATGGCACTTGAGAGCTCTGGTGTGAAAATTACAGCTGATTCAGTAAAGACAAAGCTTCTACAAGATATAAGAAACTCTGAGTCTAATGCGCTATATGTGAAAAGCAAAGGAAATCAGTTGCAATCTGGCAAACAAGTTCAAAATAAAGTCAAGTCCAAGGGTCCGAGGTGTTATGTGTGCAATAAATATGGACACATCAGTAAAAATTGTCGCAACAAGAAAAAAGAACAAAAATCGAATGAGCAAACTGATTCTAGTTATGTCGCAGTGTTCTCCGCTACAACGAGCAACAACAGTAATTGGTATATAGATTCTGGCGCTTCAGTGCATATGACAATGCAGCGTGAATTGCTTTATGATGAGGTGCCACCTCCGATTACTACAATAAGAGTGGCTGATAATAAGAGATTAGTTGTGAAAGCATGTGGGAAAGTAAATCTTAATGTTGTAAACAAACAAGGCAAGATTGACACAATCAAGGTACAAAATATTCTATATGTTCCTGAGCTGGCTACTAATCTTCTCTCAGTGAGTCAGATAATAAATAGTGGTTGCCAAGTACAGTTTGGCAGTCAAGGCTGTTTAATCCTAAATAAAAATAATAAGCAAGTCGCAGCGGCTAAAGTTATAAACAATATGTACCAGTTAAATACACATAATATTCCAGCCTACTTATCTACATCTACAGAGAATGATTGTTACCTGTGGCATCAAAGGATGGCACATTTAAATTTTGAGGACTTAAACAAATTATTGGAGAGTGCTAGAATCAAAATAAACAAGACAGATAAAGTGACATGTATTTCATGTTTGGAAGGAAAGCAGACGAGAATCCCTTTTCCTTCTGAAGGTTCTAGAGCACAAGCGAAGCTAGGACTTGTTCACTCAGATGTCTGTGGAAAAATGGAAGTGCCAAGTCTTGGGGGAGCTCAGTACTTTGTTACATTTGTTGACGACTTTACAAGAAAGGTATTTGTTTATTTGATTAAAAACAAATCAGAAGTCTTCCAGAAATTTCAAGAATTTAAAGCCTTAGTTGAAAATCAACTTGATTCAAGAATAAAGATACTCCGCACTGATAACGGAAAAGAGTATCTAAGCAATGAGTTTCAAGCTTTTCTTAAGAAATCAGGGATCACACATCAAACGTCCACTCCGTACACACCACAACAAAATGGTCTAGCGGAGAGGATGAACCGGACTTTGCTTGAAAGAGCTAGATGCATGCTTATAAATGCTAAACTTCAGAAACAATTTTGGGCAGAAGCTGTGTCAACTGCTGCATATATCACTAATCGATGCCCAACAAAAGCTCTATCATTTTTAACACCAGAAGAGAAATGGAGTGGTAAAAAGCCAGACATTACTCATATGAAAATATTCGGTTGTGAAGCAATGGTGCATGTTCCAAAAGAGAAAGCAAAGAAGTTTGACTCAAAAGCAAATAAAATGTTATTCATTGGTTATAGTGAACAGACCAAAGGATACAGGTTTTTAGATCCTAAAACGAGAAAAGTTGTAATAAGCAGAGATGTGGTCTTCCTTGAAAGCTCAGTTAAAAGAGATTATTCTCTTGTACCACTTTCAGAGTCTGTCTCAGAATCATGTGAAAGTGATGACAACTCTAAGACCCAGAAAATCACTCTGAAACAGTCTCAGATGACTGAAGACGAATCAAGTGAAGATTTTTACTCTGATGATGGATCTCTGTATGAGCCCGATGTAACTATAGATTCATCTGAGCTAACAAATAATATCACAACAAGATCTAAAGCAAGATTATATAGAATGCAAGCTCATAAAGAAGCAGAAGCCAATGCTTACAAATGTACAGATGAAATTATAAGAGAACAGGTTGTTCCACTAACATACAGTGAAGCATTATCTTCTGATAATCCAAATGCTTCAAAATGGAAAGAGTCCACTGAAGAAGAGCTAAATGCACATGCAAAGAATGAAACATGGCAATTGATTGAGAAGCCTGAAGGAGTGCGGATAATTGGCTGCAAATGGGTCTTCAAAATAAAAGACGAGCCATCTGGTCCTCTCTTCAAATCAAGGTTGTGTGCTAAAGGATGTAGTCAGAAACAAGGTGTTGACTATAAGGAAATATATGCTCCAACTGTAAGGTATGATTCATTACGTGTTCTACTTTCAGAAGCAGCTCAACACAACTTGCATATTGTTCAATTTGATGTCAAAACTGCATTCTTATATGGAGATGTAAAGGAAGATATTTACATGACGCCACCTGAAGGTTTGGATGCTCCTTACAATATGGTATGTAAACTCAACCATTCTCTTTATGGTCTTAAGCAAGCACCGAGGTGCTGGAACCAAAAATTTGATACTTTGCTAAAGAAATTTGGTTTTGAAAGCTGTCATAAAGACAGGTGTGTGTATGTTGGAAAAGTAAATGACATTAAGGTGTATTTACTATTGTATGTTGATGATGGACTTCTAATTTCAAAATCAAAAGATATTCTGAATAAACTTATATGTGAATTAAAGAAAAATTTTGAAATAAAACAGTGTGATCGAAAGAACTTTGTAGGACTACAAATTGAAAGATCAGAAGGGAGTATTTTCATTCATCAAACAAAATACACTGAGAAACTGTTGCACAAATTTAATATGCAAAATGCTAACTGTAACAATATTCCAGTTAATCCTCACACTACACTGGAGAAGAATACAGAGACTCCTGATAAGAAGATTCCATACAGAGAAGCAGTAGGCTCACTGATGCATCTAGCGGTGGTAAGCAGGCCCGATATAATGTATGGAGTTAGTCTGGTGAGTAGATACCTTGATTGTTATGATCACACTCATTGGAATGTTATTAAGAAAATACTGAAGTATTTAAAAGAAACCAAAGATTATGGTTTATGTTATTCAAAGTCACAACTGAACATAGTAGAAGCTTACTGTGATGCTGATTTTGTTAAAGACATCTCCACACGGAAGTCTTTAACTGGCTATGTGTTTATTAAAAATGGAGCTGCCATAACATGGGCAACACAACGACAACAAAGTGTTGCTTTGTCTACCACTGAAGCAGAATTCATGGCTGCTTGTTCTGCTACAAAAGAGGCTATGTGGTTGAAAGGACTCTTAGTGGATATTGGTGAATTTAATCAGGACTCAATATGTTTAAATATAGACAATCAAAGTGCAATTTGTTTAATTAAAAATATAGATTACCATAGGCGTTGTAAGCATATAGAAGTGCAATATAATTTTGTTAAAGATAAATATGCAGAAAAACAAATTGATTTGAATTATATATCGAGTAATGAACAATTTGCTGATGTGTTTACTAAAGCTCTTCCTAGGGACAAGTTCCAATATTTTAGAAAAAGAATTGGTGTTCTGAATTTAAAATAGTATCTGTATCTTACCTATACTTGTAATAAATTATTTCTAAATATTTCTTTATGAGAACTTGTCAAACTAAATTTATGCCATAAAAAATTGTATGTTCATTTTAAAAATTAACTTGTTTTAAGAAAAGGGTTCAAATTAGGTGGGAGTGTTATAGTAATAATTAATTGAACCCTACTTTATCTGTGGTAAATAGTATTTTTAAAGTACAACACTGTTTTGTCTATGTCACTCTATATGATGTCACTTCTTCTGATTATCTCTCGCTAATAAAACTACGTACAACAAATCACATATATTTTTATTAATCATATCATGCTAGTAGGTTAAATGTTTAAAAATATCGAGTCTTCACTTTAATTAGGTTTTAACTACACAAAATAGTTATACATATTTGCCTTTATCTTGATTAGCATTTAATTACACATCAATTCATAATTCCACAGAAAACACCTGACAGGGATTTAAAGCAATCTGTGTTAGTCAGAGATGATGTACTTTCTTAATAACTAAATGCTTCAGATTCGGAGGTCTCGGGTTCGAGTCCTGGATCAGACCTTGTATAGGTACTAGGGTTTTCTGATTCTCTCAAGCAAATCTCAGTAATTGCCCGGAGTTGAAACGATAATAGTCGTCTCATCTGGTTTGAAATTGAAAGTAAAAGAAAAGTTCACTTGTATCTGAGCGTACATTTGGACATTGTAAGATATTTAAATTTTATAGACATAATGCTGGATAATGACTCAACTTTAATGTGTTTTTAACAACAATTTGGTTTTCAGCTAACTATAGATAACGCTGAAGAGACAAAGACGTTCGAAGAAAAGAAATAACATATTTATAACATCTAACATAACCTACACACAAAAAACCGTACATGGAAAACGAGCACCTCTTTTATTAGACTCAGTTAAAAATTATTATTGCTTTGTTATATTTCTCGCATTTAAATACACCAAGGATATTTGAAAATGCTAAAAATGTAATAGCCAATGAAATATTGACCTCATTACTTTATTGCACTTGACGGCATCATTTCACAGATTAACTACAAGTTTTTTGCATAATACACACACACACGAACACACTCAAACTCACCCACACGCACAAACATACATTCAGAACACAATCCTCGTTTAGTCTTCGCCGAAGACGGGTAATAATGTAAATGCCATACAACACGAGCGAAAAATACTTCAGAATATACAAACAGCACAAAAATACTCACAGATACATTATCTCCTCTTGAAGCAGTAAACTCCATGTTGTCAGTTCCCAACGCGGCCACCCCCGGTCTGGTACCATGAGGCGACTTTGTATAAGATGGCGATTCAGTCGAATAAGAGGAATTTTTTGTGGGATAAGGTGGATTTGTATAGGGCGCTGTTTCTGAAGTCGTATAACCGGGATACGGGGGAGGATTATCAGTCATTGGATAGGGGATAGACTCGGGGTGTGGAGCCTCATCAGCTCGGTAAGGGGTATTCCAGGAGTAGGAGGGTAAAGGTTGCTGTGTAACTATTCCTACTTGTTGCGGCATTTGATCTTGTAATGGATTCCGTACATAATCTTGGTAGCCCACTAAAGGAACGTTACCGATTATAATTTTCTGACTGTTATCAGAATTACTATGACATCCGGATGGACAGACAACCACCTAAAACAAACAACAAAAAAGCATAATATATGATAATATATATTATGAGTTAAAAGTTATAATAATATTGAATTCACAATTTATGATTACATAAAGCATTTATATTTTTGCTTAATTACCTTTAATTTATTATATATTTCGATGTATCTGCAGTTGTTCAAATTGTACACGTCCAATGCGGGTATTTCCATTTCGACGGTGTAGTTACGCTGCGTGTTGGTTGGTATGGGGCCTTTCGATATCCTAGCGACATTACATTTTTCATATTTTTCAGCTGGGTTTACTGATGCTATGAATCTAATTTTCTAAAATAACAATAGTATTACATTTTTAATTTTGTCATCTCTAACTGGCACTTATACGAAATTCTCAATTTGATTTAAATATCTTAAGTACCTATATTTTTTATAAAATTTTAAACCTTACAAAATACAAGTGATTTTAAAAGTTTAAAAAGAAGTAGTTAAAACTATAAATATCGAGGAGAACAATATCTACAAATGGACTATATTCACCACCTATACAGAAGTTTGTTTACTTTATAGAAGTGTATTTTCCTTATTGCAAAATATCTAATTATTTATCTAAAGGATAAATGTCCAAGTTTTTTAGTTTTGGTCAAAAGTGTACTAAAATTACATAAAATGATAAATTTGATAATATGGGTGCGTTCGAGACAATGTATCATAAAGAATTAAAAAAAAGGTGTTTCTGTTGTTAAGTTGAAACTTTGTTGTTACACTTAAATTTACTATTTAATATCATCAAATTAAAACAATAGTCAATATTCATATCAGGTAAATACTGTATAAAGTCTAGATTTTCCTTAACGACTTAGAAAATTAGACCAAGAAGATTACAAATTAAAAAAAAAACAACAATTACCTTTATTAGAGTCATTTTTATTTCATCAATTACCACGGTGCCTTTGTTGTCGCAATGGACTTCTATAGGCATGACCTGCCCAGAACAAAATCCTGACACCGGCACGTTTACCACTGTGTTAGTTGTACCAGAGCCCATACAACAACAATTGTATATCTCATTAAATACCATTTGTATAGGTTCCTATTGAGAAATTAAATATTAAGAGCGTTTTTAATTTAGATGTTTTGTAGATAGGTGTTAACGATTCTATCAAGCATACTTCAGTCGAGCCATGGATTCAGATGTTAAAAAACCTTGTTATCCACATTTGTATGTGGCAATCGTAATATTGCATTTAAGAAAAAACAAAAACACATAATATTGGCGAAGTTGCCGGATGGCGGTGAAACCTTAGTAATTTTGTATGAATAGCATAAACTGCGGTATAGCGGTAGGTCGACAACTACCGTCTAAATTGAAAGCCCCCTCAGGTTCACAGTATACTATTTTAACACTTGTACATTAGTGGGGTAACCCGACTGAAATAAGAATTAAGATATTTTTCATATATATTATATTATGTAGTTAACTAAGAGAAAACAAAAGATAAACTCTGGAAGAAGCTGTGCGGCGGCGAGGCCCTCTATGTTTTTGGGTCGGGTTATATTTTAAATAAAAAATAAATAAATATGTTGGGACATTAACACACAACACCATCTAGTTCTATGGTAAGCTACGAGGCTTGTGTTATGGATACCAGATAGTTGATACACTACACATATATAGCTTTAAATACATACATATTATAAATATAAACACCCATGACTGAAGTACAAACATTCATGCTCATCACACAAATGAATGCCCCCCAGCGGGACTCGAACCCGCGACCGCTGGCACAGAAAGTAGGGTCACTACAAACTGAGCCAAACGTGTCGTCAAATTTTGTTAAAGAAGTATTAAAGAAACACTGACATATCTATGCGTTAATTAGTATAATTTTAGAAATTCTTTGTGTGGTTGTTTTCCATATCCACTAGAGATAGTGTCAAAATGAAATATAAAAAACAATAAGTAATTTGTATCTAGATTATTGATCTTTATTGAAACAAAATAAAAAGTATATTAATAATTATAATAAGTAATGAGGAAAATGACTGATTTAAATGTCTAATTCAATTCAATGTAAAGATAATGAAATATCAGGAGCATTTATTTTAAACCTAAGCCTACCTAACCTTATAATATACTTGATATCGCATCACGCTATAATACTCACCCTACTATACGGATCTCTGTTAAGATCTACAACACTAAATACGCGGACTGCGACTTTCTTCTCTTGGTCGAATTTGAATGCTCGATCAACTATCACTTTTATGTGATATCTAATATGGCCGTACGTGCCTTCAAAAGATGAAGGACAGTTTTGTGGAATATCAAATCCAAATGGATATTCATATGTGCCACGATCAAGTTTACAGCTTCCTAAAAAAAACAAATAATAATTAATAAATAGTTAGTTTTTCCAAATATTCAAAGTTCATTTATTAGGTGCCATGTTACTTTGCCATTTTATTCTATTTTCCTTAATCCCTCCACGAAAGCGGACACGCCGGCGTTACAGTTAACAATAGATTTCTTAGTTTAATTAATTTCTTAGAAATTTACCTGGAGGTGTCAAGTTAATAATTAAAGCTTTATTACGATACATATAAGAATATAGGTACATATTTAAATATTCAATATGGCAGCCCATTAGTAACGCGTTCGCTTGGAACTAACTAATATGTATACATATATGAAGCGGGTTTTGCCTTGGCTTTTACACTTTCGACATTTTTTATGAGTAAATCATATTCATCACTGATCACGATAATAACATAATTTGTTAATCAAAAATGAAAATACGTATGGAAACCTGCTTGTCTGCAGTCTGAGAGAACTAATCAAAATAGGAAAATATCGTGAAGAAGAAAGAACCTAACAAAAATTTTAACTGTTGTGCTCCCTTCTGTGAAATAGAATGATAAATGGTAGATTTTTTTTTAAAATCGTCATTTCGTGATTAGGCTGGTTGGCTATTTATATGCATAATACAATATGCCTGCCTAATAGAAAATGATGGCGACAAAATATGAGTGATATGCCTACATAATATGTATTTATATACTATCTAATATGATATATTATATGTGTAGTATAGGTGATATAACTGACAGAACGGACACACACGGAAATACATACAAACTTTCACATTTATAATAGTACTTAGTTCGATTTAAATTTAAAAATCATGTTATTCATGATTTTAAAAATACAAATACCTGACAGTCCGCCAACCAAATATCTTCTTACATTTACATATTCTTCATAAGAATCATGATTGATAGTGCGAGTTTGGCTTTTACCATCACTATCTGTGTAGCTCTCTTGTGAAGTCCAGTGTACTTTGCAATATCCTTTAAATTTCACATAAATACCTTGAATAAAAAAAAAGAATAAATTATAACCAACAAAATGTTTTTTGGGTTCCGTGCCTAATATCCTTCATATCTTCGAGAATTCTACTACTAGCAATAAGGTTGCTGATCTGTCGAAGTTAAACTTTATTTTTATTAAAACTTAGATGCCAAATGGTGTAGTTACAGTAGTCAACCCAGAACCCTGGGTGTCCCCTCCAACGTGGGCTCACCTTGTCGTGGTGTGGGGGCTTAGTAGCGTAAGGCAATGCAGCCGGGCGCGAAACCAAGAAACGCACTTGGAGGTGGCCCACATTCGCTTCCGGATTTAACCCTAGCACCGCCCCTGGGCATAGTAAAAAATGCCTCCCTATTGTCGAAATTTTGCATGAACTGTTGAAAGTTGAAATGCAAAGAAATAATTTATAAATGATATCAATTGATTTGATTTCAAAAATTGTACCTACTAGTTAATCTTGTTTATTTTTCATTTTTTTGGAAAATAAAAAAAGAATTTTCGATTACGCGAAGAAATTTTTGTCCCACCATCATCTGTGCTAGCTATGTAGTAAGTATGTACACGATAAAATGTACTTCGGCATTCTAAAAAATAAAATGAAATAATTGCTATTGATAAGAAAACGATTATCTTATCAAACCACTGTTTAATTAGTTACTTCATTAATATTTTCTAGTGCTTAGCTTTTGTGGTTGCGTATCATAAAGTACAATACAAGTTATTAAAAAAATTCAGTGATATAATAAGCTGAAGTTGAGAAGTTGGTGGTCTTAACACATGAAGAGTTTTTAACGCGCTATCGACGAGCGACGCACACTTGTCGCTTGTTTGTATCGATAGTAGATACGAGCATCAATAGTTTTATTTATTTAATATTTATCAATGCAGAATAACCCTGAAGTTGATGCGTTTATAAAACATGGTGTATTGGCTTTTTTAAGTTCAACGTGCATCATACGTGCAGTTATCATTATGTATTGGCGGTATATTTGCTTATCTCTTCACTTCGTCCTAGCTATAACAATAGATATATGTACTTATGTAAAGGCAAAAGTGAGTTTATCGGTTTGTACTTTACACTCGTCACTTAGGGATAGAGCAATGGATTGAGCAAACTATTGACAATATAAATTGATTGATTTCTCTATTTAAGTGATTTACCTTTCTTTGCCTTTAAGATTATGTTAGTTCCTGGTTTGGAATTGTGTTAATTCTTACAACAATCCATGATTTTAAATTTAAAATAGTTTTTAAGGAACTTAGTGGCATTAGTACAAACATGAAACCTAAAAATTACCATTTGAAAATGACGATAATTATGAAAATTTTTAGATATTTAGATATAAGTTAATATGTATTACATACCTGTATCTTCAAATGTTGCAATTAAACAAAGTTATCTCTTATAAAAAAAATATAAATATCTACGTAAGTGTTTAATACAAGTGTTTTATTAATAGGTTGAAAAATAGCCATAGAATTTGTTTTAATTATAATATTTTTTTATATAGGTACTTGTAAAAGTAAGTCAAAGGTATTTAAAAAACGATTTCGATATGTATATATCACTAGCGACTGAAAACGCTTCGCTCGAAATTGTCCCTAGGTACGTTTACAATTAAAATGGATATAATATGTTACCCTTAAGAGATAGACATTATGCCATCGCGGACTTTTCTGTAGATCTATATAAGATACAAAATTCCACCATACATTATTTTGTTATATCTCAAAGGGTTTATTCGGCGTTTTCTTTGAAAGCTCCCAGACGGCTTATTTTTTTCCGACACCTCCAATTAATATCGTTATATTTTAGCCAATGTTTACAAAAACTTATCAAATTATATACTAAAACCTTCCTCGAGAACCACTTTATCCACTGGTGCAAACAGCATGAAAATCGGTGCAGTAGTTTTTGAGTTTATTGTGAATAGACAGACAGATGACAGACATACGCGGTGGAGGACTTGGTTTTATAATATGTACAATAATTATATTTTATATTGTTATTGTACAATAATATTATATTAGTGATATTGTACAGTGCACTAATCATAATCTATACCTATAATAAAATTGTAATATAAGCCGAATCTGTGCATTAGATATTTTTTGGAAAATCTTATTGAAATAAATATTATCGATACAGAGGCCGAATCTATAGTTTTTAGAGTTTTTGTCTGTCTGTCTGTTACCGCATCACAGAAAAACCACCGGAGGGATTTTGATGAAATTCGGTATGGTGATAGCTGGTTATCCGGGTCAACATATAGGATACTTTTTACCTTAACTTGCTTAACAGTAAAAGAATCTCAAGTTGAAAGGCTGTATTTATTAATTTGAAGTTTATTATAGTGAGACATATCGAATTACGCAAACAAATCAACCTAGGTACTTTATGCACGGCCACTGTCATCGGGGGAAACCCCTAGTCCCTATCGTATCCGAAATTTGACCTTTAGAAATTGTAGCTAACGTTAACATTTTAAAGCTAACAAATTTGGACACCAATAAGAGTACCTATGTACATGTAACTAGCAATGCATTGTAGTGTACACAAGCACATAAAATTATTCATAAAATATTATAAGTGTAACTTACCGCGAAAACTTTTTTCTTTTTCTTGTTGAAATACTAGTCTTCCACTGACTGTCGTTCCACTATAATAAGCTCCATTTGGACTGTCTAATATAATTCTTCCTTCATCGAATCCCATTTCACTTTTGTGCCATAAGATTTATTTTAATTTCTAAGTAATTTAAAAGTACTCTTTATCTTTGAATATTAAGTTGTATTTAGTTTTTGCAAACTACGTATTAAATATTTACATATCTTTAAAATTGCTTCACTATTTTTTTGTATATTTAGTTATTAAATATTAAGATAATAATATTTTTCCATTATAATATAGTTATAACTAATAAAATAGCAATCAACATTTTATAAAAAACACGATAAAAGTGACCCCTTAGTTAATAGGTTGAAACTTGAACTGATTACTGATTAGTGAGTACTGAAGTTGAAGTTTGAAGCATGGATGACAATTGACAAATGAAAGAAGGTTCAACTAACTTTGTCTATGCTTAAGTTATTATTTGTCATCCATGGTATAAGTCTTTAAAATTTCAGGCGGTAAAGCCCGCAGAGTCACAGGCTAAGCAGAATTTTCAAGCACATTGACAGTTAACCAACTACAAACTTTTTTATTTCATTGTTTATATATATATATATATATTGCTTGCTTATATATATATATATATATATATATATATATATATATATATATATATATATATATATATATATAGATAAAATATGGCTTTAATTTAATTTCAACTAAAATCCGAAACCAAGTTTAGTGATTGAGAAGAATAATAATAATTATCTTAATTATACACACTACACTCAAGCGTATTTGATTTGGAGTGATCTATCGTGTATTGTATTTCTCAGTTGTGACCTTTACTTGTCATCCAGGGTTGTGACACAATCTTTAGTTTGCGGTTGTGACATTATTTAAGTTCCTAGTCTGTGGTTGTTAGATGACTTCAGTCTATACTCTATAGCTTGCTAGCTGCCGCCTGCTACTGACGTCAGATCTGAGATCACTGATCAGTCAAATTCTAAGCGTTGTTTATGTTGGTATTGTAATCTCTGTGTAAAATGCGCGTATTTTATAATAATTTTTAGATTTTTTTAACTGTGTAAAATCGTTAATATTATATATTAATTATTCGGGTTATATCGATTTAATGTGTGTGTAAATATTAATAATATCTATTTCAATTTTATCGACACCGAACCTCCAAAAGAGTTAGTAGGTACCTAAAAGAAATGAGTTTTATGAATTAAACTGTAAGATTTCTCTGAAGAAACCTTTGCTGATCTGACTTTAAAATGGCATCATCACAAAAAGATATTGAATTAAGTCCAGTTAATACAACATCTGATAATAATAAAGCGCCGGCTAGCGTACCTGTGCACGATGAAGAAGATGTTATTATTGGACGGTTTAGAAAAATAAGTTCAGCAAAATCAATGGCTGCTACTAATGGTAATATCCAGTATCCTTCTGAGATTATTAAAAGTGACACTGACTTAGAGGCTGGGTTACAGTTTAAAGCAAAAGAAGGTGAAAAGCACAAGCTGCTTCCTGACACAGTTACCAATGGTGCCGTGGTTCGGCCGACGTCCCCTGTAACGAAAAGTAGCTTTAGAGATGTGGAGAAACCTTCTAGATTTAGAGACCAACCATCAACTACTAGATTTCAGGTAATTTATAAAAAAAATAATTTACAAAAAATGAATTCACACTTTTTAGCTATCTATTAAAATTTCTCTCTAATTATGTATCATGTATAGGTACCATTTTGATATTGTATACCAAATTGCATTTTAAATTGTTGCAGTTTTCGTGGAATCTTGAATCTTTGGCTATCATGATATTAGTTAATAATTAGTATATGTACATCCTATATATGTATGTCCTGTATAATTATCCAATTAAGTTATATTCTAATGTAGTAACATTTCATTTGATTATATAAAGAATACCTTACGTTAAAATGGTTCACATATAAATATTGGCTATCAACGGATGTATCAAGGTGTCAGCTCAAGAGGATCTCTTATTCAATTGAAATAAAATGTCTCTAGTTTTTTATATGAAACTATTATAATAACTATTCTTATAGTAAATTGCACATATAATTTCTTAATGAACATATATATATATAAATATATATATATATATATTTGTATTTGTTACAATTTTTTTTATATAACATTTACAAGACATGGTTTTGATTTTATCAAATAAATAGTAATATTTAATAGTTTTTAAAACCACTTATTATAAAAAACTAAAAGAATAAAAAAAAACCTTATTTTCTTTTCAGTGCCTGGAAGTCGGTTTTTATTTAATTTTTTTAATTTTTATTTTTCCATTTTTGTGTAGACGTAATAAGCAGGTAATTTGTAAGATGAAAGATTTTTAAAAACATATTCGATTAAGCCATTTATTCAGACCCCTAATGACAGTCACAACCCATCTAGGTGTAAAATTCTCATCAATACAAATTAATCAAGCCCAAACACCAGGTAATTGCTGTAAATCGTTGAGGAGTTCCCTCGACTGTCATCAGATTGACTCCAGACCTTCATTAAATAGTAGTGCTTTAAAATACTTAATGAAAAATTAACAAACGCACTAGTCGCCACTACGAAATTCGAAGGTTCCCCTCGATTTCTCTGAGATGCCATCGTCAGATCCTGGTTTCCTTATCATGGTACCACCCTTGGGATATCTCCTTTCCAACAAATACAGAATCATCAAAATCGGTTCATAAACGACGAAGTTATCCCTGTACTGTCGAATTGAGAACCTCCTCCTTTTTGAAGAAGTCGGTTGAAAATACTAACATGATTAAAGTTAGTAAATAAAAATGAATTAAAGGGCTGATTTCTCTATGCAAGCTGATATTAGTTCTCCATCATTTGTATTCAGCCCTTTTTAAGATCTCTCTGCTGTGCACAGGCCTCCCTTCAATATGAGGGGGATCAGACCGTAGTCTACCACGCTGGCCAAGTGCGGGTTGGCAGATTGCACATGTCATTTGAAAACTTGCTAGATTTTCTCAGATAAGCAGGTTTCCTCACGATGTTTTTCTTCACCGTAACACAAGTGGTGATCACTTTAGAAAAAAATCGCACATGAAAATATCAGAGGTGCGAGACCCAGGATTTGAACCTGCTTTACTCGGTTTCCCGAGAGAGCGCGTTACAATGGGGCTACCAGTGTCCACCATCATTACTAAAATTTATTTTTAAAGTATTAATACATCATGAAACTAATATGATATATAATTTTATGAATAATATATACTTTAAGAAAAAAAATACTTCGAGTTTGATGAGGGAATGTGATTGTGGACCATTAGTGGAATATCCAGCAGTGTTTTTTATTTTAATTTAATGTTTGTAAACATTTAGAACACAACATAAAAATTTCTAAATTTAGATGGATGTTTCTTAGGATCTTCTTTGAAAAGTCTTTAAGCCAACAGTTCCAGATTATTTATAATACTTATGCTTTTAAATTCGTAAACATTGTCACCTTCACTTTTTAACTTCCGAAATATGAGTTGTAAATTATGACAAAAATTACACTAACCGAGTTTCCAAGATAAGTTCAACAAAAATTATTTTGAAGAAGACATGTTAAGTAGTTTTTGAGATATAGGATATTTTCCGACGCGTTAATCTGCAAAATACCTATGCTAATTTTTCATATTTATACTATAAAAAACAAGCTTATTTATGCGGTCAATAAATGAATATTGTAGATAGGTAAATATGATATTTTACTTTTAACGTAGCGAATTACTGTGTCAGAACATAACATTTTTTTTATTGCTGTCGTAGTTCTTATAATTAAAGTAATATTAAAATAGAAAAGCACAAACAGATCTATCCCACGGGAAGCGTTCATTTTTCCGGTATGAAAAGTAACTTGTTGTTAGACCGGCAATATAAGGTATCAGCATGCCAAATTTTACTAAATTAGGTGCATAAGTTGTTGTGTACTAAGTTGTATAAGTTACTATAGTTTTTTAACCATCCCACGGTAACTATTTAATTTTCCAGGATAAAATGTATAGATGTTGTCCGGGGATATAAGGTACCACCATGCAAAATTTCATTTAAATCGATCCAATAGTTTCGGAGATTGGCCCGTACAAACAAACAAACAGATAGAGAAACAAAAAAATTGAAAAAAATCTGGATTTGTTCTATTTGTCTTCTTACATCCCCCTGAATCGGTTTTTAGCATATTTTTTCTATGTACAGATATTCGACCTGTACAGTTTTATTATAGTATAGATAATAAAAAAAAAACAATTGATTATATGCATAATAGCTCAACTTGAAAACTTAATGCCTTTTAATTGATTTGGTCAATTTGGATGATATAAAGTAAAAACTCTGAATGTTGTTCTGGGGCGTCGACATTCTCACAACCTGTTCTTAGCGTACCTTTATTTAGTAAAAGGAACATGCCTGCCAAGTTTCAAGTCAATAGTTATAATAATTCCGAACTGGAAATCTCGTGATGATTTTGTCGATTCTTTGTCAGTGGACGGATTTTATATTATGAATAGGTATGAAGAAGTTAAAAATCACTCAATGTTGTAAATTGCAATAAGCTACAGAGTGTTTCTTTGCACGTGACATACACATATTTTTCTTAAATTTAATACTGACAAATTATTGAGCATTAATTTTTTTTTACTAAACGTCTTAAATCTGACTTGGAAAGGAAGTAAGTTCTATATAGGGCTAACCTATATAAATATAGATAAACCTGGATCTTTTCAAAGTCGGAAATCACTTTGGACATTCGTATTCAGCTCTTTTGTAAAGTCCCCCTGTTGGGGACAGGCCTTTTACTGTAAGGGGGATCAAGACATAGTCCACGCTGGTCAAGTGTAGATTGGCAGACTTTACATGTCTTTCGAAAACTTGTTAGATTCTGTCAGACATGCGGGTTTCCAGACGAAGTTTTCCATGATGTTAGATCCTATGATTCGCAGATGGATATACCAGAGGTGCGAGACCTGAGCTTTGAACCCGTTTAATTAGGTTTCGTGTTCTTCTTATATGTACCGCTATATACTATTATATTCATTTAGTAAAAGGTAGTTACTTTGACATTACAAACAGACACTTCAATTTTATTTAACTGTATAGATAATAGTCATGCATCGATGCTTGTTGCATATAGGACATTAGACATAGGTACTGCACCAAAGAACTCTATTTGATTTTTAACAAGTGGCAAATTACATTTATATTATTTGCTATATTATGTATGTATAATGTATATATACAACAGGAACTAGCAGTGACCTCATACTGATAAGAGAAATAAATTGTGTGGACAGGTGTTGTTCTATTGCTACGGAATATTATCCATTATTGTTCTGGTCATAGTGTTGGTTTTGATTCAACGGTACAAATAATTCAAAAGCAATGTTTGCTGTTAAATAATGAAAAGCTTCTGCTATTGTGTGGAACAAATAGATTAAAATAATGAAATTAGATAAGGCTAAATGAATCTACTATATATATGCATAGTTGGTAACGACATGAATACAGAGTGTTATTTTGTTAAATGTATTTTTGTATCTCTTTCTTTTTTTCGTTTAAATTATTTACCGGGTTATTCATTTACGTAGAGTGGAGATATGTGGGTTTTTCAAATGTTGTAAAATTATGTGTTTAACACAAGTATTAGGGCTAAAACACCTTATAATAAGGATTGCTAAAACAGAGTAAAAAATTGTTTTTTTTTTTTGATACTATACTGGATATTCGATTGTTTTTCTTTTTCAAAATATATTTTCTTAAATCCTTTCTACTAGTTCGGCATTAACAAGACGTATTATTACGTTAATCCGATAATCTTTTCGCTCTTTACTGTGCAATATTTGGGCGAAGCGTATCTACGGTTTTCTGTTTGTTTATAAATAAAGCAAATATTAGTACTTTGCAGGATTCTTTAACGAGCCAATTGTGGTAAAACAAAAGGTACGTTATTCGCAATAAACTCAGCGGTCTAGGTTGGCGGCGCCTATACCGATAAATCATAATAGCGACAAATTGGATAATCACCTATACATCCCATAGCCTCGGCGTACGCCTTAATATCGTATCGAGCTACCACAGCAGGCTATGCGAAAATGTGCAGAAAAAAACGCAGTTTCTTGTAATTCCATACTTTTGAGAACAGGTTTGTTTCAACTATCTGGTATCCATAGCACATGCCTCCTAGCTTACCATGGAACTAGAGGCTGTTTGTTGGTTCTTATTTTACGTGGTAGAATGTATTTAATGCTAGTGAAATGATGTTATGAAACGGTATGCACTGTGCAGCCTTCTCTTTGAATAAAATGTACCTAACTATATAAAGGTAAACTGCGAGCAGGAATCGAACCTGTAATTACTGTAGTGGACACTGCCACCTGTGTGTAATTGACGTGACTTTCCTTTAGTTTTAATTAAATAATTCGTGATTTTAACAAACAACTTAAAATTGATTGTCAGGACAAGTTACGCGTGTTTTGAATGTACTAATAAAGGAGCGCCGGAACAAAAACCGATAAATCACATTTGTGTTTTTGGTGGAAAAATGTAAAAATATGGCCAAGTTCATGGTTTTCAACCAATTGGCATCATAAAAAAAATGTCAAAATGTGATTTATCGGTTTTTG